CATAACACGCCTGGGATGTTTTAATCGTATGTATATAATATATCAACTTAGTCGAGATAGTTTGTGCGACCACGGAAATAAATCTAAAAGCGAATTATGTCGGAACAGTTTCCATTCCCGTTTCGACAGTGACTGAAAAACGAGAAATTTTTGCATTCCTTGCAATTGACAGCGTATAAGATAGCTCCAAATTATTATTTAATATCCCGGATTTTATGTTACCTGGCGTCGTTGTTGGCGGTATTAATTTATTGGCACAAATAAATACATAACAATCAACGTGAAAGATTTAAATCAGTGCCGACTCGGAAAATACAATTTTCGGTCTTAATTCTTAATCACTGGCCGATGGAAATTTGCGAATCGGCTTCACTCATCTGGTCCTGCCGATGATCGCGTTATAACATTTGCATTTTTTCTAAGGAATGGAAGACCGTGGTAGTACAACAATTAATTCTTGTGTAGAGGAATAATTGCATGGGATCTATCTTAAACTTATGTTGACGATACACGGTCAGAATTTGGACCTCCTAGAGCAGTGGTTGTTCTCAACCTTATACGGCTCGTGGCCCCCTTCCGGAGGCTTTTTGCACTCGTGGCCCCCCTGTTCGTCATTCTAAAAAAATTGAAGTGTTAGATTGTATTATGCATTTGCGACCTTTTATAGAATGCAAAAACAAACCATGGGTAAAAAAGTCCATGCTTTTTGGATTAGTGAACGATCATTGGAAATCTTGCTCTTGGGTCTGTCTGACTAGGTTCCTTATATTAGGCACCGTCTTTGATATAGTCAGGTGATTGTACTGTCAACATCAGGACGGTTCCTAGATTTTGCTTTGTTGGTAACAAGATCAGAAAAAATAGATTCGCACAGATAGGTTGTGGTAAATTGAACTATCAATGAAGAAGCTTTCTTACAAAGTAGTGGGTAAGAATCACAAAGGAATACCCAGAAACTCGAAAAGTCTTCTTTGCTTGATTTCAAAGCAAACTTGTTAGCATACATCGGCAGCCGTGTCATCAATAAAGTCAAAGCCAACATAACTGTCGTTCCATTTGGGGATTGGGAATTCACATATTAGGCTTCTGCAGTTATAACATGATATCGACCGTTATCTCGCAGTCTCGCGAACTGCCCGTCTGATGGCCTACCAACAAACTATTCGGATTAGTAGATTCAAAATTCCATTATGATCAAACAATTTGCACACACAAAAAAGTGAATACACCTAGTGACTGAAGTAATAAAACTGAGGTGAATGGGGAATTTTCTTTGAAATGAAAAGTATGCAAACGAAGTCGCTTCATATTAAATTATTAGCCTTGTGTCGTGGCCCCCCTTGAACTGCTCCGTGGCCCCTTTGGGGGGCCAACGGCCCCCGGTTGAGAACCACTGTCCTAGAGTATGTGCACCAAGATGGCGCACAACCTGAACTCAGATTGTGTACCAGGTTAAGATATAGGTTGTGCTACATCTTGGTGCGCATACATCAGGAGTACCCAGAATTTATAACAAACGCTTTGAATTTGCATTTCGTTTTTTACGATACCCAGAACCAGCTACCAGTGGTAGCTCTTGCCGTGGTTATGGCGCTATCACCGGTCTATTCAATAAATCGTGTACTGTACCATATTTTAGTTTATCGTGAGGAATTATCTATTTAAACATAAAACCTAACCCCAAATCCATCACAATTGCATCCATGTTCCAATATTTATCACCATTAGGGGCAGACCTGCCATTACAGCCGACATGCCGTGATCACGGCAGCAAAGTTTGACTCGCTTTTGGTATTCAATTTGCTTCCGTGGGAACGGCATCGTACCATTGGTCTGTGGCAGCTTAATAGGTTTGGCCATAGCTGCCATGGTTTGGAAATTCCGCCATGGTTTTGAGGCAGCTTCAGACGCCACAAAATACTTGAAACTACACTTGGAAAAGTGGATATTGTGTAATTTAATTTTTCATCCACCTGCAATTTTACTGAATGTGACGGCTGGCTTTGAAATCGTGTAGCCAACTGCATAATTCGTGGTTTAGTTTTTGACAAAGCTATCAATCATCCTCGACTTTCATTCAATTTCGTGCCTTTGTTTTTATATGAGGAAGAGCTGAAAAGTCGCTTTCCTATTTTTATAACCAATTCAGATTTGTAAAATTACGAATAAGAAAAAAAACAAGATATAATCTGGCAAAAAGTCAAATTCAATATGAACACAATAGGACCGATAAAGTTCATTAAGGGCTAGGCTCCCCAGTCCCTATCTTTGTGTATATGCTCTATACAAGTCCATCATGGCATATTATTGTACCATAGGTGAAAGAAAATAAAATTGAACATATAAAATATAAATAAGATAAAGGAATGAGTCGGCAATTTGAAGTTATTATTATAGTCAATGTGGTAAAATTGAGTTCAGTTTATTACTTTACAAACAAGTCCATCCATAAATACTAGGCTTTAATTAACTTGAACGTTAGCAGCATCTTAACCAAGTACACAATGAAATTATCAAGCACCAACAAAACATGACTCAGATAAAAACAGCAAATTATGACTCATCATATACATTACTGTTGTCAGTAAACAGATAAGCTAAGAATACAAAAATATGCAATATAAACTATTACCACAGTTGTTCGTCTTGTACCAACTCCACTAATATGCCAAAATGACTTGAATACATGGAAAGAAAAAAATCCTTCCCTGCAAGAATGCACAAAACTTGGAAAACCAAACAAGCAGAACGATTTAAATAAAGACTCTAAAGTAGTGCATTTCATGCCAGCACGGGGGAACGCAAACCAACTCATTTCATCTATAACAACCAATGAATAAGGTCTGGGACCTTTCAATGGCCCTTCAAAGTCAACACGCAGTCGATCCCATGGCTGCATTGCTTTAAAAGGGGTTTCTCTTCGGGCTTGAAAAAGCATGGCTTTATCTCAGAACTAATTATTTAGATCTTGGTTTATGCTCAATCGTGTAGAAAAACCCTAAAACAAATTCATCCACAAACACTAGCAGTACACAATGAAAGGGTCTTACTAGTTACTACTTACAGCGCGAAACACGGCAAAGAGTGCGAAACAGATGAGGTAGAAAGAGCAGAACAGAAGAATACAGCGCGAAACAGAGGCCCATAGATGTGGCCAACATTGTTAAAACAGTACCGGTATACACACAGAGAGAACAAATCAAAAATATGCCATTAAATGAATGTTTAAAAATGTTGCGCATTGATATGGGCATAAGTCATTCTACAAACTATTTACACATATATAGTTGAACACTCATTTAGTATTCAAGCGGAATTTCTAGAAATAGCAGTATCTGCTGACAGTCCGAATTCAATATCATACTTTTTGTCACAAAATGAAATATCTGAATCAATCCCTGATGTATTCAGCTTTCGATTCTGTCAAGATGTTCGTATTTCATATTTCGGTCTTTAGTTGTTGATATTCCTTCAGTGCTGGATCATTGTTGTCAATCTAGTCTTTCTGTGCCGTTCAAAAATGCGACCGCACCCGACGACTGCCAAACGCGAAATTTCAGTGCAATCTTTTATCAATAAACTTTTTCAATTCCAGTGGATGGGCCTTGATCATGTTGATATCACGCGATACAAATCCAACAGTAAATATCAAAACACACAGCGCGTAGCATTCTCAATCCAACAGCATTGATTGATCTTTCATCTCACAGAGCAACAAAAACATGTCCGACTCAGACGGCAGTCTGGCAAGTACTATATTTTGAAGCTCTCGGAAAATGATTTCCGTTTGAGTTTATTTGCGTATTTGGAATGGGTTTTGTTGGTTGAAATAACTGGAATGATATACTGAGGCGTTAGAATAAAGTAGGTCGTGGCATCTGCCAATCATCTCTGCGTCGGGTACCATAAGTTATCAAAGTGAAGTAGGGACAGAGTATTTCTGCTGTTCTGTAATTGCATTTAATGCATGGTAATTAAAGGTTTATACCAGAATTATACTTGTGTTTTCTCGCGAAGAGCCCGCAAATGCGTTTGCGGCAGATATCAAACACCGTACTCCAAGCTTGAATATTCAGTACGCGAAGATGGAGTTATTGCACTATTTTATTTATTATCATTGGTGCCGACTGCCATCTTACAGGCGATTTTTGGATTGCAACAATGTGAATTTTTTTGGAATAGTGAAACATTCTTTATTGGACACGTTTAGTGGCCATAACGATCGTTTCAAAATTTTGTTGTTATTGTTATTTGTCTCTGTCTCCATTTTTAAAAAATCGCTTTTCTCTTCGAATACTGGACCAATTGCTTTGGTATTTTCAGTGGTTAAAGATAAAATTTTTCTCCAGAAGGCTATTACTTTTTTTTCCGCTATGACGTCATCAAAATTATTGCCACTGGGTGGCGCTACGTGTCCATATATTTGAGCATAGCTCTCTTGTTTTATATTAAATGACTTTTTGAAATCTCCCGGAAAATAATGAGTACCAACGTTAGATGATAAAATACTATTTGCGATTAATTTAAATCAAATTTTACTTTTCACGACACCCGGTTTCCGAAAATACGAAGTTATAACACAAATCAATACGCTTTGTCACATTTTTTTGCGCTTCCAATAAAATACATATATCTTGGATTTTGAGTTGTTGATGAATCGGTTCCTATCGCCCAAGCGCGACTGACGCCTGGTCGAGTGTCGGGCGATTTTTCAGTCAGCAATAAATTAAAAAAGTTGGAAATGCTAACTGGAAATCAAAAGTTGGGTTTTGCTCTGAGAAGCATTCGTTTTCTGTTGAAGGCATTCAAACCAAATTTAATGTTATCATAACAGTCCGATAAACTACATCCTCTTTAGAGATCGGCCACAGCCAGTTAGCTGAGGACTACACACGCCACAATATCGCGTTGAGAGAATACCATGACGCATCACTCGAGCGTTACGAGACAGCTGTGTAACATAAATTAACAAAGACGAAAAAAGCTTGAGCGAACTATAATAAGTTAACTATGGTTACATACACGGAAAACACAATAATTCAACCACTAGATGTCGGACAAGAAATCAAAACAAACAAACGGCGTTTTCCTGTGAAAGTCTGCTGGGAGTTATGGCAAAATTATCTTTTTTGAATTGACATGTGAGGTATGGGAAAATGGATTATAATTGGCTAAGAATAAATATTAGATATACTGTCAAGGATCGTCGGGTGTAAACAATTCATGTTAACACAAAGGTAAACCGGCAGAACTTTACAGTGTTTCGAAATAAGTTCAGAAGGTTTGAACAAATCCCATCTGCCCTGCCCATGGAACACAGCCCAATCATGTCCACTTTATATAAACAGTTTCAAATTGGAATCCACCGTGTCTGCCGTGTGTTTATGTTACCAAAGTTGGACGCCCGAACGACACACGTTCGTCTGTTGGTGTTTATAAATTTGTTAAAATATTTGTTTGTGTGTGTCATATGACTGTATGGGTACCGGTACCTACGGTACCGGTAAACTTGCACATGTGTTCCTGCATGTTTTAAACCTCATTACTGTATCAGAGGTTTTGCCGTTTTTTCCTATCTGGTATGTTTTCATTATTTTTTTTGTTTCGTGGAAATCAAAATAAACTTATACTGGGGCTCCAGAAGTATGCGCACCAAGATGTCGCACAGCCTGAACCCTAACCGGTACACACATACTATGTTCAGGCTGTGCGTCATCTTGGTGCGCATACTTCTGGAGGTCCCTTATACTACTGTACTAAGTTCAGAAATACTGAAATAAGGGTAAACAAAAATGTACAATAAAATTAAAAATTTGAACTGTGTTTTTACATTATACAGTTATAGTCTATCTTTGTCAGGTGTCATTTATGCAGTTATTCAGAAATTATTGTATTGAAATTTGCTTTCAACTTTATTATGATAGTCAAAATTCCGATTGAAATTTTTCCAGGTTCCTTGAATCTATAAACCGGTCAACCTGGCTACAATTAAAGTTTCTCATTTACCTGCAGTGTTGGATATATCCTATTCTCATGTCGTTATCTAACAATCCCAATTTATACCAATGGAAGAGATTCAAAAAACAGACATTGCCAAAACCAAGCAAGACCAAGAAAGATGATATTCAATGTTGGCTTGAAAAAGTTGAAGCAGCAACTGATGTGGCAATAAAAAAAACATTCTCAGAATATAAACCTGCTGCTGTGTCTCAAACAAGGTTTGTACTGTACTGTACTCCCATAGCTGCATAGTGTGTGTACCAGGTTAGGTTTAGGCCATAATTTTATTCCGATTTTCAGTGTTTTAGGTCTATTATGATTATGGAGACTGTCTGTCTGTGTTAGCCAAGTACCCCCTGTCCCTTCACACAACTTGATGTAGTAAAGTAGGTGAAGAAAATTTGTTACCTCCATATTGGTACACACACCTCTGTGTGGCCATTATTCTGCATAATTGCAGAATTTAATAATACTTAATTTCAAAAAATATTTATCAGGCTATTAATGTTTTTTGACTGGATTATCGCTGCTGAGATTTTTGCATAATAGGTCTGTAGAGGTACCAACTATGTTCCAAAATTATACAGCACCCAGTAATGAAATCCAATGATTCCAAATGTACCCTTAAGTCTCTTTACAGTTTTACTTAATTATCCAGTGGATATGGGACATAATTTTACATCTATCTCTACGGTAAGAAAAAATAAAAGACTGCAAATTTAAATGATGACTCTTGAGTCCTTTGTGGCTAATAAGGGTCTGGTGCCAGGATATATAAATACTGGAATATCTAACCGGTTTAATCTTGAATTTACGTGGATAATGTGCATTATAGATGCTGTTAGTAAATGTCCAGGGATTATGCTTTCCAGTGGCAGTATTGGCGCCAGCAATTTTTTTCGCCTTGACATGCCATGCACAAAATTATATTTTCACATGCAAGTTTGCTGTATGCTCTTCAATTTTATTTTACTGTATATAATCAAATAATTTTATTTCAAGATATTCTACTCATCATGGAGATGATTTATCACAAGTAATGGATAAATTGCATGATTATGAAGATAGCCACGCTGAAGCTCAAGAACTTGTATCAGATTGGATGAATGAAAAAATTAGATTTGATTATTTAGACAATGACGAAGAAAATTTGCTTACAAATTCAAATGTGGAATTTGGGTAATATTCGCTTTTTTACTTGTTAAATAGAGGATAAAAAGTTCTTTAATTAAATGGAAATTTTATAAATATGTTTTTTTTTAATGTGAATGTAGAGTCTACTGCTTTACTACCCAGCAGTTTTCGGATGACAAAATGCATTTCCAGTTTTGCAATCGAATTATTATAGGAATGAAGTGTACTGTACTTCCCAATTTAATTTATTATAAATTATATAGCTCACATCAAATTTCATAGCTTCATATCACTAGATGTGACTCTTAAATCAATTCGGATACTGAATTGCAAACACTGTTAGGGAATCTGAATGATTAACTTGACTTGAGTTGCCATTAATCGAAAACTGGAAGTGACTTGAGTCATTTAAATGGAATGACTTGGACTGATCGACTAAACGCTAGTGAGACTAAACTCATCGATTGGCTCGACTTGTCACTTAGACCTATACCAAAACTTGGATTACCCTCAACCTAACTCGCTAATCAGGGTTGAGAGACTTTTACCTGACCAGGATACTAAAAATCAATTGGTTATGAAAACTTTAAAAGACTAATGTTTGGTAGTTTACATGTAATAAAAATAAGATTACAACATAACGTTTGTGTGCTTGGTGGTGGCGTATCTCATATGATTGTTGCATGACACACTTTATATAACTTTATGAGAAAAGTTTTTTCAAATCAAGATCATATTAAAATAAATGATCATTATTACAGGCAACAGCCAGCACGAGGGATTGAAACTGCAACTTCAGAAAAGTGGTATCAAGATAGCGAAGCTTTCATCCAAAGTTATTTAGAAAAAGACAATCCAAAATCGAGTTTCTCTAGAAGTAAACACGAAAGACCTGTACAGAAAAATGATGTCTTAGGTCAACTGGATATTTATGAGGCCGATGAAAACACAGTAGTGAAGGCATTATTAAAAAATATGATGGAAAAGCCACTCATTAAACCCAATGAGATGAAAGTCCTAAAGAAAAAGAGCATTTCATCAGAGAAAAAACACACTAAATTTCATGATCCAACGACAACTATGGACATGCGGCATAAGGAGGTATGAACCCAACTTCAATTAAAATCCTTTAAAATACTATACCTGGGCTCTAGTTAAAGGGTAATTAAGTATATTTATTTTTCATATTACATATTTATATGACTTTTGGTCTGAACCTGGCTCTGCACAAGCAACCATTGCTGGGTAAGGTGCTACTTAATTTCGAAATGGTAAAATCTTTCCATTTCAGTTTTGCCTATTACACTCTGGGTGAGGCAGTGCACATGGGGTTTGAACCCAAGATTTTAGCCTCAGATGCCAGTTAAGTTCAATGCTTTACCCACTAGGCCACTGGCTATCATCCTGGGTAATTTTTATTTTTCATTTTCCAATAACTTGCTATATTTATAGGTGAAAGAAGCAAGACTTCGAAAGCAAAAGCAGGAGGAAAAGAAGAGACAGGAGAGGATGATTCAAAAAGAAGCAAAATTTAAAGCTCAACAAATTCTGAAAGAAGAAGAAATGCAAAAAGCAAGCATTTACTTGTTATATATTTTTAGATTATTACCATCTGCATTATGGAATTTTAGATATACAGTACTTCTTTCTTATCCATTCTAGACAGTCTTCTACAATATTGGGGAAGCGTGAGTCATTGACTCGGCTTGAGTAGGACTTAGTCACCATTTAACATTTACTGAAGACTCAAATTGATTCTGACTTGTTATCAACAAACAATCAGGAAGACAAACTAGGGGATTGACTTGGCCCGCGACTGGGATGACCCGCGACTTGACTCGCGACTCAGAGATTAGTGACTTCTACTCCTCACCCCTGCTTTGAAACTCTGAAATTGTGAAATAATTTTTTATCGTAGAAATTGCGAAAGAAAAAAGAAGAAGAGGCAATTCAAATAGAAATGGCAAAACTAAGGAAAGAGATGATTGAACAAAAAAAGAGAGAGGAAAATCAAAGAAGGGAAAAAGAAAAGGAAATTGAAAAAGGTGAATTTTTTGCATTGAAACTCACAACTAAGTTGCATCGGTTCAATATATTAAATTCAAACTCTATGAAGCGAATAATGTATTGGGTCTTTTGAGGAAGTGTTTGTAACTGTATTTAAAAAGTACCGGTAGTAACTATTCAGATATCAGTGCCAGCTTTTTTAAAGACTTTGTGAGGGAAGCGTGAATTACATCTTAGAAAATATTTTCGAAACCTTATATTTTGTTATACGGTAATTAATTACAGTGTGCAGCAAGACTCTTGAATCAAATAGACTTATATTTTGTGTGTGTTTTTTTAGAATTGGCTTTGGAAAATGAATCAAAAATGACTAGAAGACAGGAGATTGAACGCATAGAAAGAGAGAAACAAAAAGAAAAAATATTAAGTGAGATTTCCAGAATTGAAGACAAAGAAAGAAGAGTCGCTGAAAGGATGAAAAAAAGAAACACAGAAAATCGGATATTGTTACATAAATGCTTCAGAACTTGGTGTAAAATTGTTCTCAATCAAAGAGTCAAACTTGGTAAGCAGTCTCACAATAGAAACTAGTAGGCTATTTATTTTTATTTAGCTGTATGCCATTGGAAAGTTTCAATAAGAAAATTTTGAAAAACTGCTGTAAAATATACTGCTGACAAACATAGACAAACAATTCAGAATTTTCATGATAATATGACTATTAAATCTCATACTGTTTTTAAAGTAGAAGAATTCTAAATGAAACTTTTTTTTTAAATTTATTTTCAACTATAATATCCATACAATTTTGTTCAGATGATTTTATAGGTTTAATATGGTTTATAATATAAACATTAACTGATTTGATTTTGGCTTTTTGTGGTTAGTTCTGTTGACTGTATTCTGTGTATAGCACAATTTCCTGGAAAATACATAAATTTTGAACATTTGAATTTGAATTAACTTAACCAAAATAATTTTGGAAACTAATCTAATCAATTTATCCCCAGTCAAAGTACCGGTATGCTAATTTGACATGGAATTACTGGTAATTTCATTCTCCATGTCTTTGTCTCTTTGTCTTTGTGAATAACAACTAGCTAATTGAAAGATTGCAAAGTGTATTTTACAGGAAAAGCTAAAGCAATGTCAGATTGGAAGTGCATGCAAAACGTGTGGAATGCCTGGAAATCTTACACAAGAAATCAAAGATTGGAAATTGAAACAAAGCATCATCAGGTTTATTTGTGGCATATGCCACATAATTTGCTACATTTTATTCTCATTCATCAAGTATTCATACCTTATTAATAGTAGGCATCTCCAGGATTAGTTGTTGCTGACGATGTTAATTCATATTTCTATTTGTACTAAATCTCATATTGTCTGACGAGAATTCTCGTCAACTTAGTGCTCACTAAATTATAACTTTGTTTATACCTATTGAATGTCTGGAAGTTCATCTACGGGGTTTGAAAATACGGCTTGAACTCCAATATATTAAACACAGGCTAGACTCCATGGCCTTGGTTACCAAATATCCCTCTAAACAACCTTCTGTTGAAATGACCTGCTATCTTGTAAACTTTTATCAACAGATTCATTAATTATTTCAGACAAATATGAGAGAGACAAGATTGAAGGAGAAGAAAGCAGTTAATTGTGAAAAGTATCGTTTGATGAGGAAATCATTCTTCACTTGGAAAGTAAATAAAAAATCTTTTTTTCTGGACATGGAATTTAGAGCATTTTAACACACATCTCTGGTAAATGTCTGCAGTGGCTTTATGAATCAAAATCGAACTCAAGCCTAGGAATCTTTCAGACATTCTTACAGCAAGTTCACACCCACTAACTCAGAAGTAAAGGAGACTCATTCCTAGGCAAACTTACTGACACTTTAGTGAATGTTGACTAGCATGAGACTTTATACAGGTGGGAACAATTTGTTCAAGTCATACAAAGGAAAAAAATACATTTTTTTTGTTGCATAATTTGTTTAAATTTTTGTCAGGTTTGGGTAAAAACTGAGCAAGAAAGAAAAGAAATTTTGAAGCAGCAAAACACTACTAAAGCAAAGATGCAAGCTTTGTTGGACGCGTTTACATCCGGAAATATTGGGAATAAAATAGAAGGTAGATAGATGATATTAAAACTCCACGACTAACTTTTCTATGTAAACGTTATTTAAGTTGAATTTGGAATGTTGAATAATTCTAAATTAGATCATACCGTTGTTAAACAAGACAGGTTTGTATAATGATTGCATATAAATGTGCGAAGCTATTTGATTTTTTTCTACTTTTTAGTCGAATTAAGCTAAATTTGACTCTTTCAAAAATAGCTCAAAATATCAGAAATCTTGTCTATGTATGAAATAATTGATTCATATTAGAAATTGAAATGTGTTTGTTTCTGAAATTGTGAGTTATATCTCAGTTTAAAGTGCAATTTTAAATGTTCAGATTTCTTATGAAAGTGGACAAAATTAATTTTATTTTTATGTAGAAACGATGATTATTCAGTCCGTTGAATCAACTAGTGAAGTTGAGTCAGAACTTCCACATTTTCAACCAAAAAAACCTTCAATAATTTCGAACCCAGGTATGACTCCATGTATCTTTATTTTCTATATAAATTGAAAGCTCATGGTCCAGAGCTTGGTAGTTTGTTCGTAGCTGGGGGTTGAGTTAAAAAAATGTGTGATTTGAGGTATAAACATCTCAGGTGCTAGAGCTCTTCTAATAGTACAAACTAGGGCGTATGTGTACCGTTATGGAGGTAACTAATTTTGTTTGCCTACTTTACATCAAGTTGTGTAATGGGACGGAAGCCTATGGGCAGGGGATATATTCACTTGGCCAACACAGACCGTCTCCGAACCCTAACCTGGTACACATACTAAGGGAGTACCCTAACTAGCCCCCCAACCTTGCATAAATCATATGTGGGTATAGCATTCTCTAGGTCTAGGGAGTTATTGGGTCCAAGATCCATCCATGCCTACCACGTCACCCTAGAAAGGTAGCAGAAAGATTCCGATTCGTTTTAAAAAATTCTAATGAAGACATCAGGCTCATGTTAATTATCATCTTTGCAAACGTCAACTGGTTGTGTCTAAATTAAAATATGTAAATTGTACTACCACCCCCCCCCCTCCCCAATAAAAAAAAAATTATGAAATATAAAAGTGTTTATATGGAATTTAAATGTCATACAAAAAATTTCAAAATGTTCAGGTCATGGAGCGAAGAATTTAAATCATACTACAAAACCGAAACATGCATGGCAAGTTACGAAGAAGGATGTACACAGATTAAAACCTGACGAAATGAGACAATTATCGGATAAAAGACACAATACACCGCAAGCAACTACTCAGGAACCAAGAGTAAAAGTTCATGTTCAATCAATTGATCCTTATATACACAGACACAAGTTTCAGAAAGAGGTGAGAATGGATTTTTGAAAGAGAATTAGAACTTTGGCCTACAATATGAAATTAATGTTACTGCATTCGAAGATTTCCCTTGAAAACAAAACACGAAAAATGGCGAAAAGTAGCCATTATTTAAAATTATTTTGAATTGATTGAAAAGTATTCGAATACTTTGATATTCGAATACTTGATTCGTTTTGGACAACCCTGTTAATATGTAATAGGATTTTAAAGTCGGTGATCCGGGTAGCTTTTCTTGATGAAATTCCAAAAAAAAGGATTTTATACTGTAAATGTTCAGACTAGAAAAATAGTACAATAACTACTAACATGATTTTATTCAAATTGTTAAAATGATACAGAATTATCTGTTTTGTCACTAAGTAATGAAAAGTTGTAATATTGCCAGAATTGAAGTAAAATTTTTTCGAAAAAGATTGGGTTTTGTTTCTATTTTTCAAATGAAGTTTTGTGCATTATTGTCAATCAAAGTACGTGTAGATAGATATAGGATAAGATAAAGATTAAATTATTTTTTCCTTTGCCACCGTACAAAATATCACGATACCTAAGACAAGTACAAAATATCATAATACACAAGAACAAGACAAACACACAGGATAGGAATTCTGGAACATTCCAAAATTTTAAATGATACTCTTATAATGTGAGACATATAAGAGCTGCATGGCAATCTCACCTTGTGAAATAAAGTAAAAATGATGAAATAATAATCGGGCTTAAACACAAATTTCCAGTTGGTAGTACTATCCCCAGACAACGGTGGTCCTTGATGACTTGAATCCATGTTGCTATGTGTTGAAACTTCAATTTCCTCCAATATTCCAGGTTATTGACCAACAACGAGTCATATTGCACGAGCAGAAGAGAATGATAGAAGAAATGCAAGAGCAGCAAAAAATACTTGCTTTACAGAAAGAAGTTGCGGTGTTACAGCAACAACATAAACAACTTGAAAATAATAAAATTTCATCGCTAAGGGATGAGCAGAGCATAACTAGGGTTCAACCTCAGCAAGGGTATATATGACTTATATATTCGAGTGTTGTTAATTGGGGAAATCATATGAAAATGAAAAGATCTTATGTTGTAAAATTTTAGGACACAGCAGTTTTCGATACATCAAACCTTTTTAATTTGTTAGACAGATATGATACTCCCGTAGTATGTGAACCAAGATGGCGTACACCCAAACATAGTATGTGTACCAGGTTAGGGTTAGGCCATAATTCAGGTAGCATATACTACAGGAATCACTTGGCTAGTCCCCAAACTCATAACCATAAGAGAATTAATATAAGGAAAATTGGAATAAAATTATGGCCTTACCCTAACCTGGTACACATACTATGTTTCGTTGTCGGCCATTTTGATTCACATACTACGGGAGCTGGGATAATATTTTGTAAAAGTGCAACGATGTATGATTTCTTAGTTTGAATTAGGTTTTTTTCAACGATTTCATTATCAAAGAAACATAAATGTATGAACAATTTTTTACCAGTTATTTCTTCCTTCAATATTTTTGCATGTACATAATCAGTTCTTATCTTCGAATGTGTTAAGAATTTTACAATCTTTCGTCCAGTTTTAACTCTGATTATGGGAATAGTGACCAAGGTACTATATTTCTTTCAAATGCTTAGACTTAAAGAGAGACGAAGCTGTATCAGACCAGCGGTCACATGAACCACCCTGTGACAGCGAATCTATCAATCCTTTGCACGTATTTATCCTCCATATCATCTGAACTTGCGTATTGATGCAGGTAATCAGAGGCAATGGCAGGCGTGTTCCTAATGCCTAGCACAGTGTTCCAACCAAATATATCTGTCATTTCTTTTCAGCTATTCTTGTTTAATCTTTGAATTTTTTTTGTAGAAATTCAACTGAAGTGCCACAGCCACTCAGTGCAAGATCAAACAGTTCTGGGAACTCAGTTGCAAAGAAACATCCAATTGTTTCGAAAATGGAAGAGAGAGCAGCTGAGAGATTAAAAAGAAGAAAGGAGTTAGAGGAAATAAAGAGAAAGAGAGAAGAGGAAAAAATAAAAAAGATACAAGAGGAAGAAGAGCAGAAAGAAAGAGAAGAGCAAGAAAAGAAAATGAGACAAATAGAAGAGAGAAGGGAAGCGAAACGAATGCAAAAGAAGGTGAATTTCACAATATTTTTTTTTTCACTTTGACTACTTAGATATTTGTATGGAGTTGTACTACTGTACGACATATAAGGTTGTTCATATAATTCTAAACAAAATCATATTTATTCAAAGAAGATTTCAGAACCTGAAGATTTTAAATTTAAAAATTTGATTATGGTAATTCAAATTTTGTCTTTTATGCCTTGTGGAAAAAATCATATCAAGTTTGGTATATATCATTGATGTAAATAAATCTAAAAATTTTCATAATTATACTAGATCTGTAACGGAACTAGACGACGTGGGTAATAAGGTATTTAATAATACACAAGTATTGAAAGTCTTTGGAATAGGATCGTAAATGCTTGAGCATCATTGCTCAGTAATTTGAGCTAAATGTATTTCAGTCTTCATGACTATATTATAAAGGTAAATGTGAAAATTTCATTGATTTTAATTTCAGTTGGAAGAAGAGAAGAAAGCAGCACAAGAACGTATGAGAAAATTATGTAAAATGGCAGACAATCATTACACAAAAACATTAATAAAAAATTATGGATTTGTACCATGGAAAAAATTGATACAATCAATGAAAAGCAAATGGGAGGTATGAACTGTATTTCATAGTGAAATTACTTTATTTTGAAATTACTTGTATGATGTGTAAATTTTTGGGTTTCAAGACGACAAAATTTATTTGAAACTATTACAAAAAATAGGTCCTCTTTCATTAAGCTGGTATCTAAATATAGTTTAGAACAGTGGTTCCTAAACTTTTTCGAGCGCGACCCAAATTTGAGTTTTATGAATACTCGCGACCCAATCCTAAATAACGCAAAATGTGTTTTTAATGTTAGTACAGTTTGACTCAAATACAGACAACTATTTATTAGAAACAGTCCATTGACTCAGTGAGATTGATGAAACTGAAATTTCCTTTTCATTATATCTTCAATACACAGCTCTATTTTACTTAACGCAATACGCAAGTTGTCACGGGTATCGAGGCGATTGCGAGCTTGTTTTGATAACCTTCAGTGCCAATTATCTTTGCTCGCCCAAGTGCTTTGTCGTGAATTGTAGCAGAAAAAGCGTCCGCCGTCCGTCGCAAACACGACATCCTAGCTGGCCTTCGGTATCTCTCGCAATATACAACTTTTTACTCATCAAATGTGCACACACTGCTTCGTTCGCGGTAAATGGTGCCTCGAGATGAAGTCACATTTTCTCTAAATATTGAATAATCTAATGTCGAGGAGCGAGCTTTTTCATTGCGTCGTCTATTACAATCTACATTACCAAAATGACACCCATTTTTGGTTATTTTAATCCACTAAGACGACATTGCACGCGGTCAACACAACGACAAGCGACGTGCATGGTTACCGATACCATAAAAATAATACACGTGACTGGCATATCGGAATTGTGATGTAACAATGAGCTCAAGAGAGTCCTTTCCGTGAATGAAATTTTATATTCCATTATTTTTAAATACCAGAGTTTAGAAGCTAAATTGAAACAGTGCGAAAGCTGAAAATTCGTCCTTCTCCTCTTAGATTGCCCTTGCATTGACGACCTTGTCGCGACCCATTTTTAAACCTTCAAGAACCACTGGTTTAGAACAATAACCAAAGTATTCCAATAAAAAGTTAAAAAATCAAAATACCTAGAAGTTTTCTTCATTTTCCTCAAGACAGCGTTTGTATTAATTTAGGTAAAAGAATTTTAACATGTTTTGTGCAACTAATGGTAGGCATATAAAATTGTATTGAATGAAATAAAAACATAAATAAACGCTGATTAAAAATATAAAAAAAAACTGTTTAATAATTATACTGAAAACTGACTTCATAACAAAATTGAAGTTCTAGCTACACCTAATGAACACCCTGTATATCAATGAATTAGGAAAGAAGAGAGTGTTGTTTGAATATATGGAGAAGAAGTCTTTTCGTATGCACCATACCTGTACTGAATTAATTAATCTAAGAGTTCCATGTAGCATCGTGCCGAATCGATAACAGCCGACACGCTTGGCGGATTAAAAACTGTGTTCCCATGAGAAATAAAAATACAGCGTAATTTTGGATGAAATATCAGACCTCATAAGATTATAGGAATTTTAGGGAAAAATAAAATCTCCAACCAATGAAAATTTCGAAGCAATTGGTCCATTAGTGAATGAGAAAAGCATTTTTCATAAGGTAACAACCAGAATAACAACAACAACATAATAACAAAAGATCAATAGTTCCACTTCATGCCCAATAATCATTGATATTGACATATCACATTTATTAGTTGTGAGAGCACCGAGCACTGAAATCAATAATGACCTTGTATGTCATAAGTGTTTATTGCTCAACGCTTGCTCTTAGCTAATCTGTATTGATCATTAAACTCCCTACAAACTGCTTGATAGTGTATTCTCATTTTTTGTATGTTACTTCTAGGTAGCTGTATTTCATCACAGAAGTATTCTTATGAGAAAAGTTCTATTTGAGTGGAAAATTGAGAGTGAAAGAGCAAGAGAAGAGAGAGAACAGAAAGCAGATAAACTTTACAGACTCATTTTGCTACGGTGAGTAGAAATTGAAAAAATATCATTTACTTGGTTTTTATTGAAACTTTATAGAAGATTTTAAGCGAAAAAGGTTTTTGTAATTTTTAATTTCTCTACGTAAATAACAGATTATACAGCGAAATCGATAGTTGTTATCTGGATTTTTATTGAAAAGGTTTTTGATTCTATAACTTTGTTTTTATTTCTCCAGTTTCAAATAGTATTTGGTTTTGATTTTTGATCTCTCATCCTAGCTTATCTATTATAACAGTCATGTTTTTATTTAAATAATTCTTTACTGTCAATGTCAAATTGATTATGCCAAAAAGCCCAAGATAGTCAAAATGTTGCATTATATGTCAGCATTCTTTCTTATCCTGAGCTCACTTGTAGTAAATATATATAGTCTGATAATTTCTATCATAAATTCCAGACGAGGGATGCATTCCTGGATGAAATATGGTGAAAGAATGGAAATATTGGAACAGAAAGCAATTATTCATCGGAATAAAGTTCTGAGAAAGAAATACCTCAAATATTGGGTTGATTACACAACAGGTAGTAGGCTTTGTTAATTTAGCCACTGGGATCAGAACAAAATAAATAAACCAATATTTCAATTACCATTTATTACTGAAACAAAGAATGTTAAAAATGTTAACATTTTCAGTGAGTTCATATAATAACAATTGATTACTGTTTGGGATCTTTAGCCAGATTTTAAGGTTTATTTAAATACAGACCATTTCCAAGCCATGGGAGTTTTAAGTGATGATTATTATCTATAACTGTTATCAAATCTGATCTGAAAATATGTACTATAAGGTTAAAATCAACATATTTATTAACAATTTTGTGGATTTCATTTATTTTGGGACACCTCAAAATTTTAACCTTACTCAATATCACTTGACGAAAAGAGCCGCTTATGCTTATTAAGGGTTAATAAAATAACTATATATATCCAAACTTTTTGTCAATTTGCACTCAAGCAATTGCCTATCCAACAATATTTTATTTTATTGGAAACATATTTTTGTTTGTTAATTAATACCAATTGCAGTATATGTGATGCTGTACACTAATATGTGTTTGCTGTTGACAGTTGAAGCCTCAATTTGAAAATGCTCAGTAACTCAGTAACAGTAACTGCTTGACTGAATGGGCAAAACCTGACCTCCTTTTTGTTTATAATACTCATGAAATAATTATTGCTTTCAGATGAAAAACTTTCTGAATGGGACAAAGAAGCCCGAGCTGACGCTCATAATCGCACTCGTCTTCTGCGACGAGTTTTTAACGTTATTCGTTCTTATCGTGAATTGATTGTGAAAGAATCAGAGCGAAGAAAACGACTTGGAGAAATGAGACGGAAAGTCAGTCAATTGTTGCCAGATTTTCAGTATTCACAAGATTCATTCACCAGTGATATGGCTGGTGATGAAATTGACGAGAATTTTGATAATTAAGATATTTCAGACGGAGAATGTTTTTCCATGGCTCGATGCACATGATTGAACAGTTTAATGTTTTATTACTGCATTTGGTCTATGATCCGTGACCACATTTAACTTTTGTAATATACTGTATTAAAGCAGTTTTTACTTGTTTTTGAATGATGCTAAATGCTATCAATTTATCAGCTTCCCACTGTAAATTTATGATTTAATAAATAGATCTTTAGTTTTTATGTTGCTGTTTTATTTTATTTTTTACGAGTAGTGTTGATTTTTTGACAGGAGTGGTGAGAATTGTAAAAGTAATGTTCGGCTTAGATCTGCCATAATTCGACTTGAAGCCAGAACAGACGAAACATAGGTCCAGAGGGGATTTCGTATATATACAGAATCTATCAAACAAATTTGTTCTTGTCTGACGCAACTGGCGAATTCGAGATCATAAGTATAAGTTTATTTCGACTCCATAATCAGCAAAACAATAAAATGAATGGTAAAAATAAATAAATAAATACTGATTATGAAATCAGGAGAGCGAACAAAACCTTAGATAAGGTTTAAAACGTACAGAATGTATATAAGATGGAAGGTTTTGCCAAGAAGATGTGGTACGTGTTCACTCACCTAAAATAATTGAAATATTTCACACACGCACCCACACACACAACCATATAGAAGTTATTAAGTAAAGGGAACATTAAAAATTTACATACTGGAAGTTAATAAAAAATAAACAAATAAAAATTACTTGCCACACCATATTAATAAATTTATCATGATTGCCACTGCCAAATTGAGCAATTTTATAAATGGGGGTGAACAGTAAAGATAAACTTCTATAAAAAAATATATTGTCAAGCTGATTATAGATGGAGTCAAATGCCAAAATGCCCAACCAAAGTTGCCAGAATTGGGTGCATGAAGAGGTGGGCTAGACCTGTGGTTCCCAAACTTTTTTGACCATCGCCCCCCTAAAGTAGTTTATACAACTTCATCGCCCCCCTGCACTACAAAAAAATATAAAGTCAGAAACGAATTTATTACAGACCAAATAAGAAGACAAATCATAGTTTATAGTGTTTTTTAATGAGATAGATGAGCTTGGTGTTCTTCAGCGAGGTTTTTATTATATCTAAAATTACCCCATTTACTGATGGAAAGGTGATTTTATTGTTCTAATAGCAATAGTAGCACGGCTGAAAACCTCTTTTTCACCATATAATAGGTCGGAAATGAAAGAATCCAGGGTCCTACCTCCTCAAAAACCGCCGTGTACTCTTGCCTTATAGCATTTCACTTCCTAAATTCACCCCATTTCACATTAAAATAATAAGAACAAAAATAATTTTCCCAAACTTATAATAATGATTTTCGTACATTTCATTCATTCGTACAGCCTGATGACCTGCACCAAAATACTTCGAAAAAATCCATCCCCGATTCCTCATCCTATCGCGGCCTCCAGTCCATAATTACCCAGCCATTTTTTTTGGATTCATGGACTCGGATGTGGAAGAAGCCGTGACTGACTATCGGCTACGGCCCAGGGGTCGGTAAATTTTATGTCGCTCGCAGGACAAAATTCAGGATTGCTAGTCTTTTGCGGGTAGCATATATTTTTTGAGAGTTAAAAACGGAACACACGCGAAAACTGCGACAATCGTGAACTCAACTCAGTCGTCTTATTAAAAAATATTACAATAACATTTAATGTGACACTGTCTTGTTGCTGCATCGCGCTGGATAGCTTTACGACGCCAAGATTGAAAAATTTCTAAATGGGCATCACCAAACCCACTTCTTTGCTTGTTCTTTGTAATGTGCATTTTCGAAAATAATGGTTTGCACAAATATGTACTTCCAAACATCGAAGTGAATATTTTCGCACGATTTGTGAAATTTTGATAAATATATATTTTCTTTAAGAAGATACATTCTTACAAAAATCAAGCAGTGATGAATCTTCCGAATATGAATATGAATTTTATTTCCTTATTACTTTGCAATATATTCGAATATTTACTGCGCTATTGAACCCCTGCACTCAGCATCAACTTTTCTGCGTGTTTCCATTTGTCTAATTATAATTAAATTGTAGGCTCGTCGAGTGGCTGTTCACTAAATTGTTAGGATATAGTATAATTTACTCTAAACGTGTCTCACGATAAATTCTGTTACGTAAAAAAATGTAATTTACTCCTCGAGCGTAGATTATAAATAAAAAATTTTCATCGTCAAACCCGCCGTTTGGATATTTCCCCGGGCATAGACTTCCCTGTTTACTTCGTGACATTGGCCAATCAGCAAGATGCAAAAAACGTAACAATGCCCCCTTTCGCAGGCGCTCAGACACTCTCACTCGGACAGATTTTCAGGGGTGGTCGTGAGCACTACCTCATTTCGCGTTTTTGAATTATATTCGTTAGTATTTAGTTGTTTTTCGGGAATTTGAATATAAATCAAATAAGTCAATGATTACTTTGTCTTTCTATGAGTTTCAGTTTAAATACAGCAATCAAAAATTAGTGTAGAAATAGCTATGATAGACTAGGCTAAAATTCTTAATCAGTACTTTTAAAAAACAGATTGTTAAATGGTGTGTATTAGAATGATAGTTTGAATCAAATACCCCATTTTACAGGCCACAGCTCGCGAAACCACTCTTAAAATAAGCACCGAAAATTTTAAAATGGTAAAGTATGGAAAAAATTTTCCGCGGTCAAAGGTCGGGGAAAGGTCCATTCAGTGAATGGTCCCGGGCCAGATTATTTTACTTCGGCAGTATTTTGCCGACCACTGGGATAGGCAAAGTACCTTACCTTACTGCAAAGACGAGACCAGAAATTCTTTCGCGTGTGAATATCGCCCACATGTTTCAAGCCTGCGAATGCACACAGAGTACAGAATTAAGTGCGCCGAACATAAAACAGCTTTCGCGAAATCGCCCCCCTATCGCCCCCTTAGACTTTTTCGCCCCCCTCTGTATCGTTTTCGCCCACTGGGGGGCGATATCGCCCACTTTTGGAATCACTGGGCTAGACCACTCTATTGCCCAAACTAGAGCCTATTATTGCCAAATTATAGTCCAGATTGCAATAAGTATTTAAATCTATCAGTAACTTTATAAGTATGAGTAATTATAATTAATTAAGGTAGAAAGACAGGGTATAGGAATATGTTGGTTGCTAAGGTTATAAGGTTTTTTTTTTCATTCTTAGATATTGACTTCTGCAAGGATAAAGGAATTAGGAATAAAGGAATTAGTATTGTTATTTCACAGGATCATTTCTTCATTTAATTATTGTGGCGTAATAGATGTCAATTCAAGTTTATCGTGGATGAGACATCAGCCTGCGAATTTTGTTGTTGTAGACACCATTTATATTCAATAAACTAGCCATTGTATTGATCATCACAGAACGACCTGAAAAACAGAAAAAATCTGCGAGTAGGATATTCAAGGGTTACATATTTGGAAACAGCACTACCCTACACTTTTGTTTAGAATTAATTATTATTTCGAGTAGATATTGATTATTAGTTATCTATCTATAAAACGCTAGTTCAAAGACCAGAGTTGAAATATGGTTGGGACACAGGGTGAATTCCTCGCAAACCATGCAGAAACTCTCAAACCACACTGACCATTCGTATGTTGGCCTTCACATTAACTTCACAGCAGAACCTCAACCTAGGATAAAATTTTGTATACACACAAAACAAATCATAGAATACCACAACAAATTAAAATGAAGGGGAGAATCCAATATATTCCACTGGTCGCCTAATTACAATAATAGGTACAGGAGCTAAACTATACGGTCTACAACCCTCATAAGGTATCACACCACCCATATAGAAACAAAGACCATGCATGTGTAATGTCAAAAATCCAACGTTAAGCAAAAAGGGAACATGCGCATGCAGATGTCAGAGTGTAAACAGCCATTTGAAAAATAAATAAATAAAATAATTTGCTGTGCATGCTACAGAACCCGACACACCAACATTAGATGTAGAACAGGTGGAGAGAGATTAACTGCCGGCTCAACAATCAGCAGCTGCAGGGCAATAGCAATATTGTAGCTGTTTAATATTTTCATGAAAATAAGTATGTGCAAGTGAAGAGTGTCCCAACTTTCTATCATGGTCATTCATGAAGGTTCAATATTTTTTGTGTCCGAGCTATCAAAACGTTGTAGCTAATTACATACGAAAGAGTATATATATCAGTGTGGTTATGGAAAATTCCTTTTAATATTTGGATACCAAGTACGACTTAACTTGTTTCTGAAATGATTTTTTGGATTTTAATGACTTCAAATTCAAGGGAGAGAGTTCCATAGCTTAGGTCCATTATAGCATAGGGCATGCTGGCTCACAGATTTACTCATAAACGGTATAAATAAATTGGAATTACTTCTTCGATTGGAGGTGGTTTTGGTTAGTATGTCGTCAAAGCAGTTTGACAATGAGTTGTCATGAAAATCATAAACTAATGATAATACTTCAAATTTCATTATGTCTTCAACCTTGAGTATATTTAGCGATTTATAGAAATGATTTACGCTTTCACGTTTACTTTTCCTAAAGACAATTCTTAAAAAATTATTACAAATGCTTTGCAATTTCGAGACAAGTGTTTTATTACCATGGAGCCAGACTGAGCTACAATATCGGATATGACTTAGTAGTAGAGATTGAAACATTGCTAGTAAAGCTGATTGATTAACGCACTGGGATACTTTGGCAGCAACTGCCAAGTTCCTTTTTGTTTTACCAATAACATGCGACATTTGTGATTTCCATGACAGATTTTCATCAAAGATAACTCCTAGAAATTTTATTTCTTTCACTCTTTCAATTTCATTGTCATTGAGCAGTAGTGGTTTTGAACAACTCACACTTTTATGCTTGCTTGGGTGGAATAATACAAATTTAGTTTTGTTAGCATTAAGAGATAATTTGTTAACCAACATCCAGCTATGAATGTTGGTTAGTTCTTGGTTTGCAACTGTGAGTAGATCTTCAAGGTTTTTCCCATGAAGAATCAAGTCAGTGTCATCAGCAAACATGATCGACTCAGAGGATTTCAGACACCTGGACATGTCATTAATGTAAGCTAGAAAAATAATGGGCCAAGTAAAGATCCTTGTGGAACTCCGTGCTTCATGACACAAATATTTGTAGAGAATGAGTTGTCATATTGCACAATTTGTTTCCTGTCTTGCAGGTAGCTCCTGATCCAATTGAATGGGACGCCTCTAATTCCATAGTGATAGAGCTTACTTAAAAGGATGGAATGGTCAATGGTGTCGAAAGCTTTTGAAATATCAAGAAATATTCCAATTGCATGTTGTTTGCTTTCAAAGGCCTTGGTCAGTTTGTGTACCAAAACATTAGCAGCCATAGCAGTGGAGTGATGCTTGCGGAAACCAAATTGATGAGAGTGGAAAACATTGTTAGTTTCAAAGAAGTTTGACATTCTACTATACATTATTTTCTCAAGAATCTTAGAAAATGATGGTAAAAGACTAATAGGTCTATAATTTCCAAGATCTGAAACACTACCCTTTTTAAATAGAGGAAGAACTTTAGATGTCTTGAAGCTTTCAATGAATAATCCACTAGATAGTGAAAGATTAAATATATATGTCAGGATGTCAATGATATGTTCTGGAACGTGTTTCAATACTTTGAATGGAATACCATCAATTCCAAAACTTGACTTGGGCTTCATTTCGCGTATAATATTTTTATTTCTAATGATGTAGTTGGCCTTAAAAACATGGATGAGGATTCTTGCTTCCCAAGATATGAAATGTAATTTTTGTCACAGCCAGCTGGTTGTGGCATACAGTCGAGCAGGGTTTGTGCCACTTGGGAAAAGTGTTCATTGAATTTATTTGCAATTTGTGTATTACTGCAATCGAGTCCAATCAAAGGACAAGAACCTGTTTTATTTTTACCAATAAGTTCATTAATTGTTTTCCACACTGCCTTGATGTTACCTTTGTGAGAGGCAAATTTAGATTTGTAATAATTTGATTTCTTTTTGTAGAGCAATCGACTATAAAGGTTCCTGTTATATCTTTATAACAAGTAATGAATACAGACTCATTACAAAACTGCAGCGATTTATTTGGACATCCGTCCGTCAACTTAGTTCAGAACAAAAGACCTCTAAACAGAGGAAAAACAACTTACGGCACTAGACAGCATTGTGACGTAACAATATAGCACACAAGCAGATAGAGTAGTAAACAAGCTATGATAGTAAGCTCAACATAATATATAACACTCCTTCCCCCCTTTTTGGAAATATTGTACAAATTCAAGAACCAAATATTAAAAATAAATGTACAACACAATTACCCGAATTCCAACATTCCCAATCAAATGGTATAAAATATTGCAAAAACAAATATACAAGCAACGTACAGAATTTCACAAAGAAACTAAGAAATTCAAAGAAACTTTTACAACTATAATTCTGTCCAGTACAAAATTATAAAACTTCTTATAGAGATAGTTTTTCTGGCGGTTTTGATATTCTGCCAGATCTTGTTTTATAAGGTATGTTTGAATTACTGGACGATTCTGGAAAATTAGGAACTGGGTCTACATTGTCTCTGTCATTTTGAGATTCATCAGTCTCTTCAGTAGCAGTAGAGGTAGGAGTTGAATTTCTATCTCCCACATCAACATCAGGTATTCCTGTTGGAATTGCAGCTGGTATTCTCTCACTCATTCTAAAATCTTGATTCCCTTCACGTACCATTACATCATCAGCAGAAAATCGATGTCGAATATGATCAAGATGACGTCTAAAAATTCTTCCATCGTTCAAACGAACACGACACATTTGACCCATAACTTCAGTTACTGTGGCAGGTAACCATTTGAAACGAGATCCAACGACTTCTGTAATAAAAACTGGGTCATCAATGTGAAAAGTTCTTATTATTCCACTTGGAACATTCTCTGCTGACTTCTTCAAACGTGATGAAGGTGCGATTAGATCAAGATGCGTTCTAATCTTACGACGAAAAAGTAATTCCGACGGAGTCTGACCAGTCGTTGTATGTGGTGTAGTTCGGTATTTAAATAACCACCGAACAAGTCTGACTGACAAAGATGCTGGTGCTTGTTTCTTCAATCCAAGTTTAACTTGTTTTACCATTGATTCAGCTTGGCCATTAGAAGCCGGATGTCTCGGTGGTGAAAACAAGTGCTTCACTCCATTTGCCTTTAGAAATGTTGCAAATTCGTCTCCTGCAAAACAACCAGCGTTGTCAGTGACTACAACTAGTGGTAATCCATGTGTAGCAAATGAAAGTCTGACTTTTTCAATAGTTTCATGAGCAGAAACTGACGATGTAATCCACACATCTGGCCATTTGCTAAACGCATCAACAATAACAAGAAGCATTTTCCCATCAACTGGACCGGCATAGTCCATATGTATTCTTTGCCATGGACCATTAGGATAAGACCATGGGCTAGCAGGAACTTGAGGTGCACTGGGACGTAACTGTTGACACAAACTGCAAGATTTCACCAACTCTTCAATATCAGCATCAACCCCAGGCCACCATACATGATTACGAGCAATTCTTTTCATAGAACAAATACCAGGATGACCATCGTGAAGTAATTGCAACACTTTCTGTCTTCCTTGTGGCGGAATAATTACTCGACAACCCCAAAATAAACAATTTTCATGGACACTTAGTTCCGTCTCTTTGCTTCTATAAATTTGTAATTCTGGGTCTATGTCAGAAGATTTTGGCCAGCCCATTTGAGTATGATGCATAACTGCGGACAGTACAGGATCTCTTCTCGTCCAAGACTGAATTGCATCAACTTTAACAAGGGTAGAATCGACTGCTTCAAGAAGATTCACTACATCACCACAAGGCGGTATATAATCCGGTTTAACAGGCAAAGGCAAACGACTTAGTGCATCGCTATTGGCTTGGTTTTTACCTGGAACATACACTAATTCGTATTGATATCCATCAAGTAATACTTTCCAACGGATCATTCTCGGTGGAGCTGCATCAGGAAGTGGCTTATTCTTCCCAAGTAAACCGAGAAGTGGCTTGTGATCAGTTTCCAAAACAAACGGTCTTCCATATAAAAATGAATGGAACTTTGTAACAGCGAATACTAGAGCTAATCCCTCTCTATCCAATTGGCTATAATTACGCTCTGGTTTTGACAAAGATCTGGATGCAAAAGCCACAGGACGTTCTCCTTCCTGCGTTATTACAGATAAAACTGCTCCGATTCCATAAGGACTGGCATCTGCAGAAACAATGACGGCGGCATTTCCGTCAAAATGAGCAAGGCATGGAGCATTACACAATAGCGATTTCGTTTTCTTAAAAGCTTCCACTTGCCTTTTATTCCAGTGCCATCGAACATTCGAACGAAGAAGTTCATACAAAGGAGCAGCAACAGTTGATAAATTTTTAATGAATTTACCATAATAATTAAGCATCCCCAGATATGAGCGCAACTGATGTATATTTTGTGGTTCTGGGGCATCCAGAACAGCTCTCAGATTATCTTCAGTTGGTTGAACTCCAAGTTTATTTATACGATATCCAAGATAAGTAATTTCTGAAACCATCCATTTACATTTGTTTGGATTAATTTTTAGACCTTCATTTGTAAGACGCTTGAAAACTTCTTCCAATCTGGCTATGTGTTCTTTATCAGAAGAACCGGTTACTCCAATATCGTCTTGGAAAACACCTACACCTGCTATGTCACCCAGCAGTGTTTCAAGATATCTCTGGAATATAGCTGGGGCACTTGATATTCCATAAACAAGACGATTTGTCGTGAATAATCCCTTATGTGTATTAACTACTGTGTACTTTTGACTCTCTTCTGCCAATGGTATCTGCAGATATGCCTCTTTCAGATCAATAACAGAGAATTTTTCCCCACCAGCAAATTTAGTCAATAATTCATCCACCTTTGGCAATGGATACTGCTCAAGACGACTTGCTTTATTTACAGTCAAGTCATAACTTCCACAGAGCCGAACTGACTTCTGATCAGCTTTTAATACGGTAACCATAGGTGCAGCCCAATCGGATGTTTTACATGGCTTCAAAACACCGATTTCAACTTGTCTATCAAGTTCAGCTTCGACCAATTCTTTGAGTGCAAGAGGTACAGGTCGTGGTTTATAAAATTTAGGCTTAACGCTGTCATCAATCTCCAATTTAGCTTCAGTTTTTGCACAACCTAATCCAGGTGAAGACAATTCAGGATACTTATCAAGCAGTGTACTGATTTTAACATCAGAATAGTTAATTTTGAAAATTGAATTCCAATCAAGTTTGATATGTTTCAACCAATTTCTCCCCAGCAATGGTTTACAGCGGTTACTATTTCTTACCACAGTGATTGGCAATACCATTGGGTTACCATTTTGATACGTTACAGTAACATCCCTTTCTCCCTCTACTGGAATAGACTCCCCCGTGTATGTAGACAGTTTAACATCGGTGTGGTTCAATTCTGCTTTTGGCCACAACTTTTTATATTGCACTAAAGACATGACAGATAGTGTAGCCCCTGTATCTACTTCCCAAGAAATGTTTTTGCCATCGATGTCAAGATCAAGATAGATTGGATTGCATTTCACACCCACATTGTTATTTTGCACGGACGACACTGTATGATGTAATTCGTATGATGAACCAGAGTTTTCATTCGTTTCACTTTCGCCCGGCGTATTCTTATCACCAGCGATACAACATTGAGAATTACATTGCTTACTTCTCTGGCCGTGTCTATACTGACTTGATTTCTTGAATCGACACACACTCTTGGTATGGCCCTTTTTACCACAACAAAAACACTTGGCATCTTTAAATGGACATTCACGGGCAAAGTGCTTAGAACTATCGCAGCGAAAACATCTAAGAGACTTACCCCTCTAGCCGAAGAAAGCTGTGGTGCTCTAGGCTTGGATTTGCTATCGGAATTCTTTTCACGCTGCACATCAATTTCATATAATTTCTCTGGTCTCGTGTGACGTTGTTCAATTTGTTTTGTTTGTTGCTTTGCTTGTTCTAGACTTTTTGCATAATCCAGAAGTTCTCGAAGAGACATACGCTGCTGTAGAGCTTTTTCCCTAACTCTAGAATCACATCCACCAGAAATAACTTGCTGTTTTATTTCACGATCAGCATCCGTAAAATCACAGGTAACAGCTAATTTACGCAAACGTGCCACATAAGTATCAATATTTTCGCCAAATTTCTGTTTTGCATTCCTGAAAACATCACATTCAAAATCAATGTTTATCTTTGGCACGAAATAATTATCCAATTTCTTAACGGTGTTGGCATAAACATTATCATTTTCATCTGCATTCGGCGGTGCGGGCAAATTCTCATACAGGTCAAAAACTTCAGGTCCCGCAAAATGTAATAATAACGCTTTCTTTTCTCTGCGTTGTCAACCGACATGGCGAGGCACATGTTTTCAAATCGTCGCAGCCATTGTTGCCATTCGTCTGGGCGATTAATGTTGAATTGCGCAACTTCCAATGATGCTGACGTCATTATTCTGTTAACAGTTGCAATCGTGCTTCAACGATGCTCAAATAATTTACTGCCGTTTAATTCAATATAATAACAGGCCTTGGGTTCCCAGTCCAGTGAATGCTGTTCACTATGAATATCCAAAGTCACTGATTATGCTGCAATAATCAGTTCTAACTCCGTCGCAGTCCAGCGACTGTTCTCTTATCTATCCTCGAAATTAAGCTGTAACTTCGATATATTTTCCTTCTTTCCCCAAGAAATGGCTACAAAACGGCACAAAAAGGCTTTTTAATCCTCGTCGCCAATTTGTTATATCTTTATAACAAGTAATGAATACAGACTCATTACAAAACTGCACGCGATATTTGGACATCCGTCCGTCAACTTAGTTCAGAACAAAAGACCTCTAAACAGAGGAAAAACACTTACGGCCCTAGACAGCATTGTGACGTAACAATATAGCACACAAGCAGATAGAGTAGTAAACAAGCTATGATAGTAAGCTCAACATAATATATAACAGTTCCTGCATTCATTGAACTGTAATTTGTGCTTGTCATTTATGTTTTTATTGTTTATTAATTTCTTATAAAGTTTTTGTTTGACTTTGTTTAGTTTACGTAACTCAGTATCATACCAAGGTTTGTTTGATCTGTTTGTTTGTTTTTTGTAAGGAAAAGATTTAGAGTAAGCAGTAGAGAATTTTTCAAAAAATTTTTCAAAGCAAGTGTTGGGATCCTGGATGCTGCTGAAGTCATCAATATCAATAGAATTCAGTTCGTTCATAAAAGTATTCAAGTTGGACGAAGTAAACTGGCGGTAAAGCGTTTCAATTCTGTTCTGAATTTGCTTTTCTAGAAGAGAGCATTGTACAATTGGCAGATGATCAGAAACACATTCTGCTAAAACAGCACTATTAACTTTTTTATCATATACGTTTGTCCAAATGTGGTCTATACAGGTAGCAGAACTTGAAGTTATCCTGGTGGGGCAGTTTATTAGAGAATAATAGGCCAGGTTGTGCATAATATCAACAAATAGGCTGGTATTCATATTGGACTCATCAATAAGATTATAGTTGAAGTCACCCAATATATAATTATAATTCAACTTGTTCATCTTTGAGAGAACATGGGACAAGAGATTCCGAAAGTTAGCATTGTTCAATTCATCAGTTAGTGGTGATCTATAAATAGTACCGCAGGTTATTGTTTTATTTTCCAATAATATGTCAATAAATATAGATTCGAAAACCTTTTCACACATTATAGTAATATCCTTGCGGACAATGTTTTTCAAATCATTTCGAATGTAGAGACCAACACCACCACCTCGGTGATGAGATCTACTGTTAGTGATAAAAACATAGCCATCCAATGTATTGAAATGGCCATTTGTACCAGATACAATCCATGTTTCATTTACAGCAATTACATGAGGCTTACAATTCAGTGAATTCACTAGTGCTTCAAATTTTGTGTAGTTTTTGAAAGAGGCTAAAGATCTGATATTGAGTGAAAGAGTCATGAAACCACTTAGTTTAAAACTATCATTGAATTTGAGATCATTGACATCGCTAGAGCAAATATACTGATTTGAGCTGTTGTACATGAAAACACTGTTTATGTTGTTGAATTCATCATTGTCAGTATTGGCTGACTCAAGAAACATTTGGTTTAGGTATTCAGGATCAAGAATTTTAGTAAGTGCCTGGGCTTCCGCTTTTTCTGAATGAAGGGAAGTACATGATTCTAATAGTTCAGAATCAGAGAGAGAAGAGAATGGTATGCAATCTTTTTCACAAAAGAAACAGCACCAAGGCATATCATCAGCTTCAGATTGCAGGTTTTCATACTGCTGGTTAGAGATATTGGTGCATTTTAAATGTATCAAATGTGAGCAAATGTTGCAAAAAATAGCTTTCTGATTAGTTCGGACTGATTCTTGGCAATTTCTACAGGGATATTTTAAATTATGTTTCATGGTGGTGGCAAAGTAATGAAATAAAAAAATAAAAAAAGTATAGTGAAGTAAGACAAAATCTAAAATACAAAGCTTGAATACAAAGTTTCCAGGTGCAGAACTTATGGTTAAATAAGTACTAGCCTAATAAGCATAAGGAAAATAAGGGTGAAAATAAATTGAGTTAAATTATATTATCAACCCTGTGCTAAAGGCCACCACTATACCAATGAGACCAAGTTGCAAACAGTGTGCCTATTTGCTAGGTCCCATTGGGCGAGTAGCAGCCCTGGAGTACAGGGGACGAGAGAGAGTAGTGATATCATTTAAACAAGATATATCTCGCCTTCTGTCCAAGTAAGCGTATATAGTCCCATTCATTGTCGACACCTTATGCTTCCCGAATGCTTCCTTGGCAGCGGCGAGGAGCTTGAGCCTATTCCGGGTCAAGGACTCCGTGATGGACAAACCGCTGCCTTTTAGATCTTTCTTCCTATCATATATTAAATTTTTTGTCGATCAGTAAACAGCAATCTGAAAGCAAATTAGTTTGAGAACAAATTAGTTTGAATTAACCATCAAGCAACAAAGGAAAGTGATTAGGGCACCACAGAAATTCTCATTGTCGAATTTTCAATAGCGCCTCAATCTTTTATGAAATATGTGGAGTTGCTCTGACGACTAACACCTCAATATTGGCACGGTTAAAATGAAATCTTTGCTTGTTTGTCTTTCCCAAGTATCATCTTAAACCTGATAAATGTTTGTAGGCATGACAACTATTTCCAAAATATATCATACAAATTAATTATAATTTGGCCGTCAATCATTTACTCATTATATATTATTACTACCTGTTAGGGGACTAAGGTCCTAAGTACTTAGGGTCTGTAAAACTACTTTTAAAATGCATCAGTTAATAAATGTTTTGAGTAGCATTTAGACGTAACTTCAATACCGTTAAAAAGCGCCAGTTGTTAAACGTTTGAATTGCATTTCACCGTATCTTCAAAACTGTTAGAAAGCGTCAGTCGTTGAACGTTTAACTAGCATTTCACTGTAACCTCGATACTGTAAAAAGCGATAGCCGTTGGTTGTTTAAACAGCATTTCACCGTAACTTCAATACTGGTAGAAAGCGTCAGTCGTTAAACGTTTAAATAATATTTCACTGTAACCTCGATACTGTAAAAAGCGATAGCCGTTGATTGTTTAAACAGCATTTCACCATAACTTCAATATTGGTACAAAGCGTCAGTCGTTGAATGTTTAAATAGCATTTCACTGTAATTTCGAAACTGTTAAAAAGCGTCAGTCGTTGAACGTTGTTGTGTACGTACGTTGGACGTTGAACGTGTACAAAGAAAAGGCGAATTTTGCTTATTTTTGTTTCTCATATAATCACCTTAACCTCTCTATAATTGTTTGTAGGTATGAAAACTATTTTCAAGAAATATCATGTAAATCATTCATAATCTGGCATTCAATCAGTAATAATTACTGAAATTTACTTATCTCAGATAACACGAAACATTAGTTACATTTGTGTTGGGATTTCTTGCACGACAAATAAACTTATTGTCTATTGTCCTATTATTAATATTATTTTTCAGTTTCATTTTTTTGTAATTATTTTAACTTTCTGGCGACCGAGAACTTCATGTTCCTGAGGTCATCGTTTGATAGAAAGTACTTTACGTAAGATGCGGATGTTCCAAAAAGAACGTTTTTTGGGGGGCTGTTCTGCATTAATTTTTCCTGGAATATTTTGGACATATTGTACAAATCATTTTCCGATAAGTGCAAGCCTTAAGTGCTTGGGGCTTCTAAAGGACATGATCTTGTCCTGTCCAAAAGTCATAAGCGAAATATTTGTCATCAACAGTGCACCGAACATAGCTACGATAGCGAACGTCTTATTCCCTAATGTAATAGTCTATTCATTAATTTACTAGTCTATATATATCTTGAAAATTGTACCGGAATCTCGTTATATATATACGTAATGATAAAAAAATCAACACAGCAAGTGCTCTATACGGATTTTTATTTCGAAATATTAGAAGACACACTGAATGGCCTAATAAACAGAAATGGTAGAATATTTTTTGTCGAGGATCATGAAATTTAATGAAGGGAAACCATGTCGGTGAGAGTCTGGTCCAGTTTTTCGCTGATGCCTTTGTACGACAATTTCTCGGCGTAGAGTTGATCTGGAAATAAGGAGAAATGATATAATATAAGTATTTTTCTTGCGCTTGAGTTTGTTAAATTCATATATAATAAAAAAACTTCACAGCATAATTCAAATTTGTGCATAGAATAAGTTCGACTTTGTTGTCTGAATAAGTAACAAATTTGTAGATTGGAATTGAGAAATCAATCACAGATGACGTACCTTCGAGATAATCGATGGTCTTTTCCAACTTGTCGACAGTTCTTTCAGCAAATTCAGCTCTGGTTTCAGCCTAAATAAATATTTACATAAAATTTCATTTATTAATTTGCAACAAAATGATACAAATTACAAATCGTTATTTTATTACTCAAATAATTTATGTTTATTACATCAATATGTCCTTATTTAAACTTACGTTCTTCAATTTTTCTGAAAGAACACGAATTTCTTCTTCATATTTATCTTCTTGTTCAGAATTTTTGACAGAGATTGATTCCATGTTTCTCAAAGTTTCTTGAAGTCCTTTCAATTGTTCGTCAGTGTGCTTCACTTTACTGCAACAAGTATTTTGAATTTAGGTATTTGGGATCAGGAAAACTAGATATATATAAGAGCGATGACCAGATTTCGTTCTGATTAATCGAAAAATCCTTTAAAGAATATTCGGCCGAAAGTATCAAAATTTTCAATTTTTCTGATAGTGAATATGAAAAAAATAGTTCGACGAATTAGTATAAACTGCCATTTTTCTATTCCCATTTAATTACACTCATGGAATAATATTCTATTACTTACGTCTCGTGTTCTTCGGCACGGTCGGTAACACGTTCCAAATCGTTTTCAACCATGCGAAGTTTTCTGCCGACCTGAAATATAGATGCAGGTAATATATATTATTCTAAATAATTCTGATATGTTGCTGCTGAATTTGCATTCCAACCCCGTCAATCAATGAAGAAGCTGTATTTCTTATCCCACGTACAAGCGACTATTGCATTTACGATGCATAATGAAAGCGCTAAATTTGTCACATTTTGATTACATATGTGGCATGATACTAATTAACGACGTATAATGTATTATGCAATATGTTCTATGTTCTCACCTCTTCATATTTTCTGTCAGCATCTTCAGCAATAGCTTTAGCATCACGAAGTTGGATTTCTTGTAATTCCAAAGTTTCTTCATCCTTGAATGATCTGCTTTCAATAAGTTTTCGGCCTCGTTCACTTCTCTTCGGCTGCTTTCTCAGCAGTTTCGAGTTTAGTAAGGGTTTCGTTCAATCGTTAGTTACTCTGGCTAACTCTTCTTCAAGAAGTTGCATACGACGAGTTTGTGCGTTCACTTCCAATTCAGACTGCAAAACCAAATTTAAAGGGTTAAATCATGAAAACCATTGATGCTCGATAAGACCTCGATATTTGGATCCTAACAGTAAATCAAATTGCATTTTTTATATTCTATTTATTCACTCTCATATCTTCCTGTGGCCATTGTAAAAACAGAAGAACCGACGTAACCAATGATCACGTGATAAGCCTACTCAATATATGCTGTAATATTTGGCAAATGTTTGTATGTTGTGTTGTATATATTTAATTTTACATATATTTTTACATATTCTGGATGAAGGTAATAAATTTGACTCACGTCAGTGGCAACTTTTGAAGCAGTTTCGACTTTTTCCAGTGATTCTCTGTTCTGTTCCATAACTTTGTCAAGTTCATCTTCAAGATTGGTGATTTTGCGGGTGATGGCGTTGATTTCAGATTCAAGCTGTAAAACAAGTTTGAATTAGTTTGAATAACAACCGTTCTTAATTCATCAACGAAGGCGTATAAATTTGTCTTTGTTCTCAAAATTGATAAGACATTCTCTAAAATTCTTAGTTTACATCAGTTTCAATGCCTAACTTACCTCTTTGGCTTTGTTTTCCAAATCTTTCTTTTCGTTTTCTTGGTTGACTGCTTTTTCGACAGCTTCGTCCTTTTCACGGATTAATCCTTCCATTTTGTGCTTGATGGATTCCATTTTGTTCTAGGATTTAGTGAATTACACAACAAAGGATCTTGATGCTGGATGGCGAGAAGAAATGATATATCTTTATCGACTGAGAGCGGGTTTATATACCGATGGCCGCGCTTTTGGAACAGCGCATTATCACCAAACGCGAAGTGTGAAATACGCAAGCAGTAGTTTGGTGCTACTGTAGCGAGTACATAAGGATAGTTACTGTATGTTTCAATATTCTTCACCACTCATTGTTAATAGTGCACGTTATTGGACCTGAAACAAGGTGTTGCTTTTCATATCCTTTATATTTTTCCCTCGCTCAAGTATTCGTTTTTTGTTAGTTAAGAATTTGATTTCGCCTCATTAAGGGTTAAGTGTTTTCAATTTATCTGTATTCGGATTGGATTGTGAAACTTTCAATATACAAACATTCGGCATTCAATATTTTGTGTGCTTTATTGACCTATGACGGAATCCAGATCGGGGTAACATTCCATAACGTGTGTGAATTCAATGACAAGGGAATGCGCACACGCATGTAGGGTTGTCTTCCCCTATATTTATGGTGACACCCGTTCGTGATCAATAAGCAATCAACTTCAATTCAACAACTGGAATTTGTCAATCAAAATGGGACAGAAATTCACCACTAATCGAGCCAATGGACAATACGTCAACTTTTCAAGAATGAAGCAAAAAATCGATCTTCAATCTCAGGCATTATGTCAATGTAAAAAGAAGTCGGGACGACCAGAACGTTTCAGATTTTTGACCTCCTACGATCAGGCAGAACCAACTCAACTACAACTCTTCAAGTTTAACGCCCGAGTTCACGCTCGTGTGTTTTTATTTTTCAAGCTTCGACGCCCGAATTCAACAATTCGCGTATATATAAAAAACTTTTCTTTGTCAAACATCATCGCCCAAATTCTTTGAATTTGTGTCTCATTATCAACTTATATATTACAACTAAAATAACTAAATGTTTTGTGTGTCAAACGGATGCAGAGATATGGACTCCAGCAGATCAATCCACCCCAGAGAAATTCAAAATTACCAGGACAACTTCATATTATTACTGGATTTGCAAATATTTTCATCGACATCGTCAAAGCAAGCTACGCGCAAAATAATATTGATAATATACCAAATCAATTTTGCCGAGCATATAATATACGCAAGCCGATTTACTACACCAAGAAGCAGCATTTAGCGCCCTATTGTTTGGCGATCGTCAATGAAACATCCACTTTCTTTCAAGTCGACCAAATCATCTATTGCAGCGTCATTGGAAAACTAAGTCGAATACAGATACTCGTGGCCCACGTAGAAGCGTCCTACTTCAATCACATGACACGAAAACTGCATTATCCTCTGGTAGTCTAGCTGATCTAAGCCGATGTGAACCGAACGGTGACCGTACATTTGAACCCACGCACATTTGAACCCATGTGTATATCCGCGGTTTCAATCTATATGCGGGTGCTAAAACACATGAGTTAGGGTTAGTATGGGTTCAAATATCCGTAAAACAAAAACAATTTCCATAGGTGCAATAGTATATGCAGGTGCAATTGTCGTGAGTTCAAATGTAATGGAACCGAACCGAACACGGGTTTCTGTCGCAAAAGTGCTTTCACATATGTTTGGAGCGTTGGAGATACGAAAGCTTGTAGAGCTCGCGACTTTCCGAAACACATCGCTACCGAACGTTTGCTACATTGTAACTCGTCGAGCAATCTTTACATATTGGAAATTCCGAGAGTTGGACAAGTTCTCATTGCTTCAAGGAATGCTCTCAACGAACAAAATCTTAACGCCGATATTATCCTTCAAATCAACTATTACGTTCATTATTTTTCAAAGCAGAAAGAAGTCGATTGATTAAATGAAATGGCTTAGTTCTGGGTGTTGTCGAAGATTTTTAAAAAATCTGTAGATTTCACCGCAAAGGATATTGCCTTCAACTGGCGCTATTATAGGATGCTTGTTATCTTAAAAGCAATCCTAAATAGAGCATAATAACTTAATTGGTTTTCTTGTTTCGTTTCATTAGTTGGTCATCAGCGACTTTGATGCAGAATTAAATACACTCTCACATGGAAAAAGGTTACGACCTATAATGCAATCAGGAATCGTTATTAGCTGGACTTACAAAATTTAAAAATTAGCAAGCTATTTTTTCATATTGTCGGGGGGAATTGTTGTAGCAAGTACATAAGGATAGTTACTGATGACTGTATGTTTCAATATTCCTCACCACCTATTGTTAATAGTGCATGTTATTTGCCTGAAACAAGATCGTTGCTCTCATTCATTTATTTTATGATATTTTCCCTCGCTCAAGTATTCGTTCTTTAGAAATTAGTTAGTTAGAAATTTGGTTTCATCACATATACGTATTAAGGTGTGTTTCGTTATCAGTGTTTCGGATCAATTCGATTGTGCAACTTTACAATATACGAACATTTGGCATTCATCTATCTATTGTGTGCTCATTGACTTCTGAAGGACTCGGTTGGGGTTTACTCCGCTAACGGGAGTTTAATAACACGGGGGTAAGAACACGCAGATAGGGTTGTCTTTCACTATATACTGCCATAGCGCTAACTGTTCATTCATTTGTTTTCGTCCATTATCATTTAACACAACTTATTGAAATGCTATTCACCGAACATAAACGAAAGTTGACAAGACGAGCTCTATATGCTTTTTTATTTCAAAATATTGGAAGATACATTGAATGGCCTAATAAACAAACAGAAATGGTAGAATAATATTTCGACGAGAATCATTAAATTTAATGAAGGGAAACCATGTCGGTAAGAGTCTGGTCCAGTTTTTCGCTGATGCCTTTGTACGACAATTTCTCGGCGTAGAGTTGATCTGAAAAAAAAGAAAGGAAGAAATTAATATAAGTAATCGCCTTGCGCTTGAGTGTGTTAAATTTATTTATAATGAAAATCTCCACAGCCTATTTCGAATTTAGTAGTAAGTATAAGTTCGACTCTTTCGACGGAATAAGTAACAAATTTATAGATTGGAATTAGGAAATCAATCACAGATGACGTACCTTCGAGATAATCGATGGTCTTTTCCAACTTGTCGACAGTTCTTTCAGCAAATTCAGCTCTGGTTTCAGCCTAAATAAATATTTACATGAAATTTAATTTATATTTGCAACAAAATTATACAAATTACAAATCGTTGTATTGTCAAATATTTTGAGTTTCTCAGATAATTATGAAATGTCTCAAACTTACGTTCTTCAATTTTTCTGAAAGAACACGAATTTCTTCTTCATATTTATCTTCTTGTTCAGAATTTTTGACAGAGATTGATTCCATGTTTCTCAAAGTTTCTTGAAGTCCTTTCAATTGTTCGTCAGTGTGCTTCACTTTACTGCAACAAGAATTTAAATATTCACATTTGCGGTCATGAAAACTAGATATAAGGCGATAAACAGACTTCGTTTGAATAATCGAAAAATCCTTGAAAGAATATTTTGCCTGAACGATCAAAGTTTGCTATTTCCCTGACAGTAAATGTGTAATAAAATGGCCCACGATGTCAAAATGTACGAATTAGTATAAATTACCAACTGTTTATCCTTTTATCATTGTCTATCATTTAATTACAATCATGAAATAAAATTTGATTACTCACGTCTCGTGTTCTTCGGCACGGTCGGTAACACGTTCCAAATCGTTTTCAACCATGCGAAGTTTTCTGCCGACCTAAAATATAGATTCGGGTAATATATATTATTATTCAAACTATTTCTGAGAAGTGTTAAAGATTTTACACACTATCATCGTCTACTTATGTATCATTGTATTTGTTAGCACAAGTACAAATGACTATCACATTAACTTCGCGATCTAATATTTTGTGAACTGCGCTAAATTTGTCACGTTTAGATTACAATATGTGATGTTACGTAGTAGCCTATGTTCTCACCTCTTCGTATTTTCTGTCAGCATCTTCAGCAATAGCTTTAGCATCACGAAGTTGAATTTCTTGTAATTCCAAAGTTTCTTCATCCTTGAATGATCTGCTTTCAATAAGTTTTCGGCCACGTTCACTTTCTTCGGCTGCTTTCTCAGCAGTTTCTAGTTTAGTAAGGGTTTCGTTCAATCGTTCAGTTACTCTGGCTAATTCTTCTTCAAGAAGTTGCATACGACGAGTTTGTGCGTTCACTTCCAATTCAGACTGCAAAACCAAATTGAAATGATTAAATCATGAAAAACTTTGCTGCTCGATATTTGGATTCTGACAGTAAATTAAATTGTATTTTTATAATCTTATTTATTCACTCTCATATCTTCTTGTGGCCATTGTAAAAACAGAACAACCAATGTAACCAAAGATAACGTAATAAGCCTAGTAAATATATGCTGTAATATTTTAGGAAGCGTTAACAAATTTTTGTATCTTCTGCTGTATATATTTGGTTTCACATATTTTACAGGCTTTACATGTCTTTATACATATTCCGGATTAAAGGTTTAAATTTTACTCACATCAGTGGCAACTTTTGAAGCAGTTTCGACTTTTTCCAGTGATTCTCTGTTCTGTTCCATAACTTTGTCAAGTTCATCTTCAAGATTGGTGATTTTGCGGGTGATGGCGTTGATTTCAGATTCAAGCTGTAAAATAAGTTTTTAATTCATAAACAAAATCGTATGAATTTATTGTTCTCAAAATTGATAAGAAATTCTCTAAAATTATGAGTTTACATTAGATTCAATGCCTAACTTACCTCTTTGGCTTTGTTTTCCAAATCTTTCTTTTCGTTTTCTTGGTTGACTGCTTTTTCGACAGCTTCGTCCTTTTCACGGATTAATCCTTCCATTTTGTGCTTGATGGATTCCATTTTGTTTTAGGGTTTAGTGAAATACACAACAAAAGATCTTGATACTGGATGGCGAAGGAAGAAATGATATATCTTTATCGACTGAGAGCGGGTTTATATACCTATGGCCGCGCTTTTGGAACAGCGCATTATCACCAAACGCGAAGTGTGAAATACGCAAGCAGTGTGTGCTACCTTAGCGCTAACATCTGTTCATTCATTAGTTTTCGCCCATTATCATTCTACACAACTTATTGAAATGCTATTCACCGAACATAAAAAAGTTGGCAGACGATCGTGGGTAATTTCTAATTTAAGAGTATGTCACTGACCTTCATGAAATATATTATATTAAAATATTAATTCAATAATTTTACACAAACTGTAGAAGCACAACGATGTATAGAGAAGTAGTATATATATTATAAAGCGATTGTCTATTTTTAAAGGATCATTATACTTCTCCTGACGCACGGAAGTTTGAATATACCGTACCACGAATCCGATGAAAAGTTTTAAGATTTACTGCGTCACCTATTTGTATTTGGAATAACAGTCCTTGATTCATTGGGTCACGCAATATAACAACTTGACTGTTTATGAAATTTTACAAAAATTTATCTCACGCGTAAATATAAATCACGATTTCCATATTTTTAATATATACTGTATATACCATTTATACATGTATACCACCGTATATCATTTTTGAAATATTATTTTGGGCACACTCCGGAAAGCTGGTCGTTGAATTAAGCATATATTCATATATATTTAAAATAACATGAGCACATGTGTTTTTTAATTGTAACTTGTCGTTACGTGTCGCAAATCAAACGAAAAACCTTTCGCTGTAATATTTTCGTCAGAATTTTGGTATTGCATTATATTTTATCTATATCTGTAGGCATCACTTTTAAGCAATACCAGCTCTTGCTCATTAGTGATTGCAAAAACTTGGTCCACTTCTAAATCATTGGAAATACTTTGGCATCCATTTGTTTTCTATCAAATGTGTATGCATGTTTTTGCGTGATTTATATCGCTTTGGAGATATTTTCAGTTTTACAATCACTAAATTAAAGCACTGTGTAACGTAAGAAACATAATACAGTACCAAAAACGATAAGAACAATCAAATTTAAAACACGGATTGCAACGGGTGCCTAAATATATTTAATACAGAAGATCTCCAATTTAAATTATGTTATGAAAGCGCAAAGCATTTACAAGCGCGGGGGTGAAGTCCCGTGGACTCAATTAGGTCGGCGTGGATTTGAAATCAGCCAATTTCAAAACACATTTATTTACAACCTAATTTATATACACTATCTCACAAAAATCCACCAAAACTAGCAAGGTCGTGTAGTCGAAGTCTGTCGTTTTTAATTATTATTTCAATGTAATACTTCACTAGTTGGAGTTTCCGGAACTGGACTAGAAATAACTCGTGCCAATGATAGAATTTTCATAAACTGAATATTTGTATTTCCGGGTAGGAACTGAATTTCTTTCATCCTTCAGTTGCAAAGTCAAATTTTCCTGTCAATCGATAATAAGAAGGACCCTTTCTCAATTCCATATATCATACTTGTGTTGGTGATGTGATAATGTGACATCCAAAACAATTTAAATAGAGAGAAATGATGAGATATTTGTGAAATTTAATATGGTCATGCAATCTTTTGATATCCATTTTCATAATATAAATGTATACATAAACAAGCAATTAGAAATAAAAATGCCGTTTTATTTCCTGTTTGGAAATCGTTCTATGGCTTCGTTTTACTTCAGAGTGATCATGTCGCCAAGAGTCTGGTCCAAGTTTTTCACTGATTCCTTTGTATGATAGTTTTTCGGCTAACAGTTGATCTGAAATATAAACAAAAAATACAATATCACATGGTAAAATAAAAACCTATTCATTGCTTTATAGAATTTAACACCAAGTGACAGGACAAATGTCACGTTACCTTCTAAAGAATCGATAGTTTTTTCCAGTTTGTCGACAGTGCGTTCAGCAAATTCAGCTCTTGTTTCGGCCTGTGAATGAGAAAAATGGATTCAATAACTCCTTGAAAATAAACAAATCCAAAAAAGTATTAGACATAAAACTGAAGCAAAACCTCTCAGAAGTATAGTATCTGTATCTGGTGTTATCTTCGTCGCTATCATATTCAGCATATCCACATATATATATAACTACTCACATTTTTCAGTTTCTCCGACAGAATTCTCATTTCGTCTTCATATGTATCTTCTTGTTGTGAGTTCCTAACTGCCTCATTTTCCATCCGTTTTAGTTTTTCTTGCATCGCCCTCAATTGTTCTTCTGTCTGTTTCACTTTCCTAAAAAAGAAACGTCGTATTCCGTCGTATGGTTAATGATTGCGCATAACCAACGCTATGTCGTTAAATTTTCCTATACTTAACTGTACAACATCACAAGTAAACCATTCGGACTAGCTTGTTATCATATAGGTATACAGTATCGAGAATTATATACAGCGTGTAATACCTAGTAGCATTCTACATATTGAGTGATTATACGGTGCCTAACTTGTAGCGAAGGTGTTCAACAACTTATATATTTACAAGATGCCGTGGTTCGTCATATGATTAAACCCCCTTCTCGGCTCTCCTCTCCCCCGGGATAAATATGCAAATCCTGTCCTATCCTACGGTGGAACGTTTTTGAAATTCCTCTTCGTAATTCGTACGTTTCGTGTCAGCTACATCGTTTAGATTGATAATTCCAATCGACACAAAAAAGCAGATTTTTACAATGTACATAACCTATGTATGATTCTTAGTTAATATAGTTTGAAGTATATGCGTTAACTATATATTTTCAAATCTTTGGTAAATTAAATTAATTTTATACTTACGTTTCGTCTTCTTCAGCTCGATCAATAACTCTTTCCAAATCATTTTCCACCATATGAAGCTTTCTGAGAACCTAAATACGAAATATTGAGATTGAAACAATCTGATACATGAAACTATGTTTTGCCAAACGGTATATGGTAAAGTTTGAGGCCAGTTTTACCGTTTGCTATATTTTTCTGGTTTTTATATATAATACGGCCTCGGAACTATACCAGCGTCAATAAGTTATATTGACTGAAAATCATTTTTAAAATAAATATTTAATCTAAATATATATTTTTCGTGTAGGCCTATCAGATGTAGCAAGTTTAAAGAATTGCGGGCTGCCTATTTATAACATATATATATATAGATAGTTTTGTATGTATACTTCATCATATTTCCTGTCAGCATCTTCTGCAATTGTTTTCGCATCTCGTAGTTGAATTTCTTGCAGCTCCAATGTTTCTTCATCTTTGAAAGATCTGGCGTACAATGTAATGTACAAACTTGTTCAGTCAACTGTATTCCAAACTAATATATATAGCTATTATTGGCATAAGAAAGTTTGGGATAGTTTGGGCGTCTATCTTCGCGTTCAATATTACATATACTTATGGCGGGGACAGAATAGAAACTTCAGGTTATGCCAACATCCATTAATTGCTATTATTTCTTGTATTGGTGATGAACAGTACTCAATTTGATCCTATAGTACTTCTAGTTAAGTAAACCTTGATTCAATAGCTTTCCTTCCCAATTCACTTTCCTCGGCAGCTTTTTCAGCAACTTCCAATTTTGCCACCGTTTCACTGAGTCGATCATTGACTCTGGACATTTCTTCTTCAAGAAGTTGCATTCTCCTGGTTTGTGCGTTGACTTCAAGTTCAAACTAAAATACAATCAAAATTGTTCATTGTTATCTTTTTTAATATATATATCATACGGCATAGTTTGATACTGTAAATATTTAATGTACACATTTTCAAACACATTTTTGCTTCCAAGTTGTGATGTTTTTAAACAGTAGTAACATAATATATATATATATATATATATATAATCGTATATATTCATTTTTAACGAATGACTCACGTCTGATGCTGCTTTTGCTGCGGTTTCCACACTTTCCAGAGATTTTCGATTTTTTTCTGTTACTTTATCAAGTTCATCTTCAAGAGTAATGATTTTCTTTGTAATGGCGGTAATCTCACCTTCAAGCTGCACAAGGAAGATATTTTAATTTTCAAGTTCGAAAAATAAATATTCATTTTGATTCAAACTGATACGTCGGCCTACCTCTTTAGCTCTATCTTCCATATCAGTCTTTTCCTTTTCCATTTCAATAGCTTTCGTTATTGCATCTTCACGGTCCTTAATCAGGCCTTCCATTTTGTGTTTAATGGACTCCATAATATTTGTTTTTGGGCTCAGAAAATTGTTTCACTAAATATTTCCACTTTTATAATCTATAAGCTTCCGAAAATGAAAACCTTCCTGCTATGAGGGCGCCGCAAAGATATTATACCAGGAGACCATTGCACAAGATACGGTCGTCTTATCCCAGCCACTGTCAAAGTTATTATCAAATTGTGACAAATAACAGATTTTAACCAGGATAAGCATCAATGTAATGCGTAGTTAGAAAGATAACGCCAGTATAGCAAACGTCATTCGGACATTGTAAAGAGAAGAAGGGAAGAAGCCAGAATGATTTCGACGGCCTTCATTTCTAATCGAATGTTATTTATAACTATGGCCACGCCTACGGTATGTCGCTGAAGGAGATTTGAACAATTTTACCATTGAAACAATCTGACTAAATTGATTTTAGGGGTAAATTTCCATGTTGAAAATTTTGGCCATTATGTGGTAAATGAGATGGAAGTGATGTGTAGGTTACATATCATAAGTAGTAAAAATATAACATTTGCTGATGCTCGGACAATTGTGTTAAACACTTTTCATCAGCCTTTCGAATGCTAAATTTTGAAAATAAAAATTTTGAAAATGATGAAACAGAGAAATCACTTCGGGCTAATTATGAGGAAAGTCATGGGGAAATTCTACGTCCACAGCATATATGCTTGGCATCGATCAATATAGGATAAAAATATCGCTACGTGAGTTCTAGGCTACTAAATACCAACCCCTATATGTTGATGAGCTACTGAGGACTCGGAGGAAGGTAAACAAGCTTTTGCAACTTTGGAAAGGCTATCAAATGAAAGATTTCGCTGTCATGTCCTAAACTCTTATTTTGGTACTCCCGTAGTGTGTGTGTACCAGGTTAGGCCATAATTTTATTCCGATGTTCCTTATTTTAGTTCTATTACGAGTTCGGGGACTGTCTGTGTTAGCTAAATGAAGATATCCCCTTCCCATAGGCTTCAGTTTATTCACACAGCTTGATGTAAAGTAAGCAAACAAAATTAGTTACCTCCATATTGGTACACGCACTTCTGAAGCGCCCTTCTTACTTATCGATCTTAGGATCGGTAAGTAACTCGGATGCACTCGGATCTACTCGGATGCACTCGGATCTATTATCATATTATCCCCTTTTTTCAGTTTTTCACGCCGTTTAATTTTTACTATCTTTTTATTTTTCTACTCTATATATATACGATAGTGTAGCCTACTCTTCATATCATGCCCTGATGAAGTTTTTCTGAATAGAAATTCGAAACGTCGGCAAATTATATCGTTTTGCTTTACACCGGTTGTGCTTTATTTATCTTTGACACGATCGGTAAGTATGTTGATAGGTATTTGTCTGTTAGATGAACGCGATATCTCACGAAGGTGAGGTTGAATCTGCTCCAAATTTTGTATGTGCATTCATCATATCTTGGACCAGAAGCCTATTGATTTTGGATGAATTATGTCGTATAATTAGCGTTATCAATTAGTTAATAATTAATTAGTGATGAGACACGCGGTGTCACTATAGATTCATGAATTATGTCGTATAATTAGCGAGTTATTGATTAATTAGTGATGGGACACGCGGTGTCGCTATAGAGTCATAATTTGAAACCGCAGTTTCGATCAATAAGTCTTCGGTCTCCGACCGATATTCTCGTTTTAATATTACACCAATATATGCGAGTTTGATCACATTGGAGTCATTGGACACGCCGCTAAAAAGTCGCAGATGTTTACTTTGGCAAGCGGCACCGTACATCAATCAATCAATCAATTTTATTTCGGTCGCTCTGGATTAAAACGAAACAAAAACAATAACAAACGAACAAACACAGAGGACCTGGAGGACGGGCATACCTTAAAGCAAAGTTAAAAACGTGAAAATACGCACCCGTCCACCAAAAACAGTCAAATAACACAATAAAACAAAAATACACGATACAGAATCGGGCAATAACTTCAAATAAATAAATTTATGAATAACAGTGACAACAATGAGTTTATTTTAAAGAGGGGTCATACAGATAAAAAAAATCGTTTTTATGTGTAACAAGAAAATGAAGTGATTGTAGGAATAACACTGCAAATGGTAAAGGAAAATTGTGACTAGAACAAGAGAGCTACGCACAAATATATGGACACGTTAGACCAGAGCGAATCAGTCTTTACCGGTACCTTTGACGCTACCGGTACCCTCAAAAAAGTTCTGAATTTCCAGTAGCAAGAATTTTGCAGAATCAAAACGTACAGCCAGTCACGACCCTGACTAAAATCCGTGTTCCCATGGATAAAAAATAATACAGCAAAATTTTAGACGAAATATCAAATTTCATAACATTCACGCAAAATTTTAAAATAAATAAAAGTAATAGCCTTCTAGCGAAAAAATTAATCTTTAACCACTGAAAATTTCAAAGCAATTGGTCCAGTATTCGAAGAGAAAAGCGACTTTTTAAAAACGTGTCAAAGAACAAGAACAAGAACAAGAACAACAACAACAACATAATATTGAAACGATCGTTATGGCCACTAAACGTGTCCAATAAACAGGTCGCTTGAATGAAGACTTTGTTCGAACATTAAATGACTGATAAAACTTGTTGAAAGAGGTGCTTTTGGGTGTTGACCAACTAAAAAAATAGTGCTGTGATGGTGTGGTGTTTATAATAAACTATGTTAAAATCTTAGGCAAACTGGAAAGCTATTCAGTGGATCCTTGTTTAATGTTAAAGAGTCATTTGAACATAGAAAAATGAAGCGCCTGAACTGGGGCCACAGTTTGAACATAATGTGAGATGGAGCCAATATGATTTCGAACCAGCTCTCCAGCCCTGCTTGCACTGAAGTTGAAATTATCAAGAGTTGAAAGAGTCCTATCTTAAGAATTTTCTGGTCTACCATATTTTAGAAAATGAAATCCACTATCCCAGGGCAGAATCATTGTATCCGACCCAATGCTTCCAACATTAATATCGAATTTCCACGAACGACCTACATTTTTCGAAAATTTACAAAGTTCATTCAAATTAATCGGGTGATTATAAGAAAAAGGGACATTTATCGATTTGCCAACTAATAACAATCAGTAAATAATTCTTCTGCGAGGAAAGTTTCTTGAAAAGGTTCTGTACAAATGATGACCGATGGCAAGTGAGAAAGTATTCTCGCTCATTTTGTTCAGACTGTTGCGCAATTCGTTTGTTTACACGACGTGAGCGTTGAAGAACAAGCGCAGGCTGGTAGCCGTGGTTGGTATGTGGTAGATACAGAGATATCAAATAAATATATAGAGTATAGACAGTAAGATCGCTGATGTTCTATTGTTATGAACTTATTGTTGCGTTACGGTATATGGTTAACGAGGAAGTAAATCCCGTTGACAATCCATGGAAATAAATTAGAGAAGCTTAAAGGTGAGTAGTGTGTGCGCCAGAGACATTAACTTGCATCACTGTTGATGTGTTGCGGCCACCACAGTATTCTGGTAATACAGTAATAAGGCTTGGACTTACCCAATAACTGCTGAACCGATAGATAACAAATAAATATAGAGCAGCAGGGACTCTTGGCAGAGAGTCTTTGTTGCAAAACTCATTTCAGCATTTAACCGAATACTAAAATAGCCTACTTCAAATTTTATTGTGATTTAGTGGGAAAATGATATTTAGTCAAACTTTATTTTTGTACGATACTCTAGAGCAGTGGTTTTTAGCCGAGTTTCGTGGCACCCTAGTCCTGTAGTCCTAGGGTTCTGCTAGTACTGTCTGACTGTCCAGTGGTTCTACAATTTTACATTCAAATCCGAGAGTTAGATACAGATCTAGTTCGCCGAGTGTCCGAAACATTTTATCGCAGTTCCGGTCAACCAAAAAGGTTGAAAATCACTGATTTACGTGATTACTATAGTTCAGTAGTTCATAAAATGTTATGAAGTCTGGAAGTTGTACTTGGTGTTCTATTTTACAATTTTTTCTCTATAATACAAATAGCATTAATTACATCTTGCAACACTGGATTATAGTTCTGAAATCATATTCATTCGATGCTTCGTTGGATAGCATAAAAATTCCGGTAGCCATAAAATAAAAATGGATCTAATATTAGTTCATGGTGCTACTAAACATCTAGTTCATGTTGAAGATGATTCAACTGTTGATGAATTGATGACACTCGTTACAGAAAAAACACAGATTCCCAATTTCAACCAAAAACTTATATATAAAGGAGTTGCCATTTCAAAAGACAACGTTAAATTATTAAAAGAATTTAAAATAAAAAATAATTCGAAAATTATGGTTATTGGTCAGAGGCATGATCCTGAAGAAGAAAGTATTTTAAAAAAATTGGCAGAGACAGAGAAAACCGTTGAAAAAATGAATTCAAGTATTGCGAAATTGAATTCTGATATTGACAGTGTTAAAAAAGGATTTATGGAGAAGTCATTACTTTCAAAATCAATTGAACGTCTTCAAAAAATTCTTTTGAAATATACGGAAGATGGAATGCAAGCTATGGAATTTTTGGATGGAATGAAAATTGACGAAAAGTTCAAAGATGCTCGTTTAAAAAAGAAAAGTTTGATAAACAAAATTCAAACAATATTAGATAAATGTGATATTATATCTGATAATTTATCAACAGCCAACAGTTGATAAACAGTCAAATGTTTTTATTGGTGAAGTATACTGAGGTATATTCATCAATTACGAGAAAACATTTCCCTTCATTTTGTCGTTATTTGGTACTGTGGTAGTAGCAAAGCATCTAGGCTTTTTTGTATACAATGCATGTTTTACTCTGAACAAGGCTCACACAAGCAGCCACTGCTACGGAGGGAGCTACTATAGTTAGGAAGTTCGACAGTGCCTGCCTATTTCATTAGGCCCTCTTTTCGATGTTGGTGGATTTGAATCCGAAATTTCAACTATTTTCACATTTCGGCCTCGAATTGGCGACCCATTATTTAGGGATTTATAAGCAAAGCACGTCCTCAGTTTCACTAGATCATAGGATATCAATTGCAAATATTTTCTGGAACGATTGTTATTTGTTTTCCCTCAAGTTCAGTATTGTTCTGTTTTAATTATAGTAAAGGCAATTATTGATTTTCGCTGCTGTATTATTCTATTATCATATGTTGCTATTTAGATGTCTTGTTTATCTTTTACAGAATGACTTTTAGAAAACAAATAGATTAAAATGTATGATATATAAGGGCTGTAACGACAGGATGGCAAGTGATGATATTTACGATTTGTTAAGTCCCTTGTTGGATGACTGTATGGCATTGTTCCAAAAAGAGGATTCAAAAACATCACATTCGTTCGTTCAAAGTCTGAAAAGTATTCATAATAATGCGATACATATTCGACCAATTGCCATTGGCTTAGTAGGGTAGGTTTTCTAGAAGGTTATTTTGTGCAATGTTTATAAATTTAGAGGTAATTGCAGTTTTGGGTCTTTCTGTTCAAATTATTACTGTATCGTCATTTTTGAGTTTATATTTATCAATAAAATATGTTGTGGTTTTATGCGTCCATATTTTGTTACTCATTTTACAAATTACAAATTCTGAAACACTGACCATTTTATAGTATACCTTTCTATGCCATTAAAAAAAATTCCATTCTTTTCTATGCAGAATCAATGTAAAAATTGTTATTCAACTCTGTAGCCGACCCCAGGTTAATTAGACAGCTTAATGCTATGTTTAAACAACGGTGATTTGCTAAATAACTTTATTAACCTATTTTGGTTTTACTGTGTGTGAAATAGCATCACTCAGTAAAGAAATCGGGATATGAATGAATATATGTCGAACATATGATTTTTTATTTGAATATTTGGTCAGTTCAAACTCGAATAAACTTATTTTGGATTTTGCACACTAAACCCATTGTAAACAACTTCGCTGCCAAAATTCCAATGATACTTCCTTTTTCAAAATTCATAATACAATCGAACTGATGTCCCGAGCACAGTTTTTCCTACATTTTCAATTTGCATATGAATAGCTCTTATCATCATGGAAATCCAGTGGCTTATAGTTACATGAGTAATAAAATGGATAACTTTAAACTGCATTTTATACACATTTATATTTCATTTGTTTTTATCCTAATTCACAGCAAAGTGGCTCACAAATATGATGCTTCGCCACATATAAAGGCAAATGGATATCGAAGTTTACTTGCATTACTCGATTCACTTTGTCATCTTATTGTTGGACATTTACAAACAATTTGCAAAGAAAGAAAAAATGTTTTCTTCCGAGCAAACCAATACAGTGATAAATTACGAGTGCTGGCTCAAAATCTACATCAGATGAGGGCTCTTTTTGGATATGCACAAATTTTGATAGGTATGGTTATTATAGTATTGTCTTTCTAGTCTTCATTGATATTATATTCCATATGCAATTTCACTTGATGAGTTCTTCCCGAAGTTGCTTAATGCGATGAGCATGTACTTGTATTTCACTACTTCAAATTTGTAATTGACTAATTGAGATTGACGATTTGTGTTTCATGCCATACCTTAATAAAGATGTTTTTTATTGATTACCACTCAATCAAAAAGATTTACTATATAATTGAAAGGAAATGTATATTATGCCAAGCAGGGATGGCCAAGACTGAATATCTCACTATTCGAAATACATTGGGATAAAATAGTTTCGAATATGGAATATCAAATACATTTTAAATCGGATGTAAGTTCATGTGGAAAATTAACATAAATCACTATATTATCTTCATGTTGATAATATCTAAAGCGACTTAATTAAATATAAAGGTTATTGTTTTTTGTGTGTTACGTATTGATCTACTTGTCTGACTCAAAACCCCGATTTATCTCAAATTCTAAATTAAAATTTTATATTGAATATAATGAATTTTGAATATTTGTTTCGAACCGGTGCCAAGTATATATGCTCACAAAAACATCACTTCCCTCAAATTTTAAAGATTGATTTGACAGTGTTCAGGATAATTTATACTCATGTCAGTATTAGCAATTGAAATATATGCTTGTAATTTAAGAGCACAAATATGCAAAGTTTGACAATGTTATTCGTAGGGAATTTTTTCACTCTAGTATTTCTTTCATATTTTCTGAATATGTAAAGAATCTGGAAAATACTAAATATTTTGGTGTGGAAGTCTCTGTTGTTCCCCATTACAAACATAACTATATATTTTCTATTGCATTTATCTTATATTGCTGATATCTGTATTATTGCATCCTTGCATTATTTATATTCTCAGGTCACAGTGAAGATGGATCATTATTTGCAACTGAACAAGAATCAGATGATATCATGCATGATTGTGAAATCATGGCCAAATCTTGCTTCTATAGCCATGTTCAAGGATTTCAGGTACAATATTATCAATTATTTTTGTGGTGCTGCTGTCTGTATATTGTGTATTTCTGTTGGTATGGATACCCATGGCCCATATGCCAGTCGTCATCTAGTGAAACAAGTATCATTTATGATTGTAATATTGTTTTGTAAAGAAGTCATATGAAAATATTGTGTACATTACATTACAATAATTAATTGAATATGTTTTAATAAAATGGCAAACACTGGAAAATATTAAATTCACTGGATATTGAATTTTCTTATCAGTACAATACAAGATACAATATACAACAATACAAGAACGTACATGATAAACTCAACTTAAATATATTTACCATGTAGCTTATGTCACTACATGAGCTACACTAACATGGTACTTTACATAAACATAATACATAATTTTCGAAACGCAGAATATAACAGTCTCCAGCTGTGGTGCACGTTCCCCATTTGCTGTGGTCGTCTAACTTTTAAAGCTAAAATGGGTTTAATGTGTATTTCGACATTCCAATGACAGACCCATGTGAATTTCCTGGATCATACCACTGTCTATAACGTATTTTTTAAATCTATCCAATTTATATTAAATTTTTCAGTTTTATCCTGGAATCCAACCAATCATTCAAGCTCTTTCCATGTTCACAGCATCATACAATGATATCGTTCAGCATTCGAGTGTCTGGCAGACAACAAAATCACTGTTTAATTCTGGTAAATTTTAATAAATTTTTACATCATTTTACCTCTAACAAATGTGTAAAATGAACTATTTATTCTTTTTTTAGGTAAATACGTTGTGAGCCCTAGTGTAAGAGGAAGACAAATTGAAAAAATATACAGTGAAGCTGAGGCACCTTTTTTCAAAGCATTTTTCTCACTCCCGGAAATGGGAGTTGGTGTGGTGAGTCGGACTATAGAATATGTTTCAAATTCAAAATATATTTGAGAAAGCCGTTTCTGGCCAATTCGATTTCTACTTATCTGTAATATGGTATGATCTATACCATTTACAGTAAAATAATGATTTATTTCAAAGTATGCGAATAGTGATATGGAAATCATCACAGATATTCAGTTTTAGTTATTCTAAATTATTTTGATACTTGTACTTAGACATCTTCAGCGCTAAACGTCTTATAAATGTTGGGGTAATCGTCTTCATTATTTTTTTGTTCACCATTTTGATGATTACAGTTATTGCCGAATCTTGTCGGGGACACAGTTCGTGTGAACAGAATTTTCAATCTTCCTCCAAAAGTTTTCGAATTGGAGACAACAGAGGGACATATGGTTGAGATCAACAGAACTTCTTGCATAGGACATGGGAGACATGTAAAAGCTCGTTTAATATCAGCTGTGCTAAGGGAAGGACAGGTAACTGAATTATTAATAAAAACGGAATCAATTCTAAAAAATATTTGAGGTTCATTTGTCTCTTACATTGTTCATGTGTTCGTCACTATCAGGGATGGATGAAATTGAATAATTTACTATTCCGAATACATTCTAAAATGGTATATTTGGATAGGAAATATCCATTATTTTTAAAATTAGGTCATAATCCGAGAATCATAATCCTCAAAAGCAATTTGCTAAAATCGTTTGCTGGATGGTTTAGAAACTATTTTTTTATAGTATCAAAAGCCAAATGAAGGTTTGATCCAAATACTGAAAGTACTTTGAATTATTGCCAAAATAAATTTCAAATGTATTTGATATTTGATTTCTTTTTTGACATTCCTGTTTTCTATGTCTCTCAACAATTTTCTTTTTCATTATGATCTATATTTTAGGAAATTCTTGGTCATATTTGAAGCAATGTTGAAAGCTATTCAGAAAAACAATGTTTATAAATTTATATGCGGCATTTATCGATTTCATAAAAAACCTACTAAATATGAACTTTTTCTACAGGATTCACCAGATTCACCTAGCATACCAGATATGGGACTCGATAAATCAAAAGTTTTATTGAAAGCAAAACACAAACCAAGGTCAAAAACATTGTTGTTTTTCTGTCACGGAGGTGGATTCATTGCTCTCACATCTAAGTCATATGAGGTGAATTACTTGTTGACTATGTAAGACTATGTTCTCTTGTTTCAGTTATGTATGGATAAGAGTTTAAATCAGGCTTGACCAAAGTTCAGCGAGAACATAAAGTGTCATTTCTGGGTATGTTTTTCTTGTAAATTAATTAACACATTTTTCACTTCATTGACAGTGTGAGCTAATGTCTGTAACAGCTGTATTATTATTTGATGACGTGCTTTATTAACCTTACAGAAGTAGCCTATTTTAGAAATTTGTCCTTGGTGTCATATAGAAGTTTTTCATAATAAATTAGAATTGTCCACACACCGAATACATTTCAAGTTGATAACATACTCAATCCATAAGATGCAAATAGTCAAAAACGTATACTCTTTATTAGTATCTGTATGAAATTTATTTATTATGTAAAAGTATTGTATCAACTACCAGCTTTTAAAATTCTACGAAATTGTGAGTGCCAAAATATCACTCTTGATACCCCTCTTGATATAAGTGAGGTCATGGCAACCTCTCAATAATTATATAAATTATTTTCAGCCTGATACCGTTTTATTGTCTTTGTGAACATTCGTTCTTAGGCTGGATGTCATATTGATTTGCCAACTCATTTGAATTTTAAGTAGGAAAATAGGCTTCAAATGAGCCCTTACAATTTTGAAGAATGATTTAAAACTGAGATCTTTACGTTAAAAAAAATTGATATTCTCTGTTTAAAATTTTTTTTTAGTGTATTCAATTGATATCAATGTTAATAATATTTTCACGATAAAAACAGGTTGTCCTGAGAGAATGGTCGAAGGAATTGGATTGTCCGATATTCTCTGTGGATTATAGTCTTGCACCTGATGCTCCATTTCCCGAGGCTTTTGAGGAATGTTTCTATGCTTATGCATGGGCTTTAAAAAATGCAGAGTTGCTAGGTAAATCAAAAAACTTATTTTTTAATGTGAATTATGTACAATTGTGTCTAATGATCAACAAAATTGTTTCACTATTCAACGATCATGAATATTTCAAGCTGTAGTTTGGTTATACCAATATTGGTTTAGTGAGCTTACCAAAAAGGCTCATAAAAACTTTGCTTTTTATGGAGGTAATAAAATCGTTGTTAATAATAATAATGTATTTTTCTATTAGTGCGTCATTACTGTGATCTTATGTAAATGTTCCAATTGTACATTAATATGCAGGGTGGAGTTATAACAATGCCTGCTCGACCAGGAAAACATGTTTTTATCTACATGCATATTGTGATTAATACAAAACCAGCATTTTTGAATGTCTATTACAAAAAAGCTTTAAATAAGACCATGAACCGACCCGAAATGGTTGTCATTATATTCCAACATGGGAGTACATTGCCAAATTTTTATAGTTATCATTTCATTGGAAGAGCCTACAAAATATGATCAATCTTGTCTTCCAAACAATCTCAGTCTCAACCCTCCGTGGCTTCGTGCTCCTCTGAAACAAAAATAAAAAATAGGTTTTGTTTTGGAGAATTTCCATTCCTTATTTTATGCACCGCATTCACTAATAAAGAGCCGGTAAATGCTTGGATGTAATATGGTAAAGGAATTACACAAACCACAGGTAATTAACTTTAAATTATTGGAGTCATTGCAAATGGTAGCTGCTGATGTCTTGACTTGTAGCCCCCAGGGAACTGCTCTGTGTTCGAGAAATCCTTATTAAAACAAGAAAGGGCTACAAAATCACCTGATAATGACTCATACACTTCTCTCCAATGTATGTCCAGGTACTACTGCAGAAAAAGTAATTTTTGCTGGTGATTCAGCTGGTGGAAACCTTGTGTTGTCTGTTGCAATGAGAGCTGCTACATATGGGATTAAGATACCTGATGCAATGCTAGTTATGTATCCGTCAGCTGTTGTACGATACTCCGCCTCTCCATCAAGATTATTAGCGGTATATAACTTCTTTGTCTAGAATTTGTATCAAGTTGTTTTATTCAAAATTGCATTTATTGATAAGGTTGCAAATAGTATCCGTAACAAATTGTAACAGAAGGCTTTCGAGTTTACTTTGTGCAAATTTTTATAAATTGATATGGTACATTGTATTCATTAGGGAGCCGCAATACATGTTATTAATTCTGTGGAGTTTATTATTAACTGATTAATAATTTTTAGGTTATGGATCCTCTTTTACCTCATTGCATGCTTTGTTCTTGCCTCTGTGCGTATACTGGATTCAGAACTGAAAAAGTCGCTTACAACACAACAGAGCACAAACTTTCTCCGACTGATGGCAATGTAGACAATGACGGGGATCACACAGAATCATGTAGTAGTAGTTCTATACTTTCTTCACGCAAACAATCAGTAACCGATAATTCAGTGATAACAACCTTCCTGCAAGACGTAGGGGATGGTTTAGGGCGTTTAGGGGGACCAGCTGAACCAGAAGCTGAAACATGGTGGGACGATGAAATTTTTATGCACGAAAGCGAGTACAAACCTGAAGCATCCTCGCAACAACGTCCGTCCATTACCAACTTTTTTAAAGACATGGGTCGTAGATTTAGCACTCTATTGACACCCGACACCAAAACTGAAAAAGCCGACACGTTTTGGGATGATGAATTTGACATGGTATCGATTGATAATCCTGCCGATGACCTTGACGATAGTACTGAATATACTTTAGGAGAGAATAGTGTTACTAGTGCTTCATCTACCAATAACAATGGTATTTTTATTCGCAAAGGGTCAACAGCTAGCACCTCTGGTGATCTGGTTGAAGCTCATTTCAAAATCAAGCTTGCCAATAACTTCTCTCCTCTCAAGAGTCGATATTTTGGTGAAAGAACGAAAGTGCATCACACCGCTCTTGTTAAAAATCCTTACATATCTCCCGCACTTGCTCCTGATGAAATGCTTCGAAGTCTTCCTTATTTGGATATAGTGGTGAGTGCGAGGTTTAATCAGATTTATTTTAAGCTGGGGTAGACTAGAGGATTTGGTTATATGAAGTTCATACGTGCCGAAATCGCATTTTCGAAAATATTAAGATCTAGTTTGTGTATTAAATACCCTTTGTTTCACTTTTGACACTAATTGGGCATAGAGATCATCTGGTTAATTGTTTTTGGGCCAGTAATTTGTGTCTCGTAAACTAATGAACCAGCCAGTTTCAAATGAATGGTTTAGGATTAAAAGGTGTTTTGCTTTCAAATCTTCTACACACATTCTATTTTGTGAAAAAATGTTCAACTGCCTGAATTTTCTTGTTTGTGGGACCGAGCATGTTAACAGTTACAAAACCTTTGCAGTGCACTTATGTCCGGGCAAATATGGAAGTATGAATTATCGTATACACATTCTTTTTACGGTACTTGCTTTTTGTCTAAATATGATACCATTGGCTCGGCGTCGCCTCATGCCACGTGTTAGGGATACGTAGGATGGTTGTTATGGCTTCCTTCACCATCAAGTCCATGCTTCATAAACAAAATACCTGACCAACTAAAGACATATCGACATTGACTAGTAACCGGACGAGAGACCATGGTTCACCATATGATTTAGCTGCATTATCAACTTTCCTCTCTCCCGGGATAAATATGTAAATCCTATCTTATTGCAGCTGGTATATTTTCACAAAACTGTATCTGATATTATAAACTATTTCAACTAAATATCAATCTATGTTTATTCAGGGATGTGAACTTGACCCTCTGTTTGACGATTCTGTAACATTAGCAAGAAGATTACATAAAATAGGACATCAGCACCAGTTTCATGTAGTGCGTGGTCTTCCTCATGGATTTTTGAGTCTTCAAATGTGTAGAGAAACAAAAGAAGCTTCAAAAATGTGTCTTGAGTTATTGAAGAGTAAAATTTTAGGAAGTGCCGTATGAGATTATCAAGTTCAATACTTCATGTGGATGCTTACTAAATGTTGTTGACAACACACAAAACTGCTTTACAAGTCTTCTTGTTTGCGTTTGTTTTTTTCATTGTACCTCTGTAAACGTAAACCTACAATATAATGGTAAAACTGCAATTCATTGCATGGTTTCTGAACAGAGCCAAGAAAAATTTCATACTATAATTTATTTTCGCACTATTTCGAAAGTTTACTTGTTGTAGAATCTATGCTTGCGCTTCTGTAATCACTTTGTTAATTGAACTGTGAGATTTGTCATTTTTCTATACTTTTTAATGCCATATTTTCAGAACTAGTGATGCAGTATTATACTATGTTTAGAAGTGCTAAGTGTGTTGCTTGTCATGGTGCGAGTTGTGTGTAAATTCAACCTCAATTTGACAGGAGTCTCACGATCAAGACTGGTCGATATAAAATCGGATGAGAATATACTTTTAATAGCTGACCAGTTCAAATTATATTTCCACATGCTTTTTGATAAGTAGTTATTCAATTATCTTCATTCAATATGTTCAGAATCTCATCCCAAGTCTACATGTTTTGAATAATACTTTGCTTATTACAAATCTTCAAATCCTTTTCTTTCTCCATCATTAGGTTTATGCTTATTACAAATCTTCAAATCCTTTTCTTTCTCCATCATTAGGTAAGTAGGCAATGGTGGGATTCAGGGGTTCCTGAAAACCCATTCTTGTTTTTAGACCTTAGACCACCGCAGCAAACAGGTAACGTGCACCCATCTCTAAAGTTATTATATTTGGTATTCAGTGTGTCATTGATGTGAATACATTTTTTGAAATAGCCTGTTGTTAGCGAGTTCGATACAAGAGACTAACCTAATCTCAAAACAAGTTTTGACTACCATGCAATGGACAGTTTTTCATATTTACATTTTTAAAGAGAAAGTATGCAGGGTGCCTTCAATATTACCATGACAATGCCTGCTCTGTATATATATAAATCTTTCGCACATGCAAATCGCCTTTTTATGTTCAACAATAATAATTAATATATATATCTCAATAAAAAGTGTTGTATTTCATGCAATGTTCAAAGTCTCTATAACTTATTCTCCCATCACGATCTTTATCAAGGTTTTGAAAACATGATATGATGGCACTTTCGGAGAGGTTTGGAGCTGTAGTTTGATAAGCACGCTTGACATCTTCTAGTGTCAGAAAACCCTTGCCTGTTATACACATAAAAAAGTATTTGATACAGTAACAACTATGAAGTCTAGTATGTTTACTCCTCCCTAGCGATCCATGGTCAGATTCCTAGAGCACAAATTATTCCATGCGCTGGTCATCATCAAACTGGCAGTATACGAGTATTTGTAGTGAAAATTCTTATGTGGTTGGTGCACTGCATCTCCGATTATCCTATATAGGTTTGCATCCTGCGAGGGATATCTATGTGCGAGCAATTGCTGGACTCAATGCTGCCATAGGGTGGCTCACTTAACCACTGGTCGGTTATAGCTTTCTCCACTTGTCCCACGCCTGACAATACAAGAGATACACCATGTGATAAAGCCGTCTTATCAACTTTGCCCTCCCTTTGGATATATATGAAAATATTATCCCAAAAGAAGCTGTAGCATATTGAACTTGAATATAATAAAAATAATTACAGTCTATATCGAAGGCATTGAATATTCGTCTACATTCTTGATCTGGATCTTCCAATGAAAGCTTAGCAAACATCAAACTTTGAAATCTTTCAAGATTAAGTCCTGAAATTATATGGAAAACATTAGTAATATTTGGTATTGGATGTGAGAATGTTGCCATACCAAGATAACTGTGAGACTTCAGAGACGTATATATCAGATTATGACACTGATGAATCAATTTAATATCACAAGATAAATATATTTTAGTGAAAACACAAACTTGCTTGAAATTTTTCCAATGCTTGCAGCCTTATTAAACAATTTCAAATTGTATAAAGATATTTATGAATGATGAAAACATTTTCAGAATTTTCACTGACTATCAAATTATTTGAATTTTAAATTATTATCGTCATGAATCAGCTTGTGATTTATTCTCCAAGCAAACACAAACTTAAATAATAAACAACACGACCTTGACATTCATCTTTTTTTCCTGCTCCCATGAGTTGTTCCACTTCATACTGAAAAAAAAGTTTGATTCATATTTAATATACAGCATATTCTAATCAAAATTTTCAATTTTGTAGATGCACTACTTACTTTTGATGGTTTGTATCCAAAGATGGATAGAACTGCAACTTTAATGTCCTCTTTTGAAAGATATCCTTTTTGATTAGAGTCACATTCTTTAAAAATCTGAAACAAAATGCAATCCCTAGCTTTGAAGATTTATATTTATCAATATATTTGAATGTCTAAAGCAATACTAATTCGAAGTTATGAGAGTTTTGTAAAAGTTAAATAAGATTACCTGCAACACTCTTGCCTTATCCTCTTCTGAAATAGTCTGCCTGTAAAGCGATGTTCCACTGTAATCATTCATTTACTGGCATGAATCCCATCTACTGAGATTGTAATTTTTTGTTGTACACCAGCACTAACGCTATTTCTGTATTTATGTACTTGGTGTTTTTTTTTATTTTTGTCAGAAAAATATAAATGAGCTATTTTCAAGAATTAAAGAAGGAACAAAATTTAATAATAACGTAAATGTACATTGAAGATTTTAAAAATAAAACCGCCAGTTGTTTATCATCGATTGCAGTCATGCGTATAAAGATGAGGGCATGTAGAGCTTGGAGTCAGCTTTATGAAATATACTTATGTATAATTTATATGCCTCTATTTAAAATTATACTATATTCAATGAAATCAAATTAATCTACAAAAAAATAATATTCGAATATTACAATGACTTCATTATTATTTGCAATATTGTTAATTTAAAGTGAAAAGAAGATGTGGAAATAAAAGAATAGATGGTGACTCTGAATGTAAGTGTGAGCGATGACAGGTTTGTGCTTGTGAGTCGAGACTGCAGTATCCTAAGTTAAATTCGAGTCCATAATCGGCATAAAGGTGGGAATTAACTCTAAAGTATAAATTTTTGTTTTCTGCTATCTATAATTAAAAAAAAACATACAAATGAAAGTATATTTAATGATAACTATGGTGGTGAAAACTACATCTGAATCAACAATGGAACGCTGTGGATTTCTTTGAAAAACTCGATGATCATATTGAATAAATGAATTCTTTGTTCGGGTATATATTTGTTTTTGTGTGTGTGTAATTTGTGTATATTATTTACTTATCGTTATGACTTCATTTATTTTTTCATTTTTTTTATTTTTACAAAGCTTCATAAGTATAAAACAGGCGTATAATTTTTTCAGTTTTTGTTAGCGTTTACCTATTTCTACAGCAGCAAAAATTAATTTGAAACCTTATTTATTACTTAGGTATATTTTAGGTGTTGTGATTGCAACAGAAACGGACTAGACTATAAAGAATTAATTTAGGAAGGAATTGGGAAAGAATTAGGCTAATTTCGTTTTTTTAACATTATTTTTGAAATTTTTCTTTAGGCATTCAAAACCCATTCCAATACTCAATAACCCAGTGGCGTATCTAGGGTGTGGCAACCATGGCTTGTGCGCTGTTTGGACAGGGGCGCCAAAACTGCAATAACCATGTCAATATTGCCTTTTTTAATGGCTCTGTTCACATTTGTTAATTGAGAGTACATTTTCTGTGTTGCAAACGAATTTATAGTGATGGATAAGTAGGTACAATTTTAGTGTAGTTCAACTTCATGGACCATAATCAACACAATGGTTTATGAAATTTTGTTGAAAACCATGATAAAAAGTTGATCAAAAATGATTTCTCCAATAAAGCGAAACTTTAAAATAAAACTGTTTTGAGATAATGAGGAAAACATATATTTTCTACTTTCACTTATATTTTCCACAACGCTCAAAATTAATTACTGAAATGATCTTTAAGATTGAAAAGACAATATGTCCAAGATTCTGTAATATGTCCACTAACCTCTGATAAAAAAAATTATCATTTCTTCATGCTATTGGACACATAGTTCGTAAGGAACGTGGGGGTCTGTAATCCCTTCTACTGTTCTATTCAATTGTAGTATTTCTATGCATTAACAATTCTTTTATGATTTGCACTCATTTCAAAAGTTAATCGATTTAGATATAACAGTATATTCTCCACATTTTGTAATTTGAAATACATATCTTTGTATTCTGAAGTCGTTGATGACAAATCTTATCATTTTCAGATATCCTAGCAACAGTTATTGCGTTTTGTAATTTATCTTTTTGATGGAGTCGTGAAGAGTGAATCAATTGTCCAAAGTGATAGTTTGCAGATTAAATTCATTGATTCATTATAATGACAGACAATTCAAATAATATTAAAACAAAACCTCGATACAATGTTCGAATTGAACCTCCAAAGCCTAAGTATGGGGCTTTTGGCAGATTCATAAATTACTTGAGGGAAAATAGAGTCTCGTATACCTCCAAAATATATGCATTAGGGGTCGTGGGAGCTGGACTATATTTTCTTGGTGCCCTGGTCAGGAATATTAAAAAGGAAGGATTGGAGACGAAAGAAATATACGAGGAAGATGTAAAATATAGATTTCTGCATCAAAGACCTGAACCTGACTCTGAAGATGAGAAACAATTGTCTGAACGCATAAAGATGAAAATACCTGATGAGTTTATGCAAGTTGAAGACGGCCCTTCGATAGTGATTAATAGAGAAAAAAGTATGTATGCAGATTGCTTTTATCAAAACAAGAAATGTATGTCAAACGATTTTGATGTGCATGGTTGGAAAAGATGTTTTTTAAATTTTTGTTTATGATTATAAATTGTGATGTATACCAGTAAGTCCCACAGATATTGAATAATTGTGCAGTGATTAAGAGTAGGGTGTGTGTCAATACGTTTCATATACATAATGCCAAATTTTTAATACAATTCGATATTTCAAATTTTAAGCAATATGTTTAGTTAGTAATAACACAGTATATGTACAAAAAAATTTTTTCACTTTGCTTCAAACTTGTTAAATTCAATCCTTATAAGTCCAATATAAAGCAGGGGTGTGCAACCTTTAATGCAGTAGGTCAACATATCAACATAGGCTTTCTAGTAGTTGCAGGCAAAAAAATTCTGGTTGTCAAAAACTTGTCATTGACCTTATGACATTGACATGCGTTGTTCGCTTCGCACAAGCTAGCATTGTTACATTATAGGCATAGATAATAAATTGGACTGACGTATAGGCTTTGCAACGCAGAAGGAATGGAATTACTCGAATATATCCTATCAAACTAAATTAAAAACTTGACTCAAAGGTCGCTAATCTTTCAAAATTGGCACTTTATCACACAATTTCACCTTGTGGCCCGCAGGTTGCACACCACTAATATAGAGGAATCAATTGATAGATTGGGACATGTTTGATGTATGCTCAGTGGTGTACAAGAGCTATCCTACTACCAAACATGGCATGAAAAATTCGCCTTTGTTCACATTTATGAATCATTACTGTGTTTGTTTATAAATATAAAAAATTTAAATATCTAGAGTTAGGGTTTATTATATAATATGTTCACATCAAAGTAAAGTTTGAAAAGTCTGTATTGTTTTATTTCTTGAATATTGGACATATTTTATACCTGTTTCAATTTTCTACACAGAATTTGTTGAAGCGACTACTAAACGACCATTGGGCATGAGCCAATTTGTCAGAATACCTTTGGAACAATGCGAGTTTGATAATGAAGGAAATCTTGTACTGGACAAGTATGGATACCCAATAAATAAAGGCTCTGTGATCAATCAAAAACTTACCGAAAAAATTGAACAATTGACTACATATATTCAATCGCTTGAAATTTTTAAATAATGTGATTATTGAATTTATTAAATTGAATAAGTTTGTTCCATTTTTATGTATCCGGCGCTGGTTGTGGTAAGGATGGATACGCAACTGGACCGCAGCTCCCAGAAATTTCTTATCAACTGTACTCGCATGAAAAAAAAATACATAACTACAAAGACGAATTGCTTAGGATAGGATTTACATATTTATCCCGGGGGAGAGGAAAGACGGCTTAATCATATGGTGAACCACGGCCTCTCGTCCAGGGATTAGTTAGCCAGTTATTTGTTTTCGGAAGCATGGACTTGATGGTGGAGGAAGCCGTAACCGACCAGCGGTTACGTGAACCACCCATGCTTTCTGGGTAACATTTGATTTTATACCACCTGAGGTTGACTGAAAACTATTCTCTGATGCCCCGGCGCATTTTGAAAGATTTATATTAAAGACCCCTGTTGGCCTACGCTCTAGATAGGAAGTCTAGCCCACGATATTCTATTTTCCATCAATCGCATTAATTTGACAGTCATCGAACGTCGTGTAGATCAGATACTGAAATTTCGTTGAGATATAGCCTATAGGCAGTTTGTGAACGGAAGACTTTCCACTGCCGAACGGATAAGTAAAGAGTCTCGTTTGAAACTCGGCCATTGAATGAGTTAACCAGGCACTATGGGGTCGGCGGGCCGGATCCGGCCCGCGGAGTATAATAATCCGGACCGCGACGCTTCACTGAATTATAGTAACAAAACAGCCATTTTAACGATTATATCTTTAGGTAACAGAATTTATTGTGAGACACGTGCAGACCAAGTCATAATATAATCCAACAAGTATATAATTCACGATAACTCGTTTAATGAGTCTATAATTTAATTATAATAATGGCATTTGGCAACAAAGAACAGAAAAGTTGATGCTCAGTGCAAAGGGCTTAATGACGCAAAAAATTTTCGAATGGTATTTTTTGAGATTAATCTATATTCTATTCGAGAGATGTATTACTGCTTGGTTTTTATTATAAAAAGTATCTTCTTCAAAACAAAACTCTATCCAAACTTGACAAACCATGCGAAAAAAATCACATTGATGTTTTGGAGTACATATGCATGCAAACAATTATTTTCGAAAATGAACATTAGAAAGAATAAGCTGAGAACTCGGATTAGTGATTCCCATTTATGAAATGTTTTAATCTTGGCTTCATCCAGTGTCCAATTTAGAAAAGCGTGGTGCAACAAAAAGTGTCAATTAAATGTCATTTGTAAATTTTATTCTTTAAAGTAAGTCAACCAAGTTAAGTTCACGAGTCGGCGCAGTCTTCGCGCGCTGCTTAAAATTTTCAGTTTTTAACTTTCTAAAAATATGTGCGGCCCGCCAATGACTAGCAACCCGTAATTTTGGCCCGCGAGCGATAAAAGGTTGCCGACCCCTGTATTGTGTCATTTCATTGTGTTTAAATATAATCAGAATTGTTGCGTAACAAATGATATAAAAATCTTGTAGAATTTGTTAATTTCTATCCGGTACAATTCTTAAGTTACCGTTGTGAATACGAGTCGAATTTGGCCGAGCATTCCCATGGAAGTCAAAAAGGATTCCGTTAACGACAAGGAAAGGTAATCTTTTGTTACATCATTATGATCTGGAGTACAGGTTTATTTAGTTTTTACAAAATTCGAGCGTCTCAAGACAAAAAAGGGCGAATACTGAAATTACAGAAAAAAATAATTTGAAAATATAGCTAAACTGAATATACCGCATTTCTTATAACTCAATCGGTTTTCAAGATGGAATACGGGCAAAAAGCACCCCTTTATTACTGGTACAAAGATGAAAAGAGGCCAAATTTGATATCCGCGCGTTCGCCGCAATATATTTGTGACATAAATATTTAATATCTGGCGACTTAAAAGTGGTAAAAAGATAAAAAGAAAAATTTCTTCATCCAGCTGTGACATATGTTACAATATGCAAAATTGGCCCAAGCAATGACAAAAAAATAATATGAAGTTTTCAAATACCCAATCAAGTTAGCAAAACATATGAATGGGGCTTAATTATAACTTTCGGACGTGACAATGAGCATAAGCCATGTTTTCTTGTGAGCACTCTATATTTCGAAACCAAACTTCCTGCTTATAAAGGCTAGGTAGTAGCAAAGTGACTTTGCTTAGTAGGTGCGACTCAGGGGCATTTTATCGAATGTACTACTCCATTTAGGAATTTAATTTTTTTTGTATTTAATGTAAAATACCAGAATTGATGAGTGGGCAGGATTACATTGTCATATTCCTAATTTTTTTGTTCCAAATACCGTCAGATTGTTAAGAAATGCCATGTTATTACTTTCAAAGTAATACGCTAGAGTGGAAATAAATTATATATTAATACTTATATATAAGCAATTTCCCCATCAATATACAGAATTCATCTCGTTAAGCTGTGGGAGAATCACAAACAAGTGACATCCAAGACGTTACGAGAGAAAAATTTGAGACGAAATTCAGAACATATGTCTGATGTTGCGAAAGACGATCCCTATTTTGGCGCAAGAGACCCAATTGTAGTAGCGAGAGATGCCCTTATCAAGTCATGCAAGAAATATTTCGCTGCAAACTACTTGAAGCACTCCAAAGATTGGACAGAAAAATCATATAAGTGTATGTATTGGGATCGTGACTAAGCATTCTGTATTGCCAATAATAAATGGATTTTGAGTTGAAAATTTGAAGTTGAAAAAATTTGTAGATATTGAGCGCAGTGCGTAATGAAATATACCTGCTGTTGTTGGATAAAGTGTGTTGATATCTACCAAAACACTGTTTTCTAACAAGGGAACAAACTAAAACAGATTAATAAGAATCAGGTAAGTATCTCATCTAAATAACCGATTGCTCGCTATCTTTTAAGTTTTCCGAACACGTTGAGCGATGAATGCGGAACGTTGATCTACAATTATTGTAGGCCTACGACGTCAAATAAACTGTTCATGTAGCAAACCAATCAGTCTAAGGCAGTTCACGATACTCGCGAATCACGCAAACGAGTCAATCTAATATTATGATAAACGTTAGCATTTCGTTAGCTGCACCACGCCCAAGAGCTAGAATATATATAAAAAAAGCAGCATTTGAAGAAAAAAATACTTATCTAAACCTGACCGGCCGGCCCTATTTCCCCACACTTACATGCTAGGTGTCGCTGCTCGATAACCAATACAGTTTTTCCGCGTTCCATTTCACCCTGAAATGTACTATTTTTCTCTATTTTCTTATCTCGTTCCGTATGTACAGGGAACGGACTAAAAGTAGGCACTTGCAAATTAGGCACTTTTTCAGGCACTTATTTAGGCACTTTGGAAAAAAAGTAAAAAGGGCGTAATACCTTTTAAAAACATAATTAATTAGTTAAAAATGGTCAAATTAAATGTTGAAAACGCAAATTGCAACGGGCAAACCCAATAGCAATATTTAAAACGCAGTTTTAAAGGCAGTCGCACGCGCTTGGTCACCACATATGCTAGGCACATATTTAGGCACTTTGAAAAAAGAAGAAAATCGGAATTATCACCAATAAAAGACAGAGTATTAAAAATTTTACCCACACTGATTAGCCTGGGCAAATATTCAATAGATGCACTTGAGTCTAGTACTGGAATTTAGAAATAATAAATTGTTACCGGTAGGCACTTTTTTAGGCACTTATTTAGGCACTTCGAAAAAAAGGTGAAATGAACGTAGTAACTCCTAGAAAAATATTAGTTCAAAATATTTAAATTAAATGTTGAACGCGAAAATTGCAACAGTTAAACCCAATAACGATTTTTAAAACGTAGTATTGAAGGGAGACGCACGCGCTCTGTCACCACGTATGCTGGGCACATATTTAGGCACTTCGAAAAATAAAGAAAATGGCAATTATCACTAATAAAAGACAGAGAAATAAACATATTACCCACACTGATCAGCCTGGGCAAATATCCAATAGATGCACTTGAGTCTAGTACTGGAATTTAGGAATAATAAATTGTTACCGGTGGGCACTTCGAAAAAAAGGTGAAATGGACGTAGTAACTCCTAAAAAGATAATGAATTAGTTTAAAATATTTAAATTAAATTTTGAACGCGGAAATTGCAACGGGTAAACCCAATAACGATTTTTAAAACATAGTATTAAAGGGAGACGCACGCGTTCTGTCACCACATATGCTAGGCACATAATTACCACTTCGAAATATAAAGAAAATGGTAATTATCATGAATAAAAATACAGAAAATAAAAATATTAGTCAAAATAATTAGCCTATTTGAATATCCGATGAATGCACTTGAGTCTAGTAGTGATATTTGAGAATAATAAATTGTTACCGGTAGGCACTTTTTAGTCACTTATTTAGACACTTCTAAAAATGCATAAAATGGGCGTGATAACTTTTAAAAGGATAATGAATTAGTTTAAAATATTTAAATTAAAAAATTAATATGCAACAAGTAAACCCACTGATATCAGATTTTATATTTTGCATATTTGAAAATATCTTAATTCTTTACTTTGTAATTTTGTTTTTGATAAATTAAAATATAAGACATCCCCCGAAAATAAGCCCTAGTGGTAATTTTAGGAAGAAATTTGAAATAAGACACTGTCTTAATTTCGGGGAAACACGGAAAAGGTGTCTACCGGTAACAATTTATTATTCTCAAATACCACTACTAGACTCAAGTGCATCTATTGGATATTCACCCAGTCCCAGGCTAATCATTTTGATTCATATTTTTATTTTATTTTTTCATTGGTGATTATTCCCATTTTCCTTTTTTTTTCGATGTGCCTAAATATGTGCCTAGCATATGTGGTGACAGAGCGCGTGCGTCTCCCTTTAGTACTAAGTTTTAAAAATCATTATTGGGTTTTACTGTTGCAATTTTTGCGTTCAACATGTAATTTAAATATTTTGAACTAATTCATTATCTTTCTAGGAGTTACTACGTCCATTTCACCTTTTTTTTCGAAGTGCCTAAAAAAGTGCCTACCAGTACCAATTTATTATTTCTAAATTCCAGTACTAGACTCAAGTGCATCTATTGGATATTTGCCCAGGCTAATCAGTGTGGGTATTATTTTTATTTCTCTGTCTTCTATTGGTGATAATTCCGATTTTCTTCTTTTTTCGAAGTGCCTAAATATGTGCCTAGCATATGTGGTAACCGATTGCAATTTGCGTGTTCAATATTTAATTTGACAATTTTCAACTAATTAATTATCATTTTAAAAGTTATTACGCCCATTTCACCTTTTTTTTGATGTGCCTAAATAAGTGCCTAAAAATTGCCCACTGGTAACAATTTATTATTGGACACGTAGTGGACATAACGATCGTTTCAATATTATGTTGTTGTTGTTCTTTGACACGTTTTTAAAAAGTCGCTTTTCTCTTCGAATACTGGACCAATTGCTTTGAAATTTTCAGTGGTTAAGGATAAAAATTTTCTCCAGAAGGCTATTACTTTTTTTCCCCGCTATGACGTCATCAAAATTATGTGACTCTACGTGTCCATATATTTGAGCATAGCTCTCTTGTTTCTAAATTCCAGTACTAGACTCGAGTGCATCTATTGGATATTTACCCAGGCTAATCAGTGTGGGTAATATTTTTATTTCTCTGTCTTTTATTAGTGATAATTGCCATTTTCTTTATTTTTCGAAGTGCCCAAATATGTGCCTAGCATACGTGGTGACAGAGCGCGTGCGTCTCCCTTTAATACTACGTTTTAAAAATCGTTATTGGATTTAACTGTTGCAATTTTCGCGTTCAACATTTAATTTAAATATTTTGAACTAATTCATTACCTTTTTAGGAGTTACTACGTCCATTTCACCTTTTTTCCGAAGTGCCTACCGGTAACAATAATTTATTATTTCTAAATTCCAGTACTAGACTCAAGTGCATCTATTGGATATTCACCCAGGCTCATCAGTGTGTGTAATATGTTTATGTCTCTGTCTTTTATTAGTGATAATTGCCATTTTCTTTATTTTTCGAAGTGCCTAAATATGTGCCTAGCATATGTGATGACCAAGCGCGTGCGACTGCCTTTAATACTACGTTTTAAATATTGTTATTGAGTTTGCCCGTTGCAATTTGCGTTTTCAACATTTAATTTGACCATTTTTAACTAATTAATGATGGTTTTAAAAGGTATTACGCCCTTTTTACTAAGTGCCTAAAAAAGTGCTTAATTTGCAAGTGCCTACTTTTAGTCCGTCCCTATGTACAGTGTCTATTTTTTATATGATGATAAAATAAACTACTGATTACTGGGCCGGCCCCAGGCCACCGCCACAAGGAACCCCGCCTCTCCATAGGTCCCGCAATAAATCAGAATCATTTGTATGCCAGTGTGTTGTTCATTCTTTGCACGCAAAGCTGGTAAAATAACGCTACCTTAATAAGAGAAAGGATAATAATAGAATGTAAAAAGGAATTCATTATTTATTACAAATTAATCCTTTATCCTGGAATATTATCCATTAACTCGAACCATACTCGGCCCTGTATTAGTAGAGGTCAGTCCTGCTTACAGGAATATCAATTATTACGAATTTCTTCTGCCGATGCGATTAACATAGGCTATAACAGGGGTCGGGAACCTTTTTGGTCAAGAGAGCCATAAAATATACATATTTTCAATTGCATTTCCATGCAAGCCATATAACATTTCTTACTTAATCAGGCCTGAAATGTTTACTCAAAAGTCAACACATACAATGTCAATATACATTTAATGTGATTTCTGATGCTGCATGTAGTCGCTGCGGGCCTTGAACGGTTGCTTACATGCTGCCCAAGTTGAAATCTACGATACTCATCACCCTTTTTCGTTTAGGCATCTCCGTAGTGTTTTTAAAACTATATCGCTTTGTGATGTCACAATATATGTTCCAGAATCCCCTTGTTTGTCACAATGCCTGTCTGGTAATTATCTTACACAACATAGACACGTGCTGGACGCGCGTTCTCAAACGTATTGGGAATTTCCTGTCAAATTTGGCTATAAAAGAGTTTGAAATTTCGTAACAATAGTAAGCTTAGTCTTGGGATATTAGATTTTTCTGGGAGCCATATGCCGTCACCAAAAGAGCCATATATGGCTCGCGAGCCATGGGTTCCCGACCCCTGGGCTATAACATAGCATGAATCATTGAATCCATCTTCATATCCTGTTCAGTTGCCGGTACTCCTTTAGTGTGTGTACCAGGTTAGGATTGGGCCATAATTTTATTCAGATTTTCCTTATTTTAGTTACTATATATTACGAGTTCGGGGACTGTCTGTGTTACCCAAGTGAATACACCCTGTGTCCATCATTGTAATCAGTCCCTTCACACAACTTGATATAAAGTAGGCGAACAAAATTAGTTACCTCCATATCGGTACACTTACTTCTGGAGCACCCAGTTGCCTGCCCAGATCAAAACAACAAACATACATGAATTGCATTATCACTTCAGTTTTTTACAAATCAAGAAGAAAAGACTTCAATTGGGAGTATCATTGATCGTCCATTCCAAGGAAATAATGATAAATAAATATAAAACTCATATCTGCAAAAGATTTGCAATTTGGTGGTACAGATAAAGAAGACCAACTTATTTAAGCACTTTAAATAATCAATAAAATAGTTCAATGGTGCCATACAAGTGATTTTCTTTCAGGCACTGATTATTAACGAGCCCTCTCTTGGTTTAATTAAGCACATTGAACAGGTGGATCAAGGAGACTATAGCCCTGGCCTAAAAGCACGTTAAATTTCAGTCAATAGCATGCTTGTTTATGCAAAAAGGTTACCATTAATTGTTGCATATGGATATACAAGTATAATCCAATTAGAAAACACACCACGGACTCTCAACTAGAAACATTTGTTGTTTTGTTATTCTTATTTGGAAAATGAATGTTCCCTACGATGTCGTTATTCTTACAAGAAAGAGTGAAATAATTGGAACATAGGATGTTATGGCCTCGACCAAAGTGATGATACTCATTCAGTCATCAATTTAACAATATTTTGCTGATTTAACCAGACTAGAGATGAGGATGAACCTAGCGCCAAAAATTTGGCCAATTTTATTCAATACAATGTTAATATGTAACCTCTAATATAGTTGTTCCAGCCTCTTTGGGTAATACCAAGACAACCTAAAAAAATAATGTATAAAGAGATGGATTTGCATGTTTGTATTAGGACAACCATTATGTGGTTATAGCAGGTGATCACATTCAATTCAAACAAGGCAGGCTTCACAGCTCTGGTGTAAACATGCAAATGCACGAGTATGAACTGATTTAAATATTTGCGATCCTATATTGGGCCCCCCAATTCACACTGCGCACTATTGACAACAAAAAAGTTAATATTCGATAGACAAATTCATCATTATTAGCCCTGGATTGAATCGTGCCAATAAAACAAATAGACTTTACAAGCAGCAGAAATAAAGCAGTCGGATGTTAACTGACAGCAGAAGAAATATTCAATTGCTAAACACTCAATTCATTGTAAGTTGTAACATAAGATAATAACCAGATAAAATATGAAGATTGGACTGGCAGTACTGCATGGTTTTCATTGGGAATGTCTTGCAACCTACCATTATCCAACATGGTAACGGACAAGGATTTTTGCCAACAGAAAATCGATAGCATTATACTGGATTGTTATTAAGGCAGAAAAATTCATTATAACTAAACTAGAATGTTGTAAATGAGGTTGCTAGTACTTAGTAGTATGCATGCTACTATATTACATTAATAATAGAAACAAAAAGAAAAAGTAGAAATGAGTGAAAAATAAATATCGCTAATAATACATTGTGGAATTGAAAAAAAATATTAAGAACGAGAAATAAAAAATTGAGAAAAAAAAGGACAAACGCACCAAAGGTTAGCAGTAACATCACCAATATATCATCCCCGATCGAACATGGGCTACTGATAATATGATCAATATAGATCAACAAAAGAAATAACCAAACTCGATAGAACATGTCTCACAATATACTGTTTAAACAAAAAAGAAAATACATTGGAAAACTATAGTAATAGTAAACAATGATCTCATCAAAAGTGCAAAAAAGAATTAAAAATATTTGGTTGAGCCAGAGATGGAAAATAATAATTTTTTATTGGCAAATAATAAGGCCCTGGTTACAATAGCATGAAGAGAATAGAAATATCGTAAATCATTGCCAGAAATGCTTTTTCAATAAATTCTATGTATATTCAACTAATCACTAGACATGCTTTCAATCTTATAACAGTACAGCGCTCTGAAGACAAATTCATTGATTCTATTTTACCACAATCGCATATCCAGCTAAAATAGAAATAGACAGAAAACAATACCGTAATTCCAATACCCAAGATGGTGTAATAAATTTAATTATATTAGGCAATACAAAGAGAACTTTAACTATGAGTCGCTAACAGGAATGTTGTGAAAATACTAAAATTTAGGGTACTCCTGTAGTATGCGAACCAAGATGTCGGAAATTGGAAACGTAGTAAGTGTACCAGGTTAGGCTATAATTTTGTTCAAATTTTCCTTATCGTAGTTCTATCACGAGTTCGGGGACTAGCCAAGCCTACCGTAGTATTTGTACCTGAAATTATAGCCTAACCCTAACCTCGTACACATACTACGATCGGGTGTCCATCTTGGTTCACATACTACGGGAGTACCCAATTTAGTAGTAACCAATATTTGCAATTAAATTTACTTTGTTGATGACAAGAACGCATTTGCCATGGTTTTATGGTTAAACCACGCTGGTAACTTTAAATTCACTAAAGAAAGCAGCATTGCATGACTGTTCATATAAATAAATTCCGGTAATCATAATTTTAAAGAATTACTGAAAAATTCAATTTCAACTTATTTTTCAATAAATGGGAACACTGAAAATCGCAAAATAAGACCCATCACCTAAAAAATTATAAAAAAAAAACAGAAAAACTGAGCCCGGATTAAATTAGGGCTACCCAAACAATGGAATACCCACGGAAAGTCTTTAAATAGAAATATGTAAAACTGTTGTGTACAGATACTTGTGTTGGTTTCCAATGTCATTAAGCTTGCCTGTTTGTGTTGGATTCTGTGGGAGGTGCTGAATCGTACAAAGTATCCGTGTCATGAGTTGGCTCTCCTGCTAAGCAACAAGTTCCACTGAGTGTTCCAGCGCCACAATCACAAAAAAATCTGAAATTATTATATATATTCTCAATTCAGTTTGAAGTGACATAAAACAACCTATTTTGTAGTGAATATTATCAATCAGGAATTTAATATTGTAAAGGTTTCAATTTGAACAAAATTCACTAGTTGTATTCTTGAAACATTGTTTTTTTCGAGATTCTGGAAAAGATGTTGATTTTGGGAAACTTGTATCTTTGAAAAAAAATCAATCGTAGAATGTGACAACTTAAATAACCAACTTAAAATAAGTGTAACATTAAATTCGAGAATGGTTAAAAATCATTGAAAATTTTGGTAATTATGACATCACTACAACACTTACACTAGGCCACCAGACCCTGTGCTTATATTTATGAATAACTTATGAGATAACAAACCTGTCATGGCGAATAAATTCAACAACATGATCATGGTGACATTTCCTGATACAATTAATACAAATTGCATTTCTATCTGTTGTGTTGCAAGTATGACACCTGTATTAAAAACATTGTTCGAGTAAGAGATGGATTAATAAATAGGCAAAGTGGTAATGGGTTTAAATATATTTACATTCGCTGTTAACTACCAAATGCTCCTTTAGTCATGAAAAAGATAATTCCCATAAGTACGAACAAGTCGAACATAAGATTATTTTATTGAAATAAACTTTGCGCATCCCGTAGGAAAAGCTACTATGTTTACTTTACCCATTGCAACAAGGTATATACTATACCAGCGGTTCCCAAACTATGGTGGGTCGCAAAAGGAATCTTAGTGGGTCGTGAAACAGCACATACCGTACAGCACATCTTACCGTGTTTCCCGAAATTTAGACAGGATTTAGATTTATTTTCTTTTGAAGAATAACACAATTTTTTTTTTTTTTTGGAAGAGGTCTTTTGACTTCATTTATTAAAAATAAAATTACATTGTAGAAAATCCTGAGATTTTTTAAAAAACATTATGTGAGAACCTACATCCATTGTTTTTATTTGTATTTCCTATATAAAAATCAAGTGACAAATATCATAATTATGATTGTGACATCACACAATCTTGACTAGTGGTGTGATCTTCACCTTTCCTCAGGTCATTGAACCTTTCCTCTCCCACACATTTTAAATTTATTGGACACGTCAGTGTACATAACGATTGTTTCAATATTAGGTTGTTGTTATTGTTATTATTCTTTGTCATTATCATTAAAAAATCGCTTTTCTCTTCGAATACTGGACCAATTCCTTGGAAATTGGACTTCAAGAGATTCATTTTTTATGTGTCAGAATAAAAAATAGCGACGCCTTGTAACGTGTCCATATATTTGAGCTTAGCTCTATTGTTTTAAGGGTAGGGTTTGATTATAATCATTTTTAAAATTCTAATTAGGTCTTATTTTCAGGCCAGGTCTTATTTGCAAGGAAACACGGGAGTTTTACGATGATTAGCCATTGCTGTGTTCTGTGTTATGTCATAAAAAGTTAAATGGTTCGCCATAAGCTGTGGTAATAAATAGTGGGTCGCAACTCTAAAAAGTTTGGGAACCACTGCACTATACACATACCTGTAAAAGTCATGCATAGGATAACTTGTGTAACTTGAAATTTTATAAAGACATTGGCCATGTTTAACTGCTTTTTCAATCGCATTCTGGTTGCTGAAAACTTTGTTTTCTGGAAAATAATAGTCAACAGGTTATAAACAACTCAAACCTGCCCTTACAGACTGGCATAATTTGTTAAAAAAATATATATGTATCATTAATTTCATTAAGCAATGTGAATCTGTCACTTTTATCAGCGATGACTTATTGCTAATTTTGATTCATTGCTGCATAAAATAAGTTTCTCAATCTATCAATAATACCAAACATTTTTGAAGCAAGTCAGAAGCACTGTCTTAAAAGCCAAAAACACTCGAATAAGTATGAACCACTAAGAAGAATGAAATGTTTTTTTTTCGCTCAACAAAATGTAAATTTCGGTGACTGCCGCATTGAGTTAAGCGCTAATGACACACTTGCCATCGCAAGTGTTTCCCTATTCCCTATTCGGAAATCGCAGGTTTGAACAGCTTAAGAGATAATCATGTGCGAGAGGATTGCAGGACACTTTGTCATCGTATTGGTCAAATACCGCTAACTATTATGCTTATTAACTATTCCTGCTTGGAGTGTTAACTGGACAAGAGGCCGTGTTTCACCATATGATTAAGCCGTTTATTCGAATCTCCTCTTCCTCGAGATAAATATGAAATTATTATTCTATCAACAGCAAAACGGACTTCGCTCAGACAATCAATGTCAGGACAGTACCTCATACCACCACTCCCATATTTATAGGAAATATATGTATATTTAAAAAAAAAGGAACACTAAATACCTTTGAGTACTGCAGAAATACTAGTGGCAAGAAAAATTCCCCCGAACTTATTGTTGAATACTTGGTTGCGTTCTAGGAGAGCTGTGGCAGAATTTGTGATCTCAACTCCGGCAGCAAATCCATCGAATATTCGATTTCTTCGCAGTACAGGTTGACTGTTCGTACTAATCAAAACTCCTGCCTGAGCATTTCGGAAAATCTCGTTTTCTTCTAAAATACCTGTGAATAATTATTCCCTTGGTTAATAATCAATACAAATAATGATAAATGTTATATATGCTTTGTTAAATCATACATTAAATGAGCATAAAGGAATTGTGCCTTTTGAGAATTCTGTATATTGCAGAAGAATTAGGATATACGTTATCAAATTAAATTTTATAACATTTGATAATGTACAACATGACATACACAGCAGCAAATGAAAAAAAAAAATAATACAGCTCGAATAAAACTTACAAGACTAAAATTTTCCTAATTACCTAGCAATGAGCATTCTATGTAACGAGTGGAGATGGGCAATGCACTTATAGACAATCTTCAATTGTATTGCGCTAAGCAGAAGAAATTTCAAAATCCGACAAGATAGTCAAAATTACGCAGATCAACTTTTGAAGTGGCACAAACTCGTTTTTCACTCAAAATAGAATTTTCGTATTTTATCATATAATTTCTAACGTTTTTTTTAAAATTTATTTGTGACAACAACAACCTATATTAACTAATTAGTTGGTAATCAACGATCCTTCTCCATGACGCAATGAGTAGGAAATACACAAAAAAAAATTTAATTCGAATTGTTATATTGTTAAGAAAACATACCTCTTCCTCCATTAAAAATACATATTCCTCCGTCCCTTCCATCATGAATTTTATTATTTCGCATTGTTGGATTGCTATCAGTTTTAATCCATACACCTGCCATTGCATTATCAAATATTTCGTTATGTTCAATAACTCCCAGACCAGAATTATAGACGAGAATTCCACCATTTTGTCCACCCCAGATTTTATTCCTCTTTATTGTAGGATTACTGCCAGTTCTAGAAACGAAAGTCATTTTGAATAAGCATAAAAAAACGGCCTCCGACATGAATATTATCACTAATCCAAAAGAGGTTTTTGTTATAATGTGTTAAATTATTGAACTAAAATAACTACCATTGTTTCTTATGGCAAAAAAAGTATCGGTACTCGAATAATTCGTTAGTTGAACACCAATCCTGAACAAATTATGTTTGACTACAGAGGTATCACTGTATAATTGAGTCATCCGCGTATTTGCTACATTTTTGGACATTTCTGATCTTACCTTATTTGCACTCCCGAGTACATATGATTGTAAATATCATTGTCTTCCAATATTCCATGTCCGTTGTCATAGAAATAAACTCCAACTTGTTTTCCTGAGTGAATTCGATTCCTTCGTAACGTTGGAGAAGAGCCGGTCGTAACCCAGACTCCAGCTAATGTGTTGGCATAAATTTCATTTTCTTCTATGATACCTTGGCCTCGCTCGTGCTGCAAAAAAGTGATTCATGAAAGTAAAATGAATTTTGCTCAGAAGTGAAGAAATCTAATCTGACTGTAATGTTTTTTCCGATATATTCGGAACTGAACACACCGTGCAAAAGTTGAATGGTATCAATGCGAACAGCATCACATACATGAATCACATACACAACCATCTAAATATTTTTCACATTTATAGTTACCTAATACTTCAAACAAACATGAAAAACTCTTTTGAGTTTGTAATTTTTCACATTTAGTTTCTGCTATTAATTTAGGTGTTTTGAGTCCCGCTTTCACGAAACTGCATTTCGGATGATATTTCATGGTAGTGGTACATCATACCAAAAACCTCAATGGCTATGGACTCGAGCTCAGTTACGAGACAAAAAATGAAGCTCTGGAGTTGTGATTTCAAACCAGCATTAAGAATAATAGTGTACTTACGACATAAATCCCACCATGTTGGCCATCATGAATTTTATTATGTCTTACTATCGGACTGCTGTTTGTTCGAATCTGTATACCAGCAAGAGCATTACCTGTAAAAATACAGATAATGGTATATTACATATATATATCCAACCTTGAGAATTCCAGAGAGCTTCAAGGCCTATTGTACCTACTAACTAATCAAAAGATTTGTGAATATAAGAAAATACAGTAATACATAAAACCCTAAAATTGATAAAATTATCATTTTGATCACAACACTTGAGAATAGCGAAAAATATATGGTCCCTGTCACTATTCAATGGCTTTTCGCAACCCAAGGATTATAATCATACCCAAAGAAAAAAGTGGATTCTAATTACAAAAAATACCACAAATTTTGCAGCATTTTCATTAATTTTAGGCCAGAATAGTATTACTGAATTATTCCAACAACTAGTTTTATGGGGGTGCTTTAACTCTGATAACGGATCTGTACCAATTTTTGAATGACCAAAATATTTAATGTTTGTCATTGTCCATCCAATGTCAGATATATTTCATGGCATGAACAGGAGAGCTTTAACTTGCGATGTCAATTTAGTTATATCCTACGATCTAACCTTGACATGGGCGGACTACGTCCTTATAATAGCTCAAGGAATTTGATGAAATTGCGATTTTAATTTTTTTTTTTCCCACTTTTGCTTTTGTAACACTGTAAATATTGTTCATAAAATGTAACTTTCTACGTCACACTTACATGGCCCGCCCGCTCTAGATGGGCAAGATTTTGGCGCCCCCTGATCTAACTACTAGACTAGGTTCATTTATCAAACATCATACCATAAATGTTATTTTTCTCAATGAGTCCCTTTCCGTCACCGAATACATAGACACCACCTTGATGACCATTGAAAATATCGTTTCCTCTGATAGTCGGATCACTGTTAGATGTCACCCAAACACCAGCAAACTGGTTGTTGTAGATTTTATTGTCGATAAACTAGAGAAGAAAAATGGATAAGAATATGAAGCATTTGTAAGACATCAGAATTACGTGAATTTCACAAGAAAATAGAGCAAAACTGAAATTTCAGGAAAAAGGAACATAATAAAATTGAAAAAAATAATCTTAGGTACTTTATTATATGACACTTATTCACGCACTTTGTCCAAAACGAGGTCCTATACAACAGCCACTGAAATCTAACAATATGTGAGAAGGTATTATTTTAGGTGAGGTGGTTGGCATGAAATTTAAAACCAAGATGTATGTGTAACCAGCGACCTGAAAAAACTTCGGCCAAACATCTTTTACAAACTAAGAAAAAGTTTGAGCCTACATTATAGATGAATCAAACTTTTATGGCAAGTCCATTTATGGTTCATGCATAATCAGGTTCGATTCAAACTTAATAATGATCTATATTCTCACCTGTCCTCGACCCCGAGCATGGACGTATATTCCTCCTGTATGTCCGTGATGTATCGAACAATTAACAACAGTGGGATTGGCTCCCGCTTTCACTTCAAAACCGGCGATTCTATTGTGATGGATATCACATTTTTCAAAGTAACCCTGAAAATATATAAAACAAGATATTGGAAAAAGAAATACTGAAACAAAGTCGTCCAGGCTGGGGAGCCGGGAAAATTTTAGTGGCTCCTCCTCCTAATCATTTAATTATTTTTCCACATAAATATCTCCTAATACTTTCGTTATTTAAAATAAAAACCCTATCCTTTCCGTCTTGAATTTTTTCTTCAATTTCTAATATTAATTTTAGTAGTTTAGTTGAATTTGTATAATCAAAAGTTTGAAGTTAAATTTTGAAATCTTAAATCATGGTTTTAAGTCCAACTGCTGTGAATCCACACTTGGGCCGAGGAGCAGAAGAAGTATCTCTATAACAATCTTTAAAGGTACTCCCATACTTTTATTTCGATTTTCCTTATTTTAGTCCTTTTACGAGTCAGGACTGTCTTTGTTAGCCAAGTGAATATACCCCCTGCCCATAGGTTTCCGTCCCTTTACACAACTTAATGTAAAGTAAGCGAACAAAATTAGTTACCTCCCTATTCGTACACACACTTCTGGAGCGCCCCTTTAAATTCTATGATAAAAATTTAGTAAACAAAAAACAAACAAAAAAATACTCACTGAGCCATGATCAAATGTGAATACTCCAACATCTCTACCATGGTGAACATGGCATCTTCTTATGATAGGTTTGGCATGATCTTTGACCCAGATGCCAGCCAGAGCATTATTGTTGATTTCACAATCTTCATAAAGACCCTGAATTGAATGGTTTCGTCAGATTAATCACACACTTCAAAATCAAGAGAGAAAGGCTCAAACATATGGTTGCGAAATGACTAATATGGTGGCAATACAATGACAGCACTAGGGCTGTCTAAGCGAACAGAATATTCGAATTGAATCACAACTTATTAGAATCGTTTTCCAGCTAATTTGTGAATCGGTGTAATAAAGTAGCGGTATATAAAGCGGAAAAAGCACCAAATGTTGTATGAAGTTAGTAAAAACAGCCAAATTTGGGGTCAAAATTCTGGGTCCATGGTAGGACTAAAGAGACAGACAGTCCCCGAACTCGTAATAGAACTAAAATAAGGAAAATCCGGATAAAATTATGGCCTAACCCTAACCTGGTACACATACTATGGAAGTACTTAAAATTCATAGCCATCTATCGACTACTTCCTTCTTTAGGTACTGAAAATTAGAAATTGTTTGATCGCTTGTGGAAAAAGAGATTTTTTGCAATAACGTCAAAAACAATTTAGCAAAACAACTTTGGAACGAAAGACAGTAAATTTTTTAAACACTAGTTATCTAGTATATCAGAACGTATTCACGCTATTACAACAACTATTATCTATAGTTTATTATTTTTAAACCTTAAATTGATCCGCATTATTTAAATCACTAAATTATTTAGTTAAATTAATGCATTATAAATTTTCGCATGACCGCCAGCTTTAATTTTACAAAAAAAAAATCGATTCTGTGGCTGAGACACAGTGTTAAAAACATGGACATTGATTAAATAGCAAAATTATTTTAATCATTAGAAGCTCAAATAAATTTTTTGTCAATCTAACTATCATTTTCAGTTAGATTGGATCTTCCTGTACATTTCTCCGCTCATCATACATAAACTAAACAAACTCGTATTTGGAACTCCAAAATCCAAGTTGTATCAAATTTAAGATAATGTGTTTTGCTGTCACATATTAGCATGTAAAGTTCGTCCTTGGCAAAATATATTTCTACAAAATCATTATCCATGAATATTTCACGAACATTGACATGGGATTTTGCAAGAGAAGAAAAAAATTCACTATTACTAAATAAATTGATTACGGCTGCCTAGTGCCTAAAGTTTTTCGAGTCAAAATAATATAAGATGCTTAACAATGTTGCAAAGATTTTTATTTTTTATTTTTATTTTATTACTGAAAATATAGTGATATCAGGATTTTCATAAAAAAAAATTAAGATTTACAAATGCGAGATTTCAGTAATTTATACCGATGATTGAAATTTTATAAGCATTGAAAAATCCATGCATAATGGTTTTCATCACTGGCCTAATTGTGTGCATTTCAAGTTAAGAGTTCAGGTTCGACACCCAACTGTGTTAGCATCACAAGTTACACATCTTAGGTTAAAATCCTGTACTATCAGGTAGTTATTAATGATAAACTGAAACAATTTCCAAAAATAGCTTACACATATCATTTAATATCAGTGAATACTTGATCAGGGCCTTGTTCAGAGCAATGGATGTGAATATGAGTTGCATGATAAAATGTTACAACGAGGCCTACACTATCAAAAAATGTTGTGAAAAATTTGGTAAGTTGCAACTAGGGCTGTCCAAGCGAAGCGAATATTTCGAATTGGATCGAATCGCAAATTATTCAAATCGTTTCCTGGCTAATTTGCAAATCGGTGAAATAAAGTATATAAAGCGAAGAAGGCCTCACGATCACCTTTGCACAGCGTTTTTTACCGGGCAAGAGTGGAGATACCGGGGATTTTTTATTGTAAGATAGGAACAGAATTAGGATTGCGCAATGATATTTGACTATTCGATTCGAGAAAAATATTCGATTTGATTTGAATCAAAAAATACAGATTTTGGACAGCTCTAGCTGCAACAATATGGTCATTACTTGCTTGTATGGGGTTTGGTTCAGGGAAAAAATTTAAAAATAAAATAAAAATTGTCTCACCTCAGCATTGTCCGTTATATACAAGCCTACGTTTTCACAATCGCTTATGTTGACATGTCGGAATGTTGGACAGGCACCGTGGCCCGTAACACATACTGCACTTCCCACTGCGTGATAACAGAATTAAATATTAGTCTGATAAAAAGATAAAAAAGTTTAAAAGAAAAAAATTATTTGCCTTTGCAAAAGTCCAACAAAAAAAAAATTATTTGTCTGTGCAAAAGTAGCAAATAGTTTAGGGTCAGAAACAGGTGTGGCAAAAACGAAGTCAAGTAATATTACTGAAACATATTTAAAATAAGATTTTCGAATATGGAATCCGGTATACAATATGGACCATGTTCCATGAAGAAGATATAATGAAAATAAATTTAAAAAACAAAGATTAGAATGTTTCACTGTATGTTAAGTTTTAAGAAATTAAATTAAAGGTTTCTTGGTTAGGTTTAAGACTTCAGTTGCCTGTTATGATAATTGACCTAATTTTAATATCAAGAATAGAAAATATCGAATACCCGGATATCCTTGCATTTGAGCCGAGTTTAAAACTCAAAAAAACCTAATTCCAATAGCTACAACTTGTATGCCGTGTTACGATTTGTAGGGTCGGCTTATATGCAAATTTTTATAAATTCATCGTTTTGGGGCTGATTTTACGGAGGTCGGCTTATATGAAAGGATATACGGTAGTTAATTTTAGATAGATTTAAATGTTCATTTTAGACTGCTCATGGTTCTTCTTACCTGTTGAAATACACCTTATATAACAATGATCAATGATTGGTGAACAATTTGGTCCAATTTTCATGCAATATTTTCCTTCATCAGTTGTGTGTGAGACTGAGTTGGGATCATCAGGAAGATATAACTAGAAAAGAAATAGGCAGATTCAGAATATTGTTGAGTTTATAGAGTAGATATGGCACATAGAGTCCAGCAGTATTAGTGGGGTCAAGGGTCATGATAGTGTCTCTTTTTTTCTAATTGTAAGTGTTTATTTTGTTTCCAGGGAGTTGCTACTTCGTACGACTATTCCTCTTAATAGCTGCTACTGCTATATATTCATATGTAAATACAGATACCGGAGAGAATTCAAATGAATTCAAAATTAGTAAGTAAATTTGTGAATTCTCAAAACAATTTGAAATATTTCATGACATTTTCTTGCATTCCACAGACAGACTAACTACAGCATAATTAAATTCTTGACGACAAAAAGGAAAACTAATATGTTTTTTGGAAAATCGTCCAAACTATTCTGCACTTTCGAACTTAATCCCCAGACATTGATTCGTGTGAATTTTTATAAGATAACTCTACATATTTGACATTCAGACACATAATGGATTCAGGATAGTAAATTATATAGTCTTGATCTCTTCGCTTGAATCCTATTTCTAAGGTTTACACAAACTAGCCAAGTTTTTTCTTCCTACCCTTATGGTCATGTATCCGACATAAGCATCATCTGATCCATCCATAAATACAAAAGTTGATGTGTGAGTGTTTTCAACTATTACATGAGACACAATTTTGTCAGGAGCTGAAAGAATTGAAAAGGTTAATATTAATATAACGGAAACAGGCAGTAACAAGAATATTTATTATATCACAATTTTGAACAGCTCTAAAAAAAGATCTATGAGCGGTGTTCACAGATTACCATTGACATTCCAAGAGCTCCTAAAACTATAAGGATGAGATTTACATATTTAACCTGGAGGACGAGGAAAGTCAATAAGACGACCCAATCATATGGCAAACCACGGCCTCTTGTCCGGTTACCAGTCCAAAATGGGTATAAGACTGGTTAGCCTGTTTTCGGGAGCGTAGACTTGATTGTGGAAGAAGCTGTGACCAACCAGCAGTTACGTGAAACACCCTACACCTTTCGCACATAACTATACCCACATGGGATTCGAACCTGGGAACACACACAGGCGGTGACGAGCATATTCCTAACGCTTAGCCAGATGCGCCACACCGCCGCTGTGCATTAAACAGTACTGATGGATATGAGATTTGAAGCACTTCAAGTCAACATTATCAGGAAAACAGCCATAAAGTTTTAAATTACACATAACTAAATAAATATAAGTTTTCCTCCATCTGATGGGTGTTAGCAGTTTTGGCTCTATTAGTATATAAATACTCAAGGAAAAATGTGCATACCTGCTCCAATGATTGTAACTGGATGTTCAATAAATATCCATTCATCTGTGTATATTCCGGAGTGTACGAGGATTAATTTATTCTGAGTGATATCTATTACATTACAGGCGTCATCAATGGAAAAATGGTACTAAAAACACACAAAAACAAAAAGTGATAATATTTTGTAACTGTGGTAAAGAAAATAATGTTTAAGTTATGAAGTTTTCCCTATAATTAAGATAATTAATTAATACAAGATTTTGCGAGTAGTTTTGAACAAATAGAAGATCGACTAACAACACGTTAGAAGTAAAGTGGATTTGGTGTTGTAGAATACAAGTAAAATTTATCAGGTTGAAAACCAATGGTCTAAAATACTGTATGCTTCTGTATATAAGAATGATACTGTATATAAAATACTGTGCCACAATACCGATACATATAAATAAAAACTCTGAACAGTGGTGGTATACCTCATCACATTGTAACATTTTTTAACATGAGATTCTATACAAACCAAACCAAATTTCTAAAAATAATTCATTTTTAATTAAAAAATGCTTAAGCCTATCTATTTTGATATTGGAATGTTGAACACAGCAAGAATAGGAAGAATGTCTACCTTCATGTTTTTTCTTTTTCTTAATCTTGATCCTCCTATTGGCTCAGGTACAACATGAACACCTTTGTGCTGAAATATTGAGAAATACAAATTAGATAAACAGGAGATAATTTAATAGAAACATCAAAATTGATAAAACAACAGGTGGACTTTGACACTCTTCAAATATTTGGCAGGTAGATGAGCGAAACTATTTTAGTCAATCAAAGCGTGGCTGTTCAATACTCTAAATTCCGGTTGTATAAATAATAATAAATATAATATTATCCGGAATAGTCTTTGGTAATATAAATAGGAGTTGAAACAAATTTAACATATTCAATATTGTCTTCTTCTATACTAGGAAGAGAAATCATATTCGGCTATTAGTTTCATCCAATTGCTAAAATAAATAATGAAAAGGGATCATGGCTTGAGCTCCTTCAAACTCAGGGCTGTGAAGTCAGAATCGGAAGCAAATTCGAAAATTTAAAACCTGTAAAATTGTGAAGTTAAAATTTCAGACTTCTAATACTGTTAAACAAAATCAAAATTTGGAAAAAAACGAATAAATCATTAAGTTGACGAAGATTCTCAACAGAAAATCCCGGAGTCGGAATCAAACTTTTAGTCAACCAGAAGTAGGAGTGGTTATTTTGAATGGTACTGTGTTTGAGGTCTGATGACAATTTCTCTCAATTATAAAGTCCTGTTCAAATTCTTGTCTATACCAACTAAATCAGGGATGTGCAACAGGCGGCCCACATGCCACGACCCTAACCCGCCGAGCCATTGTAATGAGTATGTATAGAACACATCAGCGTCAGAAAATCATCAGCATAAAATCCTAATCAGACAGTTTGTTTTATAAGGCGCTCACATGAGTAAAAATACATAATGATTATTTACTTTTGTCGCTGCGTTAAATATTTCGCAGTTTTGCCCAGTGCCTTCATTACTGGAAGGCCAAGACTACAATCTACTCTCTTGCTTTTCCAGAAGCAGTCTTCTTGTCACTAATGTTTTATTCGTTGTGTACATGGAAGAACTAATTTATTTGTGTGGCCCAGCAAGATGTCTGGAGTTGGTTTCATGGCCCACTGGCAAAAAATGTTTCACACCCCTGAACTAAATCTTAACACCTATACAAATATTAGTTCTCATTTTTCAGTACATCCCTATTCAACCATATATAATATTCAATGAACTGAGCATGTGGCAGTAGGGTTAATCACCATATTAATGACATTTCTTACCAATTGTCGGAAACTGTCCTTCCATGGGTTGTGTCCATCATATTCTTCTGGATTGACTTGGTAAAATTTCTTTTCCGATGGGTGCATCATCGGCCATGTGTATTCAAATACTTCTTGATATAAATGTTTCCTGGAAATAATGTTCGAAGATTGATCGAAACATGAATAAAAAACTAAAACACTGTAAAATTTCAAAAATGGCATTTGAGTTTTTCATTTCAAATTTTTTTCAATTTCTCAACTTTATTGGATGACATTAATACGATTTTCTGATATTCAGAAGGTCTGTGGGAAATAAACTTACCATAACACTGTATCGTTAGCCAGGATGCTGAATCTTTTACAAACTTGTGCAAGGGAACAGAGGTCTGATTCAATCAAATATGAAAAAATTTGCAAGAGAACCTCATCAGGTAATATACGAAGTAAAAATGGTCCTCCTGCAGGTGCTGGAAAATGGATAAGCAGTTTATAACAGGAATGAAGTCCTGATCGAAATATTAGAAAATAGAATAAACAACAAGGGCTGTCGGAGCTCAAATTCAGCATTTTTCTATCAGTATTTGTGTCATAGTAGCTGAATTCCTTAGTTATTGAACAATATTAACCCTTTCAAAAGTGGGAGTAGGAATCAAATTTTCAACAAAATTTTAAAGCTATTGAAACAAGACTTCTTTTTGAATCCCTGATTAGAAGTTTTTTAAACGAACGTAGAAGTCAAGATTATTGCTGGTGTCAGTATTCGAGTATTCTGAGGCAGGAAATATTATATTGAACTCAGGAGCCACAAAATTTCTATGGAAGAATGCAGCCAAATTTGCCCCAATATTTCATAACATGACATCATTGAGTATTGATATATCATCCATACCTTTGGCTTGAGTAGCCTTTTTCAAGGCATTCTTTTTTGCTCTTTTGGCTCGAGTTTGCATATATCCTTGATCACTGCTATCTTGAAAGACATCACTCTCCGATTCTCTCTTGCTCGTTCTCCTTGATGATCGTCGAAATAGCGAGGGCTCCCTCCTTTTGGTACTTTGACTTGATTGGTCTGTTTCTGCAGCTTCAAAAAGAAGAAAAAATATTTGTCATACCAATAACAGGCACATGTGCTTAACGATATACATAACTGGGATAACTCATTTCTATAAAGTAGTCCTTCAAATGTACACCGGATTTTTCGAGTTTTAGAAACGATCAATATATTCTTTAACATAGCATATCTCTCAGCAGCAACTCAACAGTAACACTGACATATAGCGATATATAGAGATAGAATTAAGACAATATATTTAAACATAAACGAAAACCAATGTGCTAGCTCAGGGTGGTCCAAACCCAGGCCCGCGGGCCACATGTGGCCTGCCACTTCATTATCTGTGGCCCGCGTCGCATTCGGAGAGGAATCAAAAAATCGCATTTTGTGTTGTTTCGTCATAAAATTAACCAAAAAATCTTTTGACATATTGTTGCATCACTAATGTCACTGAATTGACTAGTGTTATGGCTTGCTGAGGCAACCAGCAAAACTAAAGGGGGAAAAGTTCTTGGCACTATTGTGGCCCGCGAACAATGCAAAAGTAATTTTGTGGCCCGCGAGGCTGCCAATCTTGGACCGCCCTGTGCTAGCTACTCAATTAGTCATTCCGACAAATTTTAGTTTTGTTCTATAATTTCCTAATAACGTAAAAAACTAATGTCATAAAAAATCAGATTTTGGATCAAATGAAATGCGCCTAGTAAATACACTGAAAAATGTTTTGGAAAAATGTAAAAAAGTTTACCACACACTGATTTTGCCACTTACCGTAGATAGTGGACTATATGTATGATTTATGAGCTTTGTCATCAAACTGGATCATAAAATACCAAATTTGTTATAATTAATAAACACTCGTTTCGCAATTACAATGTGGCCTAATGATGTTGTGATGTGTTGAGTGTATCTTTCCATAATGGGATTTTAATTACGGTACAAAACGCATAACGCTAATGAATAAAATTACAATTTAGGTAAAACAGTTATTCCCAACATGTGGTATGCGAAGGTCTTCCATGTGGTACACGAGTACATTCTGTTCATTCTCAATCGAAGAGAGTCCCTAATTAATGCGGTACTTTTTTCGAGCCTTCGTGGTAAGGATGTCTTTTTTTGCTATTTACCATTGTGACGTCATAGAATGTGTACGTTGGATGCGCGCGTCTCGAGTGCTGTATGGTACTGGTAGCCTTCGCATTGAATAAATTGACTTTTGTTGTTATTTCATTATGTTGATCGCCTTGATCTTCATGTGACTGGTGGTGAGAAAACAATTACATGCACCCCATCAACCTTGGCCGATGTGGCCTAGTTTAATAGAATTTGTTATATCACGCATAGATTAAATATGTCATTATGACACCACAAACGGTGGGAAATATTTATACTGATATTTTTTATACTGCAATAATGTAACATTTACAATTTTGGAATTATTACTAGTCTATATTCTATTACTTTGAGAAATATCAAAGTTCAAATTTAATCTTGAATTACCATTTTGTTCCAGTTTCAGATCTGACTGGGATGTAGATGCACCAGAAGACAGTCGACTACTGCTCCTTGTCTTTCTCACATAATTTCGAAAATTTTTCGATGGCATTTTTCAAATTTATTGCTCTGCACCTCTATTGCTTTATTAAAACAGCAATCAATCACCTGTGTGCTTTTATGATACTATTTCATCATACTGTGATAACTACACTTTATACTGTTATACAACCAGCTAAAAAATATGAAAATTTGAAAGACGTGGTTAATTGTTAGTTTAATTTAAAAACTCAATTTTATTGAATTGACTAGAATTTAGATATCTTCTAAATCTAGTACCTTTGATTCCATGGACATTTTCAAGTTATCTCCCGACTATTAGTTACTATTACTATTATAATTTTCCAATAATTTTTCTATTTTCATATCTGGTTGATAAAGATATATATTTTTGAAAATGTATCCAAATAATGCTGAATGCATTGATAATGATTAATAGACCCTCTGTCTAAACAAAATAATTTTCTTAGAGAGCTATCATAGCCTACTGTCATAGGCTATGTTTGCAGATTTGTGGGACATGAGGGATAACTTGAAAAGGTCCGATTTCAATTGAAATTTGTGTATATTTTCATCAAAAACAACAACTAATAATGTTGAGTAAAAAAGCTACACCAGGGTCGTCCAACCCGTTGTCCGCGGGCTACATGTAGGGATGGGCAATATAGAATACCGAATCCGGAGGATTCGAATCCCCAAAGTATTCGAATCCAACGGGATCCGATAACAGGATTCGGTTTCCGCCTCTCTGGCGCCAAGCGTCAATTTTTGTATTTCGGGTTTCTAATTTATCAATTATAGAAGAGCGTTTTTCTCGCGTGGAAATCTCTCTCGTTTAATTAAACTTGCGTCTGCTCGCAAAGAACCCGTAAATCGGTAAACATCAAACACTGTAATTTCAATCGGCATATTCAGGACAAGAAGTCGGTAATATAACCTCACGGCGAGGACTCGTTATTGCACCATTTTTGCGTTTTCCTTCTTTGCTATCCAGCTAGCGTTATTTGTGCCGACTTATTGGTGATATTCCGATAATCTGAATGCAACAATCTTTAATTGTTTACCGACGTGCCTTGCCTCATTTTAAATTAAATGATTTTTCGCGACCTACGAGTTTTCCCAAAAAAATGATGCACGTAAACCAAAAGCCAAACCAGGCGTTAAATGTTATAACATTACTTTAGACATAATTTAGATCAAATATTATTTACGAATAATTTTATTATACCATTTTGCGAAATACAAAGTTATATCGCAAAACGCGAACAACTCTCACATTTAAATTTCACTCTCAAAAGATTACATTTTTTTCAGTCCGTTTCTATCGTTCAAGATAGACGCACGTTTGATCGAGTGTCTGTAGTATTTTAGTCGCCGATAAATTTTGAATAAAGTTGCCGCATCTGGCGAAGATAGTGACGTATTGAATTTGAGTAGGGCTAAGTCTGGGTAGATAATGATTAATGATAACATTTCTATCGTTCAAAGATAGACGCACGTTTGATTGGAAGTCTGTAGTATTTTAGTCGCCGATGAATTTTGAAAAAAATTGCCGCATCTGGCGAAGATAGTGACGAATTGAATTTGAGTAAGGCCAAGTCTGGATAGATAATGATATGTAACGATAACCATAGAAAAATGAGTTCGTCTTCAGATGTTATAACCTAATAACTAAGTACGAAATCGCGTTTACGGGAACTTGGTTTTACGCGTTGCTCTCACAGAATAAAAGGTTGATTTTAATTGATAGTGGTTAAATTTAATATTTTACAACGGCGCATAGGTTGCAGTGGCCACACGCTGGTTCTCAGCGGGTTTGTTTTAGTATACTCGGCAGACTTACATTAATAATGATTTAACGCCGCTTCATGTCTATTTTGTATTTAACCGCTTACTATTAAAGTGTGTAAAGCGTGTCTTAATTTAGCATATCAGTATTTATTAGTATTTAGGGATTACATACCTTTGGAACAATTGAAGGCAAAAAATATTGTAATATTCCTAAATTTTATTGTCCTGGGAACTGCCTGTTTAGTATCAAATGAAATCCAAGGTTCAGGACATTTCCAAATAGATAATACAGTAATACATTTATAGTAAGTACGGTAATACATTTGCAATTTTTTACCATCTAAATCCAGCAATGTAGAAATTCCCACTATTTGAATAAGTATGAAAATAGAATAGGATTCGGTATTCTGGATTCGATTTAACTATTCTAGAATATTCTAGAATAGTAAATTATTCTACATTGCCCATCCCTAGCTACATGTCAGCATGTGGTTTCCGATCACAATCGGAACTCTTTTTTTAAAGTACGGTAGTCTACATGGACTTGTGCAGCCCACTTTATGATACACCGTAATGTCTTCTGCATGCTCAGAAGTTGGACATACAGCAGTACAGGGTCAGATATACTGACATACAGTAAGACAGTACTGCCGTAAGATCTTATGGTCAGGTGGTTACCGTACATTTTATATATACAAAACGTAGCCTATGGATCGAATCGCTGCTCCCATATTCCCCTGGAACCTGATGATTTATTATTATTCGGTACCAAGTCTAGACTGACTACCGTATGCGCTGTACCGTACCGGTACCGTTACCTACCGTACAGCAGTTTTACCGTATGTTTACGGTACTTTCTGCCTTGACTGCCTAATTAATTCAACAGCCTGACAGCGCTTCTCAACCTCAATATAATCAAACGGATGACCGTAGCTGGGCAAGTGATTAATTGAATCGCCCTTCCGTCGCTCTACCCCTCGGAATAAATAAGCTACAATATAAAATTAAATCATAAAAATGATCTAACGTTAGAGACTTCCTAACATACACAGACCTAAAGATGAAGGGAGATAGTCGGGTCTATTAATTTGCCTCTTTGGCGCCACCTAAAACATTCCCAAAGTGATTTTATAGTCCATTTGATATTCCGCAAGGTAAGACGCATACGGTACTGCAAATAGGCCGCGAGCCGAGGTCATTTATCTTTCAGTTTCGTAGCGCACATAAGGCAACTACCTGAAAATGACTTTAAAATGTTCCTTAGAAATTAAGTAACAAATATTGCCTTGTTCCCACTTCCAAACGTTGCACGTTTTACAGAAAAGACGCTTTTACTACAATAAATATGTGTTACCATCTGTCCTATACCTTTTTTCAGTTCAAAACTATATTTTTCATTGTAAACAGAAACGTCATGAATGAAAGCGTTAAGCACAGATTACTGTCAGGGCAAGGGTAGGCAATTTTTAATTTAATTCACCTGGGATGATGTGAGAACATCCTGAATAGCAGTAGAGTTTGTCTTAGTTGTCACTAGGGTTGGCGAAATCGACTCCGGATTCGATACTTCGTGGAATCGAGTAGAATCGATTCCGATGCATTGGAATCGATTCCTAGGATTAAAATTTAGAATGCAAACAAGGTATAAAGTTTTGTGACAAGTTCTTCACATATATATTTAAACTGATATAGAGGACTTGCACGGGTCACGTGACTTTGTTTACTGGACGGCAAAAAAACAAAAACGTCCAGCTGGCTCCTGTCAGTTGCAAGTCGGATTATACGTTTCCGTTTTGATTGGCTGTTGAAAATGGTTATTTCGTATTGTTCCGTTGGCTGTACGTATAGAATAGACAACGAAATGGATCTTCAGGTATATTCCACTGTTTCAAAAAGATCCAGGAACGTCTCGCAATATGGATATCATCCATTGGTATATTGGCAGGACTGCTTGGTATCAAGTCCAGAAGTCATCTCTCTTGTGTTTCACTGTTTGCGGACAGCACTTCCTTGATGGTGAGTGATAATGTGCCTTTATCAATTTCTTTAAATATCCATAAGCTCCCTCATTTCAATGGAAAGCAGATGACAAACTACTGTTATTGGTAGGCCTAGGCGTGACCTACTTGCAGACTTGACTTGTGTAAGGAATTAATCATCAATTGCCATAAGATATTGTTTTCCTAGTTAGCAGGTAATCTATTACTAAGTGTGAAAAGTTGACTAGATAACTAAAGTTTAACGCCAGTGGTCCGCATCTCTGATCACCCTGGTAGTTTCACAGGTTCCAATCCCATGCGGGGGTGATTATGTGCGAGAGGATTGCAGCTCTCCTCCCACTGAGGGTGGTTCACACGACCGCTGGTCGGTTGCGACATCCCCCACCATCAAGTCCATGCTTCTGAAAACAAATAACTGGCTAACTAATCCCGACATAAAATGGTAATCGTACGATGTTGCACCTGCAATCATCCCCCCAGATAAATCTTATGGTGATCAGAGATGCGGTGGCGAGCGTATTCCTAGATGGCGAATTCAATTGAATTCTGGTTATTTTTTGCATGAGCACTTGCGTTAAACTTTAGTTATATGTTCAACCTCTCACACTTACTAATAGATTACCTGCTAACTAGGGAAACAATACCTTATGACAATTGATGATTAATTCCTTACACAAGTCAAGCCTGCAAGTAGACAAGCAAGTACTGACGAAGTAGGCCTACGCTAGCCTACCAATAACAATAGTTTGTCATCTGTTTTCCATTGAAATGAGGGAGCTTATGAATATTTAAAGAAATTGAAAACGGCACATTATCACTCACCATCAACGAAGTGCTGTCCGCAAACAGTGAAACACAAGAGAGATGACTTCTGGACTTGGCACCAAGCAGTCCTGCCAATAGATGATATCCACATTGCGCGACGTTCCGGATCTTTTGAAAACAGTGGAATATAACTGAAGATCCATTTCGTTGTCTATACTATACGTACAACCAACGGTAGAATACGAAATAACCATTTTCAACTGCCAAACAAAACGGAAACGTATAATCCGACTTGCAACTGACAGGGGCCAGCTGGACGTTTTTGTTTTTTTTGCCGTCCAGTAAACAAAGTCACGTGACCCGTGCAAGTCCTCTATGTGGAGTTGCTACAACGCCGAAAAGTTAACTATATTTTTCTACAATCTCTTTCTCACTCGTTTGCGAGAGTAAGGGCACATGCCACATTTTGACCTATTCATGTCCATTTCCCTATATTTCTTGCGTTCATTACTCCTATTTACTTGGAGAAAGAGGCATCCCAAAAAGTAAAATCTTGTTGCAGTTTGTAATAGTAAATTTTATACCTCGGAGATGGAACAGTCCGCAGTCCAACAGACCGGAATAGCAAAAGACCTCTTTCATAGAAATAATGAAGTATATATGTAATGAAAATCTGATCAATGATAGTAATTATATATTTGAACATTGCTCACTTGTTTGATTTGTTAGTATTGTTTAAATGGGCTGGGTTTTTAAGCTATGCCGAGGAATCGAGAATCGGAGTCGAAAATTTAGGAATCGGATAAGAATCGAATACTTGTAAGTACTCATACTTGGCATCCTTAGTTGTCACGGTAGAATAATATCGCTACTGTGGTTAGATAAATCAGAAGACTCCAGAGTTCCGGATTGGTTGTTTATTCTACGGCAACTCCACAAATAAAACAGCATAAGAACTTAATACGGCAAAAACAGAGGACGCTACAAAACGCAGCCGACCTCCAGCCCAGCGGCTGAAGAAGAGAGAAAGAGAGACATAGTTCTTCTCTCACGGGTTCAAGTCAAGTCAAGATCCGACGACAAAACAGCATAAAATACGGGTCGACATACCCATCTATGAACATAGAAATATACATACACATAATATAAATGCGGATGCTATGTTCCGCGACGCAGTATCGGTAGATGTGTCAGTGCACTTGTTAAATTCGTCGTCTCGACATGGAGGTCCGACAACTTTGCTTGGAGGACCTCCGAAATATATTTTCAAACAGATAAAATACATTGAAGTTGAACCCCCATCTTCAATATTATTGTAGTAGCCTAATTTAGTTTATTTCACAACTAATAAAATAATCGAAGTATATTTATTTAAACTCATAAAGAGTAAAGAACCTCTGAGTTGGAATGATAAATTACTTCCCAAAACGAGTGAGTGAGGATTACGCTCACAATAACACTCAAAGATCTTGGTATTAATATGATTTGTAATATGATATAATCTAATATGATCAACTTAATTGCTGATAAATACCATACATTTTATACCCGTGAAAATCCTATTATTTGCAATATCTGGCGTTGTTTGTAGGTTTGCCGTGGGGCGGGTCAGTACGATGAGCGAGCGATAAGTTTAGTAAACCGGTTTTTGGTTATTTAGTCAATTCGTGCGAATATCACAGAAAAATGATTGATTGTGGCCAATTTTCGTAGTTCAGACTTCACACTTCTATCTGGTCGAGTGGGTGAACTATAGTGTGGCCATTAAGCTTGAAAAAAAAATAATTTTTGCAATTGTTTACTAATTCAATTTCCCACAATAGTTGACTTATGGTAAACTGGCTCCAGGCAGTAGTTTAACTAGTTTTATCTAAGCTTATAAATAAATTTAAATTGGTTTAACATTGTGTTTGTATATCAAAGTTTCTTATCTTGCTGTAACTTCAGTGTATGCGGGCAGTGGTGTATCTACGTAATTGGCGTCAATGGCAAAGTTTGAAAATGCGCCCGTGTACGTTATTATTCAGGTAGGATTAATAGTTTTAATTAATTCCAACTTGAGACTATATTATTGAATAAAGCTCGTTTCTCTGCGCCCTCATCCAAACGACGCCGATGGCACAGCGCTGGCCCTGGATACGTCACTGATCGCGTGTTGTTATAATCACACTTATCGATGTAGTGTTTTGAGGATTTTAGGAATAAAATTATATATTATTAGGTTCAAATTATCTCAACAACACAGTATGCGTCTGAAAACCCGACGCCAAGAGATTAGCTACTTCTGGCTCAATTAATTAGCGTCGGTTCATGCGCGTTCACAACTGTAAATTGAACGTGATAAAAATTAAAAACATAGATTCAGATAAATATTGCACAGAATTAGCTACCGTCCTGCAAATCATATGAGAGAACGCATGTTACATGCCTCAGGGCTAACTAACATTGACTTAAAAAACTGTTTATATCGAAAATCACTTGTGTATTTTGAATTTTTTTTGGACATATAGCACTCACTTTAGTAGATATAGCCACAATTAAAATATTTGAGGTCAAATTTTCAAGTAAACTTTTATTTAATATGGCGTAAACGTGACCTTTAGCAAGTGAATGTTGTTCAGTTGAATAAAGATTTTGTAATTAGCTTTAGCATCTGGTATTCTGGCAAGGTTGCAAGGCTTTAGGGGTAATATCTCTGATTTGATTATTTGGTTTTAATTCAATCGGACTTTCTAAGCTTTCGATATTCATCATGACAGTTTCAGCGTCGATCAGCATAAATTTGACGCTATTAACGAATAATATTAGTAATTTTGTAATCTTATTTTTTAATACTACTTCTCATTAATACTACTCAGTATAACCCTAGATTCAACTATGAAGTATTTTCTACAATTTGCGATGGTCTTGTTAACCTGCATGAACGGTCTCACCTTGGCTAATGATGTGGGTGAGTATCATTATTATTATTATATTATTATAATAAATATATTAAATTTATTCACAGTTCTTTGACTGGTCAAGCATGTGTTTTCGGATGAATTTATTACTACAATATCAGGCCTTCTGTGAGTAATGAAGTGGTTTGTTTGTATGTTAAAATCCCAAAGAATCTTAACGTATCATTGTTTTGTGATTTTTCTGGGGTGTGGTCGTACCAATTATTCTCTCTGTTAAGGCCGTATAGTTTGCAGAGTTGCCAATAAACAATTCTTGCTAGATTATCATGTCGATTGTTGTATTCTCTTTTCGCCAATTTTGAACATTCACACAATATATGAAAAACTGTCTCATCACTTGCATCACACATTCTACATTTTGCAGAAACTCCCCGCTTTTCAATTTTTGCTTTGATAACATTCGTTCTCAGAGCCTGTTCTTGAGCAGCTGTTATCAAACCTTCCGTTTCCTTTTTAGGTATCCTTTCTTTAGCCAATTCCATGAGTCCTCAACCATTATATTTTCAGTTTCACGAAGGTATTTCCCATGTAACGGTTTTTCTTTCCATCTTTCATTATTTTCCTTCTTTAAATGCGTTTGAGTCTTCGTCGCCACGCAAAATACCCTCACGGTATACGGCTTTCATCAAAATATCTCCACTATTTTTTGCATACTCTGTCATACTTTTCTTCTCTGATTGAACACAGTCTTCAACACTCATTAATCCACGACCCCCCATTTGCCTTGGCAAATACAATCTGTCAACATCACCTCTAGGATGAAGCATTCCGTACATTGTTAAAAGTTTTCTTGACTTACGATCGAGTTTTTCGAGATCGTTTTTGACCAACTAATAAAAACAGCGCTGTATTTAATTACCGAAACTGCACGTATGTTAATAGCTTTGATAATGTTACCGCCATTTAATTTCGATTTTAGAATTTGTTTTAATCGTTTTGTATATTCATGAATGATCAGTTTCTTCATTTGATTTTCGTGTATCGAATTTGATTCCAATATTCCAAGGTATTTGTATCCATTGCTTTCCTCGAGCTGGCTGATGCTATTCCCATCTGGTAAACAAATTCTTACACTGTCAGTAATTTTTCCCTTTTTCATACTTGATTCTGCGCATTTATCTATCCCAAAATCCATTCCAATATCCCGACTGAAAATGTGTACAGTTTTCACTAAAGAGTCTATTTCTTTGTCGTTTTTTCCAAATAGTTTCAAATCGTCCATGTACAAGAGATGGTTCAGCCGCTCCTTTCCTTTTCCTATGCAGTATGATTGTGTTGTTTTTCTCAAAACCATCGTCAGTGGAATCATACACAGAACAAAAAGAAGTGGAGAAAGAGTATCGCCCTGAAATATTCCTCTTTTAATTTGAATTTCTCCGTAATGTTTTCCGTTTGCCGTCAAATGCGTTCTCCATGTATCCATACTGTTTATGACTAGCTTTCTCAAGTTTTTAGCTATTGCAAGCAAATCCAGGCATTTGGAAATCCATAATGGGGAATCATATCGTAAGCTTTACGATAATCTATTCATGCCATGGATAAACTTGTTTTTCGTTTTCTGCAGTTATCCAAGACCATTTTGTCGATTAAAAGTTAATCCTTTCATTCATGCCATGAATAAACTTGTTTTTCGTTTTCTGCAGTTATATAAGACCATTTTGTCGATTAAAAGTTGATCCTTTGTCCCACGCGACCCTCTCTTGCACCCCTTCTGCTCCGACGGGAATAAATCGTTTTGTTCAATATGGTCATATATACTAGTTGCAATCATTCCTGTAAATAATTTCCATATGATTGGTAATCTCAAGTTATTGGTCGAAAATTACTAGCACTATTTCTCTTGTTTTTGTTTTTCAAAATCAATACTGTTTTTCCTTCGGTCATCCAACCTGGAACCTTGCCTTGCTGAAGACAGTAGTCAAGTTGTTTTGCAATTCGTGAATGCAGATTTGTGAATTTTTTCACCCAGTATGCCTGTACCATATCAACACCTGGAGACTTCCAGTTAGCTAGTTTTTTCAATTGTTCCTTGAGAATTTCTTCAGTTATTGTGAAATTTAGTTGAGTAGGAATATTTTCCAATTTATTATTATATTTTTTTATTATTATTTTATTTTTATTTTTTGAGTCAAACATTTGGCCTAATATTATGAAAAATTTAATTTGGAGTCGAAAGAATAGGTAACGCATTTTTTAATGACCTCAAATCAAGAATCGGGAGGAGCCCAGAATACCTGGTAACTGCCGATATCTGATAAATAGTAATAGATTTAATTCTGGAAGAATTTATTTTGCCGGTATGTAAGCAAGAACGAATTACTTTAAATTACGAATATATTCATGGTCAAACTTTCTAATCAGCTATATGTTTCTTTAAAAGTTTTGACTTGTCCCGATGCCGACTCTTTTGGAAAAATCTGCATTATATACAGGGATCAGTGTATGGACAATACTGCCTGTGTGGACGGACAGATTTGCTGCCTCGTAGAAACATGTGGACGAGAATGTGTTGACCCTATTCCGGGTTAGTGCTTTCACGTGAAAAACATATTTTAACAGAGAGAGAGAGTTAATTTAATTTTGTCAAACCAAGAAAACAATAAATGCATGCATATAAAAATATCAAATAAACAGATGTTTTCGGTACATGACTGGGGGGGGCAACGATACGAACTTTGGGGGTCATCAGATAAATGCATGCATGTCAGTTGACACCCAATTCAATTAAATAAGCAAGAGATCAAATAACAGAGAATGCGATTAAGTAGTAAGGCATTAGAAACAATAATATTGCCAAAATCTTGAGTGGTATTGTGAGCATAGTACCCACTCACTCGCTTTGGTGGGTAATGTATCAATCCAACCCAGACGTTTCAGACTTTATAGTATAATCAAAAATACTACATTGCGAGAAATATTAATTAAATAATTTAAATTATTATAATTCTGTTGAAGTCGTAGGTTTAAGTACAATGTATATTTATCGTTTTGAAAATATAATTCCAGTTGCCCTGTGCCCTGCAAGCAAAGTTATCGGACCTCCTTGTCAAGGCGATGAAACTAACGAGTGCATCGACACACCTACTAATACTGGAACAAACAATATTTGTTGCTATTCAGGATGTTCTCGAATTATCGCCACAGGTGAAATACATTTGAAAATTACCTCCATGCCATGACACATAATTTGGGAGCTTAAACTATTGTAATACTTACAAGGAGAGCAAATAATAACTATCCCGATCATTCATCAGACCACAATGTACGTTTCTATGCGGATAAAAAAAAAACAGTTTACCAATCTAATTGCACGTTCTAATTTAAAATAGTATCATGGATTTAAAATGTAAAAACAAACAAGGGTGATATGGCCTATAATTTTTTGACATGGATAGCTTTATTAGCATATTTCCTGATTTGACCGCTCGTCGTAGTTTGGGAGTCTTGCATCACCGCAAGAGATGCAAGCAATTTTGCAATGAGATACATTTTTGAGACGTCTAGAAGTATGTGCACCAAGATGGCGCACAACCTGCACACAGTATGTGTACCAGGTTAGGGTTCAGGTTGTGCGCCATCTTGATGCATATACTTCGGGAGCGCCCATTTTTATACTCATGTGTGCTTAATAGTTGCATATATATAAAGGATATTTATTTGTTCATATATCTTATTGTATAATTTGTCTCATTTCAGTTCCGATTCTTGACCCAGGCTGTCGAAAAGTTAAGGGTTCAAAAGCAAGAAGTTGCATCGAAGAATGCCAATCGAATTATGACTGTCGTAAAAAAAAGATATGTTGCTCAAATGGATGTGGAACAGTCTGTACTCCGAAGAAAGGCAAAAAAGTTTATAGGTAGCCCGTACATATCGTTAGATATCAGTAGTAGCTTATCAGTGGCTGGGTGAATTTGAATGTCATTTATCTATTTGTGCGGTGTATTTTTTCTGTATGGCCAAATATGGAAACAATAATTAGAGTATATGAAATATACTGTGTATTGAAAACATAGTACAAAACTATTATAGGTGACTTTTAATAAAATGTTGATTGCAATATAATTTAGCTGGTTATACTTTGTCATTAACTAAAAATGAAAATTTTTCTGGAAGAAAGCCTACGAGCAACCACTAAGGTTTCAATAGTTGAGTACTCACTAATTATTGAGTCAGATATGTCTCTATATCAATTTTGATACCGTTAGGTCATACTTGAATAATTTCTGTATTTTTTTGCAATGTCTGTATTGTTACATAATATGCATGTTGTATAAATATACTCAGATCAGGGTTGCCATATTGGCTTTTTTAACGCCAAATTTGCCATTTTTGGCTTTTTTCAAAGGCGTTTGGCGTCAGAATTTCCGTTTGGCTTTTTGGCGTTTCTTTGGCTTTTTCAAGTCTATTCTAGTGCCTATTATTAAAATCATATGAAATACAATATTTCAGTATTTAGTGTGTAACAACTGAACAATAGCCTATTACTGTATTACCTGTACTTAGCTACTTAACATTAGGATTTCCTGGAGCATCGATTTCCTTGTTTGTTACATTAACTCTTACCCATACCCAATCAGAAATAATTGCAGTTTCTGCAGAAGCTCAGATAGATGTTCAAGCAGGGTTGTAAACATTGCCTCGTTTTTATAGTTTTGCGTGTTAACTACGCTAAAATTACTGAATTAGATATCAGTGGTCCACTTGTGAGCGGCAGCAGGGGGTTAGATAAATTTTTTAATAAAATTTATGGTTTATAAATTTTAAAAGTGAAAAATTTTTCTATAGTAAAGTACGAAATAGGGACAATTTTTTAAGGTATATCACAAGTGTAAGTAGAAACATGTAGGTATATTACATACTGACAGACTGAAGCAGCACCTTGTATTGTATATATTGAATGGTAAAATAATGCCAGAATGCTGTCCACTTGATATTTATTTTATTTCCTACAGTTCTATAGGAACTTTACTTTCTCATTGTGTGCCTCACTGAATGAACTGATGGCTCTACATCACCATCAGTACGTTGCCAAGGGCTTGGAATTTGACAAATCATGGGGCTTTTGTACTTAGTAAAATTGTTGGCTTTTTCTGGCTTTTTTTTATGTCTTGATTTGGCTTTTTTTGAACGCTGGGGTCTGGCAACCCTGACTCAGATACACGAATACAACAGAATCATATAATAAACGTGTTTACTAGTATTTCGTGAAATACTCTCAGGTGTTCCGCGTCAAATTATCATTTATTGGATTGGCATATTTTATGATAATGATCAACAATTATATATTCAACACTTCTACATATAATCAGTTGTACAATGGTGATCTCAATTAAAGGAAAAATGATTCATTCTCCGGGTGCATATGACTTAGGATAGGATTCATACCATCAAACGTAGCGTTGTAGATGTATAAAATTTTTAAATGTTTGATTGGGTGGTATAGCCCAGGCCAATGAACCATTTCCGAGCACTGAGAAACACACAACTGCACAACGGTAGTAATCTGCTAAATTAGGTCATTCATCGACAAAAACTTGGCTTTGTTTTGTTGATTCGTTACATTCTATATCGCATCGCTTGAATGGCTGTACAAGTAATCTTGCTTTAAAAATTGAACATGTTGTTTTGTGCAGCTTTTAGCGATAATAAACCGGGCATTGACATACAACTGAACCGACTACCGAATTGCAGCAGCGATGATGTGTGTCCGAAAATCTCGTGGTACACTCCGCGTCTTTCTTTATATGAATATGGATAGGTACCGTAAAGAATAAAATCATCTTGTCAGACAATAGGGAATGACCAACCGCAGACTATCAGCCCATGTAAGTTTGTGTGTCCAGCTGGTCTCTATAATAATAGTTTATTAGTTGGACATTACCGGTACACGATGAACCAAATGTTTTAACACAGTCACTGCTCAAATTTTTAGCTAACGTTACATCTGTAGGCTCAGTTTAGTGACTATGAACATCTCAACTGATTTGATCCAAAAGCATGTGGAATTGATTTGTGATCGACTGAAGCTATATTCTACCGATGAAAAGGTTGCATTGCCCAGCATATGTGAACTATGCAAGCTTGTGAATTTCGATTTCCCCGAAAATATTGTTTTAAAAGCTGTCGTACAGAAAGGAATATGTCCATTATTGAGTTGTCTATTAGAAAAATATGCCCTCGAGGCGACAGAAACTAGAAGTAAATTATCTATTAAGATGAGTGAATCGTGCTTAAAATTATTACTAGCGGTTCTTCCCGCTATGAATGAAAAACAAAACAACAAATATCACGACAAAATTACCATCCAAGTGATGTATTTACTCGGATTCTCGCAAATCGAAAATGGCAGATTCAAACATTCGTTTCCAATCAAAACCATGGAGAACTTACACAAGATTTCAGGAATGGTATTTCGATGTCCTCTTGAAATAATAGATGCATCGGAAAAGTCAATTCTAAAGGGATGGATCCCTACTGTTCACCACCAAGCCCCTGTGTATGCTATCATTGCAGAATCGTTGAAGATTGAAACACAAGAACGACGGGAAAAGCTGTGGAACGAGAGTCCGATAATTTCACAAAACATTTTGCAGGTACCCTGTGTAATCTTCCTTCTATGTCAAAATATAAAACAATCTAATTAAGAGACTTGCAACCTCATTCCAATTACAGTATGGCACTTACCAGCCCAACAATTTATTGCAGGCGAATATCAGAATCACGCACTGGGACAATGTCAACATGCTTCACATACAAATATTGAATGACCAGACAACTACGTTCAACGACCAGATGAAAGCCATAACCCAGAGGGAACTTGTCTTGCTGATGTCCCCACCACAAGCAAGAGACTTGGTGCTGACATGGTATTCGGCTAAGCTAAACATAATAATGCTGTTTTACCTTTGTACCGAGATTAATGTATCCATATTACAGGTGTGAAGAGGCCATTTGGCCTCACAAGGGGTTAATAAGAGGGGAAATTGTAAACATCAGTGGAAGGCTATATATTTATGCTATCGACTATGGATTTACTCAAGCACTTGCTCCCACAGAATTGTTTAAAATTCCGGACATATTAGGTGAGATTCGGATCTATAACTCATTTCTAGAGACCTCGAATATCCCATATTTTGACAAAGCATAAATGTAAGAAAAAATGTATACCATGTATAAAATGTAAACTGAGTGTGAATTCTTATTCAAAAGTCACGGGAAAGGAACAAAATCAAACTCAGTGGTCTTCAGACAAATCATGAAATCTTTTCTTGAACCTTTTCTCACACTAACACTTGATCTATGCAATTCCAATTTCAGCAAAGTATCCTCCATTAGCTGTATCCTGCTTTTTCAATGTAAGTCCGCCAATTCCAAGTAGATGCATACTCGACCTTGGGATCAGATACTTGAATTACATGTGTGATGCTGATGATAAAGTACTTTCTGATGTAATCATGAGAGATAACAATATTGAGACCATACTACATCTTCTAGACTTCAAATTTAGGTGAGAGCATGGATGCATGCTAAACTGCACAGTTGATCAGTAATATCCTGACTTATTTTTTTTTTCAGAAACTCATATCAAGTATTGCAAATTGTGTTGAAATTGTGCTATGCCAATTATAAGGACGACAAAGGGAAGTTGAACAGTTACGAACCATTTCCAATTTTTTTTAAAGTTTTCAGGTCAGACATATATTGAAATATTTGGTTAGTAGGCTACTAGATAACAATGTACTTGAGAACAGTAAATGAATTATGAAATTTGTTATGCATGATTATGTTGAAACAAAAATTCTCTAAATTGAGTACCGTACCGTACTTTGTTTAATATAAAGAATATTGAAAGTATTTAAAGTAAGTATGAATCGGTGATGGCGTATGAATGACATGTATTGAATGAAATATGGTAGTTTCAAAACGAAATTTAAACCTAATATGATCCGTGAAAATTACAATATTCAGGGATACATCTGACAAATGGTTTAAATTGATGTCAAAAGAGCATGAAACTGCTCTAGTATCATGCTGCCAAATCTTGGAATTACTGGCCACAGGAAACCAAGAAACAAAAATCAAATTTATCGAGCAGGTAAAAATGATAAGTAAATATCAATAAACCAGTGGAAGCAAATGGAGTTTTGGCTCACACTTTCGCAAGGAGTGAAATATGCCTTGTGAAGGTGTTTTTTTGCACGTTATAATATATTGAATGATCGCTGCCTATGTATCATGATATTTTATTAGGAAAAATAAGCAATAGACATAAAAAATCTTCTCATTTTGAAGCTTTGTTTTCAAGCCATTGCTACAAGATGTCTAAGTGAAATAAATGGTTCCTAAAACTTTTATAGCCATTGTATTCAAAAATTCAGCAATGAACCTAAAAATCAAAATTACACAACAGAGGATAGGATTACGTCACCATGTGACTGGGAGAACCAAAATTGTTTATGGAAAGTCTTGAATCACTACTTAACCACCGTATGGACTTATTTTTCCCAGAATGGTATAGAGAACATTGCATCAACACTTGAAAGGGACAAAATCCCAAATGAATGTAAAATGATTTTCATTCATATTTTATCAAAGATAATAGGATCATCAAAACAAGGTAGGTATGACTAGTAAGTACAGGGTATCACTTCTAGAAATTCACACTATTTTCCTATGTAGTACATGATGAGATTGCAGACTATTGCCAAGGTCAACTTATTAACCGGATTGAAAAAGGGATTCACATTCTGGATGACAGCAGAAGTATTAATAGCATTGACATCAACGAGCTGGAAGAGGTAAGATCTATCTATTTTAAACAGAAGTGTAGTGATACAAATAAACTTCTACACACTGATCCTATACTCCATAATCCACTTGTTTTTAAACATAGAGAATATGTGCTTTGGCTAATCACCAAGTTGGTGGAAGAATTACATTTGGAGTGGCAAAGTCTGGAAATATTGTGGGGATGCGTCTCACTCAAAAGGATAGAGATGAATTCAGGCTGGGATTCGACAAACTAATCACTCAAAATATCAAGCCAATGATACTTCTTGACAGGTATGATTATCATGTCCATGAAGACATCTGAATATAGTTTAAGACATCTTGAAACAGTTTACACATTTTATTATCAATATAAGTTGCAATACTGGGGCTTGGATGCTTTTTAACAGACAAAAAACAACATATTTCATTTAAAAAAATTACAATCAGTAATACCTTTTATTTTCAAATATTGATATGATCAATTTTGGCACTGTCAAATAGGTAACCCAGACTGCTTTTTAAAACATCTTAGTTTTAGAATATATCAAATGAAAGACTACTGAATATAACCGTCACAGAAAACATATTCTTGCAAAATCCTTTGAAATAATATTGCCATTCTTTATAGGACAAAATTCACCTTTGCATCAACAAGTGGAATGCATGAAGATTTGTTTGTTGTCAACATTGATATAATTGGAATGGATTTAGGAATTCACAGCACTCTTGATGGCAGGTAATATAAGAGAATGTCTGTTTCAATTAGCTGTGATATCATATACTTGAATCTGAAGACATTGTGACTTGTGTAATCCAATTGAATTTCATATAAAAAATAAATAAAGATGTTCGCCCAGTGATTATTTACAATGGCCCTATTGCATTTTCATACGAAAATAACAATTTGATAAATGTCGACGTAACTAACTTTTACTACAAATACTAGATCAGATAATGGCATTTCAGATACTTCTTTTATTTGGCAGCACACATGAAAAAATAACATGAATAGAAGAAGAAAAAACACCCAAATTCATTTAAAGATTCTTAATGGAATTTATGTCAATAAAATGTTTTTAATTAATTATCCAAAATATGTAAGTCATTTGTTGAAGAAACCCTGGATAATGGCTGCATATTATACAGAGGTCCAATCAAACCAAGGTTGAGAACCACCTAGTCTGAAAATTTGTTTCAGTGAAAAAATTAAACATTTTTTCAAGGTACATGACGATACATAATCAACTTGGGTACATCACTGAGATGTCGATGAATGAACTCAAAGACATGGCAGCCTATCGAGAGGAGAACAGATATCTAGATGAGATAGCGATGCTAAAATCTACTATACAACGACTGAAAACTAACTGATTATTGGGGACTTGAACGAGTGTGTTCACCAACCATTTATTGTCTTGTTGTAACATATTCTTTCTTTTTCTGTAGTTCAGCTACAAATATAAATTCGCAAAAATATTCTGTTTTGTATTAAATTTTGTAAGGCAGTCACCGACTAACAACTGATAATAATATCATATAAATTTCCGCTGCTCCTGGGTTGGAACATTTTTATCAAAAATATTTTTTTGTTTTTCTTCTCTATGCGTGACACTCTCAACTACTGTACAGTCTTCGGATACGGCTTCTTCTAGTTTTCTTTCAATTCTTTGTTGAGCTATGCTGGTTTTATCTTTTGCTTGATCTTCTTTTCTTAACCACCATTCCATTTTATATCCAACAAAGCCAACAGTTGCTGATACTGGAAGCATAATCCATGGTGCATATGCCCGAGCAAGGTTGACAATAACGTTCATATTTCTAGTGTTTTGTGGTAAAATATTAATATGGACTTCACTACTTGATAGCGTTTGGCACGCCTTTCTATTTCATAATCAGTTGAAGCTTAATTTAAAAACTTATTGCTGTCTTATGTTGGAAAAATATCTGTGATGTATTTATTGAAACTAACAGAACATGATAACACTTGCATCTCATGAAATGAGAGAAATACCCAAAAGGAGCTACAAATATGGTTGGTACACCATATGATTAGTCAGGATAGAATCCCATTTAACCGTACAACTGCACGAAGCTAAAAGGGCAGTCTTTCATCTGCCAAAATTATTCAGGACATTTGGATAACATATTCTTGACACGCTTCTCAATGGACCCCTTTTGTAAATACTTTTTTTTGTGAAATCAGCAAATTGTAGAGTAAGAGAGGCGGAATGGGAGACCAAGGTTACTCAAGCCCACAATTTTATGGTAGTCAGAGATTTAATCATGCATATATTTACATCAATTTGGAATTTCAAGCAAGACTTAGGTACCGGTACTCAATGAATTTGGTCATGGCTCGTGCGACAATTATATCTGTATATGCAGGATCAACCCTCTGACCAGCACATTTCAGTTTATTAGCGGCTCCCACATATGATTGTGCGCATTGGTTTTAATGTAAAAGTACCATACATGTTACCGGTAATAGTCCATAAGTAAATGTTTGCATGATTTAACCCTCTGGCAACCATGAAATTGTGGGGTTGAGTACGGTAACCTGCATGAATGAAAGGGGTGTTGATTTTTCAGAAATTACTCGATTAAAGGGACTGAACAATACACAATATATTTTCATTTTTCAAATTTGGCCAAAGACATTACAGTATTAAGATGCCGTTCACATAAATCCCCCTAAATGCTGAAATGATATTTTGTATATACAACTGACTCGCTACCGTATACAAACTAACATACGGTATATATTTAAAAAAAATCTGAACCAACTGGTCTTCATAATATTGTAATTGCAACATATACAGACATAGTTACCTGAATACAGGAATATAGTTCGCTCACGCTCTTTTGTCTTCGTTTATTTATTTTTTATGTTACATTGCTCTCTCGCTGCGCTTGAGTGCGGCGTTACGGTATTCTCTCAACGCGATATTGTGCTGCGTGCAGTTCTCAGCTACAGCCGAGGGCGATTGCGACGGATACAATATAATGACATTACAGGGCTAATAATTATACATTTCAGATTATCACATCGCTATAATGCAGGATTGCCACCAGGTAAACTCAAGTTGATAATAAATGAGGCACAACGGGTGTTAGCAAAACGATGTAACGTCGGCAAGTTACCGTATACCGTATAATTCGACTTGCAACTGACAGGAACCAGCTGGACGTTTTTTTTTTGCCGTGCAGTACACAAAGTCACGTGACCCGTGCAAGTCCTCTGTAACAGAAATACTGTACCTTGAAAAATATTACCACCTTTCGCGGTGGGCGACATTATGGATGTTTCTCTCGAGCATCGACTTCTTTGTTTACATCGTAACATTGGCCGCCCCCCAGTTAAATAACCACTGGTCTATAGAGGACTTGTACGGATCACGTGACTTTGTTTACTGGGCGGCAAAAAAACATAAACGTCCATTTGGCCCCTGTCAGTTGCAAGTCGGATTATACGTTTCCGTTTTGTTTGGCTGTTAAAAATGGTTATTTCGTATTGTTCCGTTGACTGTACGTATAGTATATAGACAACGAAATGGATCTTCAGCTATCTTCCACTGTTTTCAAAAGATCCGGAACGTCGCGCAATGTGGATATCATCTATTGTTTGGCAGGACTGCTTGGTGTCAAGTCCAGATGTCATCTCGCTTGTGTTTCACTGTTTGCGGACAGCAATTCGTTGATGGTGAGTGATTATCAATTTCTTTAAATATTCATAAGCTTCCTCACATCAAGCAGTCCTGCCAATAGATGATATCCACATCGCGCGACGTTCCGGATCTTTTGAAAACAATGGAATATGACTGAAGATCCATTTCGTTGTCTATACCAGGCGTGTCAAACATGCGGTCCCTGAGAACTTCCAATGCGGCCCTCGGACGCTTAACAATATTTGTAATATTTTGTAAGTTTTTTTTTTCATCTAATTGATTATTTACACTAAATGAACTAAATGAAACGCAAAGTACACGAAGAAAGTGGCATTTTCGAAAAAAAGGGGGTTGCAATATTTCTGTATTTCTTAAAATTCTAAAGAACATTGTTTAATTTGCCACATTTCTATCAGCACTATGAAAGAATACAATATAAGTAGACAATATCAGAATAAGCTCAACAGTCAATATGACAAATTTGAAGATCAACTTCGAATAGAATACTTTTATGTGTTTGTATATTATTATAATCATACAACTACCTAGTTACTAAAATTCAATATATATAAATCATAGCCCAAGCAGTCATATGCGACGTGGTGCCAATGGCAGGCAATGTGGCGGGAAATGTATGGTCCGAAAAATCAGTCATTACTTTTGTTAACTGATCTATACATGAAATGATGAAGGTAATATTTTTGCATTACTGAAATTAATCAAACATTCTCAACGATCCAGTATAACCGATAATCATGTGACCTCGTTAATTAGAGTTGGTACTGTAAAATCATTTCAGCCCGATATTAGTAAGCTGGTGACACAAAAAAGATGCCAAACGTCAGGACATATATAGGTAATAAAAAAAACATTGAGTTTATTCGTTAGTATTTTAGGGGTATATATTTAGATTAAGTCAGTTTTATTATGTATTATTCTTTTATCAAATCTTTGTTCAAAAATGTTTTGAATAGTTGTAAAAAAAAATTTTTTGTAATAAATAAATTTGCAATATTAGTGAAATACCAAGAAATTAATATGTAAATGCCATTTGAAATTTCAGAAAATAACAAAACTTTATTCGGCTATTTAATTGCATCACAATATATGCCACAAACTACACATATTTAAAAAAAAATATGCTATTAAGTATACATTATCAAAATATATCAAAGCTGTTTGCGGCCCTTTGCACAATTCCCAAAATGCAATTCGTCCCTTAAAAACCCACGAGTTTGACACCCCTGGTCTATACTATACGTACAGCTAACGGAACAATATGAAATAATCATTTTCAACAGCCGAACAAAACGAAAACGTATAATCCGACTTGCAGCTGATAGGAGCCAAATGCACGTTTTTTTTTTGTCGTCCAGTAAACAAAGTCACGTGACCCGTGCAAGTTCTGTATATAGTGAAACATAGGGAGAATTTTCCGAGGTCAAAGGTCGGGGAAACGTTCATATCTCAGGAAGAAGTATTGTACAGAACGGTACAGAAGTACCACCACTGTGAAGTGTAAGGGAGTACAGTTCTGTTTTTTTATTGCATTTTTATAAAATGAAAAAATATGGAAATATATAATATTAAATCAATAGTAGGAATTTATAAGTATTTTTTTCATAATATGCAGTACACATTACAGTAGGCTACAGTTTTAATATAATTATTCTACAAAAAAAAACGTGAAAAAAATAAAGAAAATCTCACTTCTGCACTTTGTTAACTAAACGTCTCCCACCTGGAAGCTGAAAGGGGTTGTTTTGTTGTGTTACTAAAACAGTACTCTCTAGTTTTTTTAGATCCATTGAAGATTGAGATAGAGAGTTTATTTCAATTTGTCAAACCAAGAAAACAATATACCACGTATGCCTGTATGTGGAGCAGGAATAAAGAGTTATGTTCTGAAGTCGGCGCCATTCAGTGCGAAATGATTTTGTTTACGAGAAACGTTAGGTACCGGTACCGGTATCGTACAGATGTGGATGTCGAATTAATATACAAAACCGGTCTTACTACTTACTGAATACGGTACAGCGCGAAACACCGCAAAGAGCGCAAAACAGCGCGAAACAGCGCAAAACAGAGGGAAACAGCGCAAAACAGTGTGGAAACAGCGCGAAAGAGCGCAAAACAGGAGAAGGGTTGGTAGCCTAAAAGTCTCATTGCGCGCAGCGCATTAGGAGCAGCGCATTACGCACAGTGAGGCCGCATTAGGAGCAGCGCATTGGGCACAGTGAGGTCGCATTAGGAGCAGCGCATTGGGCACAATGCATAGTCCCTGCTTCTAATTCGATCACGCATTGTGCCCAATGCGCTGCTCCTAATTCGATCACGCATTGTGCACAATGCGCTGCTCTTAATGCGGCCCCACTGTGCCCAATACGCTGCTCCTAATGCGATCACGCATTGTGCCCAATGCGCTGCTCCTAATTCGATCACGCATTGTGCCCAATGCGTTGCTCCTAATGCGGCCTCACTGTGCCCAATGCGCTGCTCCTAATGCAGCCTAGCCTCACTGTGCGTAATGCACTGCTCCTAATGCGTCATTAATTTTTATTTATTGCAGCTAAACCTATTGTCACCGGGAGGCATGATCACAATTAAGTTATTTGATTTACAACTATTTTTAGTATCACAGCTGCAAACTGGTAAATGACACGCAAAAGCACGAATGCGAGGCAATGTTTACAACCATGCTTGAATATCTGTTTGAGGGAAAGAAATGTCAATGCGTTGCTCCTAATGCGGCCTCACTGTGCCCAATGCGCTGCTCCTAATGCGGCCTCACTGTGCGTAATGCGCTGCTCCTAATGCGCTGCTCGCAACGAGACTTTTAGGCTACCACCACTAATGCAAAACAGAGGGAAACAGTGTGAAGCAGAAAAAATTTTTGCAATGAGTTGGGGGCACCTTGTTTTGAGTTCACGGCAGCAAATTAAAAACACAAACCAACGTATGTAGCCAGTAATGCTGTAATGGCAGGTCTGCCCCTGCTGGTGACACATTTTGGGTACCATAATTTAGAACATTTTCCATATGGATATGGTTGGCTTTAGGGTTAGGTAAAAAGGGACCTCCAGAAGTACATTGCTGCACATACTTCTGGAGCACCAAAAAGGTAGATAAAAGTTCGCATGATGACCTATAATCCGGTACATAACCTTGTAAATATGCCGGAAATAGCGCCATAAAACCATGGCGAGAGGCGCCGTGGTTCTTTCGTGGCAGGAGGTGGTAATGACTGCGTCTCCTGTTTTGCGCTGTTTCCCTCTGTTTTGCGCTGGTTTCCTTCTGTTTCGCGCTGTTTTCCTCTCTTTTGCGCTGTTTTGCGCTCTTTGCGGTGTTTCGCGCTGTATTCAGTAAGTAGTAAGACCCTACAAAACTGCAAAGGGATAAGGGGCTGTAAAATCTGAAAAGTCGAAATCCAAGTGATTTATTCTACAATTTCAGAATTTAGTTTTGAATTTCAATATTTTGAAGTGGGAATTTTACATATTACAGACTATTTCAGTATTTGTAATACATAAATAGATAAATGTTAGTTTCTAATCATAAACAATGAATTCTACAGAAAAGTCTGAAATTCAGTAGGAATTAATATTAAAATATTAGGCATGTTTTTTAGAATAGTTTTGAATTTTAATTGGTCATACTGCTGTACTGACATTAATAATAATTAAGCATCACATAGATTTTGAGAAATTGAAAGCTAAAAACCATTTTAATGTTTTTTTTGCTTATGTTTTTAAACTTATGTTTTTAGAGAATTCCATCATGTATAGGGTAAAAAATGATTCTAGGAGTGTTAGGGGGGTCCGAGCAGTTTATGTTGCTGCCATTTTCACACTTTTGCTGTTTATAGTCATCTTATTATGGATCAGTTTCCCTTTGCGTCCACATAGTGAAGAATTGGAAAGGCGGAGGAAACTTAAACTAGACATGGCTGCGAATCTACCAGAAAAAGTTGTTACAAAATTCAACGCTTTGCCATCAGAAACTGGAGATCTGAATTGTCGTATGTACAGTTGCTTCAATGTGTATAAGTGCGATGGTCAAGCAAAAAATCAAAATAAAATATCGGTTTATTTGTATCCACTCGCGAAGTATGTGACTGAAACTGGTGATGAGCTGACGCCCTCTATTTCAAAGGAATTTTATGAACTGTATACTGCGATAGCCGACAGTGAATATTTCACTGATGATCCTAATAATGCTTGTCTCTTTATACCACCCGTGGATTTACTCAATCAAAATAATTTGAATGTGAAAGATGTTGCACAAGTGCTTTCCTCATTACCTTATTGGAATGAAGGAGCAAATCACATACTTTTTAATATGGTGCCAGGAAGCTACCCAGAATTCAACACTGTATTGGATGTACCACACGAGAAAGTTATTATCGCTGGTGGTGGCTTTTCTCATTGGACTTATCGTCCCGAATACGACATCAGTATACCAGTGTTCAGTTCTGTCGTAAACAGCATAGACCTTGCTGAGAAACCTTTGAATCTTTTTCGTTCATGGCTACTGATTTCTTCACAAACTAATATACACTCTGAGACTAGGTAAATTATTTTAATTGATTAGTTTTAATAATAACAATGAGTGAATACAAAAATTATATTATTCCATAGATCCTTCCTGGGAAAGATTGAGTCTCAAGAACATGATGTTCTTGTACTTGAGAAATGCAGAAATGTACCTGAAGATGTTTCATTACAATTACGAAGATGCAATAGTAATCAAATGAAACATGAAAAATATCCAGAGGTCGGTTATATGTTGAAAAATTTTGCTATCAATATTTTTATTTGATTCCAATGCATTTTCGAACAAGGATCTCCTTATTGTTTCCCCATTTTTTTTGTTAAAATATCGAGAAGGATTGCGCCCATACCATCTGTCTGGTTCTCGTCCATTTAGTTCGACTCATTAAAGTTGGGTCATCCTAATTGGATAGATAAGTCTATATATAAGGTTTGTGGAATTACACTACCTCATCTGATTTATTTGAAATGAGGGTTGTGTTTTGAGGGTTGATGTACTTGGATGACATCACACTATGGGCTGATTTTTGCCGTGAGCATTGCATATTGCAATGTATGTAATTGAAAATTTGAAAATATTCTATAATATCCATTCAGTTTGATCCCCATTCATATTTATACTATACTCCTAAACAAGAATTTTTTATTAATTGAAATGGTCAATAACTACAGATTAGAATCGTGACATCAGCTTTATTAATTAATGCAGGAGTCACCAAACTACGGATCCGGGCGAAATTTTTTTCCAAGGGAAATTTTCCCGAGCATCGTCTTCCTTGTTTATTTCGTAACATTGGCCAATCAGCAAGATGCAAAAAAGTGATGTAATAATAGGCCTTTTCGCATCCGCTCAGACACCTTTGTCACCCTGACAGATTTTTAGTCGTGGTTGTAAACAATACTTCGTTTTTGATATTTTGAATGCTATTCGTTAGTATTTAGTTGTGTTTAGGAAATTTAAGTATGAATCAAATAAGTCAATCATCATTTGCCTTCTCAGGAGTTGCAGTTTTAATAGTAGTAATGAAAAATTAGTCTAGAAATAGCTGTGACAAAATAGGCTAAAATTCTCTACCGGTACGCAACGTTTTCTGCGAAAGATGCACTCGTGGCGCGTGCTTTCGACGAACTGTTTACGTTTCTTGTGCTAAAATGAACGTCGAATGTGCATGTTGCGCTAACGGGTATGTGATCCCTCGCGTACTGCTGCAATTTCACAAGTCACACTATCTTTTTTACTGCTTAAATGCTGATATTCATGTAGGTATGTTACAAAAAAAAGTTCATCCGATTTAATTAATAACTACGCCAGACGCCAGTGGATAGATCTGAGTGAAAATAGGAAAACAATACCAAGTTTATAAAAAACGGTCAAGAAATAAGTATAAGTTTATTTCGACCTCGTAATCAGCAGTAGACGATAAAATAATATATAAAAACAAAACAAAAAAGACCACAACTGATTATAGAATCGGGAGAACAAACAAAACCTCAAGTAAGGTTTGAAGCATACAGATTTTAGATGGAAAGGTATTGTAGTACGTGTTTGTTCACCCAAAATTTTAAAAAATAATTAAAGCACGCACGCATACACACACACACACACTCATACAATTATCGAGATATGGTAAGGATGGAAGTGAAAAAAGCGAGACTTAAAATCAATTAAATTACTGAGTGAAAAGAAAAATATACAAACAAATAAAAAGAAGATGAATAAATTCTTTTGCCACACCAAATTAATAATTTTATGAGGATGAGGATAATGAAGATATCGGAATTTTGGTGGTTCATTGTGGGTAATAATTAACGATGTTCTGATTGTACAAACTTCATAAAAATTGGTAAGTATCAAGTTAGGAAAGAAATACACACGTCCACATAAATTTTATTGGTGTCCATAGACAATATCATTAATTGCAGTACGTATAACTTGGGCGTAATTTTTAAAAGCTCCGAATCTTGGAAAATTTATGTGCTAATGGAAAAATCAAATACCAGATAATAGTTGTTTATTTTATTTAAATTATGTCAAAATTTCACGGAATCCCATGCTACAGCAGGCAGTCCGTAGTCGTTTTTATGAGCGGATTTCCGACACGGCGTAACGGTACTTTGCAGACGTGATGCGTACATTTTTTTGGCGCGAAAAAGCGGATTTTGTAACATTCCTAAATCCTAATTCATGACTGCAACGTTTTGACAACAGCTAAACTCAGAATAGTTGTCTAGATATAGAAATCTTGTATAACCGTTTTCCTAGAATATTCTTGATCGATATTCTGGGATACAGATAGAATTTTATATTCAAGTCTTCAGAAATGTAGAATATTTGTGCTGTATATTTGATGATAAATGTACCAAATTATACTTATGTAAAGTATAAATATTACTTGTTCTGCACGAAATGCATTCATTGCGAAGTGCTTATGATATATGACAATACAAAAATATATATATCTATTGTTGAATAAATTGAATGGATTCACCAACTTTTGTGAATTTATTGTATTGCATTGACAAAAATATTTGTCCGGCCCGTTTCAACACAGTTTGAGTCATACCCGGCCTGCGGTCAAAAAAGTTTGGTGACCCCTGAATTAATGGAATACAAAAACATTCATATTGACATTCAGATCCTACAAGATGGTGTCTTTTGTCTCATATTGAGAAGTGCTCGCCTTGGTCAATCTACTCTTTCGGATGTTCTGAAGGCAGGATGCATCCCTGTTTTCGCAACCGATGGTTATATCAAACCATTCTCAGAAGTTGTAGACTGGACTCGTGCTTCGGTTACAGTCCGTTATGAAGATTTACCTAATGTTGTCAATATTCTTAGGAAAATTTCACCAACTGAAGTGAAGTTGAAACAAAAAAGGGTTTGTTTTTATACTATTAATACAATCCATGAACTATTTTATGATCAGTTTTGTCTCAATGATGGTTTTTGAAGTTTCAATGATTATTTTTCAGATAGTTTAATTCTGTAGGGATATTAATTTTTTTTCTATATACGAGGCAAGTTTGAAATGGGTAATCTTGTTTGGAAATTGCGGGAAGTAGATTTTCTTCTGAATCCAACAGTTTAAAATTGATATTTTGTATATTAGCTCTTAGAGTTATTTTTGTTTTAAATTCAGCATAGGGTGTTTATATGTGTTGTTATTTAAAAGTGCATAGAAAATTACAAACTGGAAGTACAAGGAATAATATACCTCCTACAAATTGGCTTTCGTGTCAGTAAAACATTTAAAAGTTTCCTAATTGGTCTAATATCCATTTAGCAACCTGAAGTTGATTGTTATCATAGTTTGCAGACAACCGAGCGTCTGTGTACTATTATGAGTAAGAAAAGTTCTTAATGGCCACAGTTTTACTAGTCGATTTCCTGTTTGTGGGTTTAGGGCGATGGGATTAGGCTCAACTTAATGTTTAAAATGTCTGATGCTAAGATAGCTAGATCAACTTGCTAACCACTAGTCTATGTGTTATATTGGTCTATTAGATTGGTATATTTTTAAAATTAAGCAGCAATTTGTGCTGAATTGTGTTTCAGAACTGTTTGAATTGACAACAGTTTATTCGGTGTGTAGAAACAGAAAAAAATATGGTCAAAAAAATATTACAAGAATTTTGATTAGCGCTTACTAAGAATAAAAAATTAGTGCATATTTGGGCCTGTTATTTATAATAATATTTAGACTCAGAACCCCTTTGTGAAAGAATTTTTATTTAAATTTCAGGTAAAATGGATCTGGGACAACTATTTCAGTTCTATGTCTGCTATTGCATTGACGACACTTCGGGTTATAAACGACAGAATATTTACTCATAAAGCATTAAAATATGAAGATTGGAATGAACCTGTTGGATCAAAAAGCATTAAATCACCTTTGTTTCTACCTTTGATTTCACCAAAAGAGGACGGTAAGTGTCACAGATGTCTGTGAAAGATTAAAAGGGTTAAATCAGGGTGTTATTCTGTGAATACCTTGGGGATCATAATAAATTGATTAGAAAATTGACTATCTAAGGATATTAAAATAGCTGGATGAGTTTCAAAAGTAGTGATATTCAGATAATACAATTAATGCTGCTATTAATCCAATGCTTTTTATGCACATTCAACTTTGAACAAGGCTCTGTGCAAGCAGCGACTTCTACATATTAGAGCTAGGTTACTTAAGAAAGATCGGAATCTTTTTGGTTCCACATTGCTTACCTAATTTTTACACCCTGGAAGACAGTAGTGGACGTGAGATTTGTACGCATGATGTTTTTGACTTGGCCATTTTTGACATAATAACATCACCTTTATGCAATGAAATCAGGATTATTGAATAAAGTCAGATAAAGTCCCTTCATAATTTTAATTTTGTTATGAAGTCAGTTCTCAATATATCTTAAAGCAGGTTTGTTGTTTTTTAATCAGTAATTGTTCAAGTATTCCCACTTCATTTAATACATCTGTGAGGGCCAAAACAGTATATATGGTATCGATAAATTCCCTTTGCAATTTCAAAAAAATTATAAGACTTTATGGACACTTTATAGATATTAATTTGCTACATAACAGACAAATTTAAAGAATTATTAGAACCTAGTTTCCATGTGTTGTGGACTGTGGTGTATAGGTTCCTTTCTTACATTTTTTGGGATTGTTATAGTAATTTCACCTGATATTCATAAAATTAATTCACAGGTTTTACAGCAATAGTGCTGGCATATGATCGAATAGACAGTTTATATCAAGTTGTTTCTGCTATTGATAAAGTTCCAAGTTTAAAGAAGGTCATTGTGGTTTGGAACAATCAAAAGAAACCTCCCCCACCTACAGAAGAATGGCCTGTTATCACTCGACCAGTTAAAGTAATAAGGACGACCTCAAACAAACTCAGTAACAGGTAGGAGGTCGTAGAACTGTGTTTTAAACTTTGGTTGCTAACTGTGTTATTGTGATTTGTGATGGTAGATCGTTTTCATAAAATGTTGTTATTGTTGGAGTTGTTGTTGATAAATCATTTCTCTACACAATTAATGGACCAATTGGTTTCAAGTTTACAGTACAGATGATAGAGATTCGCGATTACATTTTTTACAAATTTTTCTGAATGCTTGGTGGATAAACCAATATACCAATATCCCACTCTCAATTTTGTAGGTTTTTCAATTTAGATTTCACATCATTGTACAATTCCTTATTAAACAATTGACTGGAATTTTGATCACATTACTCATATGACTTCATGTTTTTTCATGTTATTGCTCCCTTGTTTTTATACATGCCAGTCTAAGTATTGGCGATCTACGGAATCAAATTGTAATAAACTTCTGCTGTCGAAGGAGAGAATTTATCATAATAGATACAGTGGGAGTCGTTTCTAGAGATAATGGCTGTGAAGGTCCTATGACTCATATGACAGTAATTTAATCTCCTTATCCAACTGTATTTGTAGATTTTATCCATTTGCTGACATAGAAACAGAAGCCATACTTGCAATTGATGATGACATTGTAATGCTAACTGCTGATGAGATAGAATATGGATATCAGGTAATATGGTTTGGGATTAAATGTATGAAAATTTTACCTCAGAAGCTCACATATTTCAAAACATTTTACAGAATTTAAATTTTATTTTTGTAAAAAAGGCTGTTTTTTTGGTCAGAGTAGTAGGCACAAATTCATAATATTTGGTATTAATTTATGAAAGGATGTCTTTAGCTATAAATGAATGTGTAACAAACTTCACAGTATAAAATTATGGATTGAAGTTTATCTTATTCTAATCTGATTCTAGGAAGTGGGTGTAATAAAAATAGGATATCTTTTTTATTTTAATTTGCTATTCAATCCAAATTCTAGAACTAGCTTCTGAAAGAGAAATCTATATATTTGATCGTATTGATCTCAAATAATTATATTGGAAATGTGTGAATTTTCCGATGAAATTATTCTATCAAGCTGAAAGGTGAGTCTATATAATTTTAGAGTTTCTAATTTGCCACTAATCACTACCTAGGTTTGGAGAGAGTTTCCTGATAGATTGGTAGGTTTTCCACCCAGACTACATCTGTGGGATGAAAATGGCCATCTCAAGTATGAATCGGAATGGACAAATGATGTATCGATTGTATTAACTGGTGCTGCATTCTATCATAAATACTTCAACTATTTGTTCTGGAATAAGTAAGTTGTAGAAATATCTATGTAAAAATACAGATTATTCGATTCAACATTTCTAGTTTCGGAATAAGAATTATGATCGACATTTGAGTTGTGTGCGAAATTGATATTTTTTAACTGTTTATAATACGAGAACATTTTTAAACTTTTCATTGTGTGTTAACTTAATAGCCTTTTAGTGGTTTAACTACAGTTTAAGGCCAATCTTTACAAGGAAGGTGAAATTCGTCTTTAAGCTATTAGAAATTTCCTAATACAATCTGTCCATTTGGGGAGAGAATGTAACTTTTGGTATTTCAATATATTTAAACAAACTTTTTTTTAAATTACGATACTATTCGCAAAATTGTATAAACATCTGTAAATGCTCGGTAATTGAATTTTATTAAATATTGATTGAGTACTCGAAAATTTTTGCTTCGGATTATATAAAATTATTGGTACTCTTGAAGTATGCAACCGGAACCTGGTACACAACCTGAGTTCGGGTTGTGCGCCATCTTGGTGCACACTGCACATACTTCAGGAGATCCAAATTATCTATGTCCACTGACGCATTTGGTATGGTTGAGTGTTTTTGGCTGTGACAATATTGATTTCAATCTTTGTTTAATACATCATTAGGATGCCTGATGGAATTCGAGATTTTGTTGATGATCACATGAATTGTGAGGATATTGCTATGAATTTCTTGATCAGCAATTATACAGGAAAAGCTCCGATCAAAGTAACTCCCAGAAAGAAATTCAAATGTTCAGAATGTCTAACTGGAGGAAGTTTATCACTTGAACAATCTCACATGGTGGAAAGGTAAACTCTTATTTCAATCTGTTTCATGCTGAGAGATGAAGCTATTAGGCAAATATTTTGAATAAAGTAGAATATAGTGTGCTAATTTCCACAGTCAATTGGAGCCAGAGTAAAAAGTCCTATTTACCTAGAGTACAGATTTTTGTCAGCTGAAGTTGGATTGGAATTAATATACAGACTGCATGGATAAAGGACTTTAGTTTTATAAATCCATTCTGAGATATTATTTTTGAATCTGGAACATCGAATACATTCAAATTGAATCATGTTTAAAAGAGAAATTTGCAGAATCTTTGTGAATTTGTTAATGCAGAAAAGTCAGGATAAAGGTTGTTTCGACACGGAAGTGAAAATAAAAAACATTCTGAATTATTCTCATACTTTGTATCAGATATGTACAATTTAGAATGTATTCGAATGTTTGATTCATTTCGCTCATCGCTGTCCATAGGTTAGTTTTGTAAAAAAAAGTTCTTCTTGTTTAATTGAAATATATTTTCCAGGTCGACCTGCATGAATCATTTCATGGAAGTATATGGAACATTGCCGTTGAAAACTGTTAATTTTAGAGCAGATCCTGTCCTTTACATGGATGAATTTCCTGATCGATTAAAAGCATTTCCAGATATGGGTTCCTTGTAACGTACTTCATTCCATTATATAACTGAATAGAGCATTCGTAAAAGCAAAAAATGCTTGTGGTATTTAACAGATCTAATGAGTAAAATTTTGATTTCTTCTCTCGATTTCTGTGCCAATGGCTTTGCTTTTAGCAAAGATCGGGATCTTCAAAGTGCATATCGTAAATTATTCATTTGCGCAAATTAAGTTACAGTATATTAGGTTCATTCAAGTTTGCATTTTCACTTTTACATAGCTATTTTGAACATACTATGTGTTCGACAGTTCTGAAATATAATTTGTACTAAACTTTCTTAGAAAATTTGGCCGCTCCAGAAGTGTGTGATAACTAATTTTGTTCGCCTACTTTACATCAAGTTGTGTAAAGGGACTGGAAGCTATGGGCAGGGGGTATATTCACTTGGCTAACACAGACAGTCCCCGAACTCGTAACAAAACTAAAATAAGGAAAATTGGAATAAGCCTAACCTGGTACACACACTACGGAAGTACCGAAAATTGTACTTATTCTCATTGAAGCACATCCCAACCCCTCAGAGATTTATTTTTATTGGACTGGTGTAGATTCGAACCCAGGGGCCAGGATCTTATTCAATTTTATCCACTGCCTATGTTTACTTAATATATCAGCGAAACGGTGCAGAAATTTCAGTTTGCACTTTTTTTTTTCATCATGTTTTATATTGTTCAATGCCATCATCATATTTTGTTTTATTGAATACCAGCATATTCGACAATTGCCTTCCATGGAGGATGAACTGATTGTATTTTTTCATGTTCTTTCTTTGATCTCTTTGTATTTATTGGTTACTTTTGTTTTCTGTAGTTTATATTTTTAAAAACAGTTATTAAGTGAGTCGTGATGCAGTCGTACAGCGGTATCTGAATATCTCCTGAATTTTGTTCATCTGTGAATTTTTTGAATTATTCCCTCTAGTAGTAAAATCCTAATATATGTCCAACCTCAAAAATTTGACACAAATATATATTTTGCTACGATTATGACAAAATTCGGACGAGAAAAACAAATACAGGGTGTCCAAAAAGTTTCGCCCGATTTCATAGCAATACCAATTGCAAATTTGAATAAATTTTGTTGTATGATAAAATGGACTATAACATCCAACATCTATAACTTCCAATTAGATAAGGCTGACTATTAATCTTTTTTATAAATAAGAAAAAATAACATTTGATTATAAAGACTTTATAATCGGGCGAATCTTTTTAAACACCCTGTAAATTCATCAATTTGTAATGACAGGCTGACTATTAATTTTTTTTATAATTAAGAAAAAATAACATTTGATTATAAAGACTTTATAATCAGGCGAATCTTTTTGGACACCCTGTAGATTCATCAATTTGTAATATCAAAAAATCTTCATTATCGATGGTTTCGCGTTTGGTTGAACCCAATTTTTGAATGTCCAAATAACATACTCTTATTTGTCAGAGTTATTGTCTGTTACTAAAATAGACCATGGCTGGATCATCAAAGAACATGAACCAGACTTTAAAAGTGGATGTTCACTTTATATGCCTACTTACTGGTAGTTTTTGATTTTCGTATGAATTTCTTCATTTTATTTGTAGCTTACTGCATCATGTATTCAGTTTCATGTTATATTATTTGTTTGGTCTCTTTTTTATATTCCATACATTATTATAGTACCTTTTTTAGTACAATTTTATGTGATTTTCATTTCTTTGTTGATTCAAATAGTGTTCTCTGCTACTCCAATTGATTTTGATCTTCTTATGTCACCTTCTGGCTAAATATTTGACTATTTCTTTAAAATAACTTTTCTTATTGGTCAATAATTTCAGCATTGTTTTGTCATAATAGTTGGGTAACGTTTGTACAACTATGTCTCATGTTCCTTATGTAGCAATTTTGAACTTCACTATATTTCTCTGCATTCGGATTTTTGTGATCCACTATTTTTGGAGATGCTACTTTTAAATTTCAGTATTATTTGTCGTAATGTGTAATGTAGCACTCTCCCTAGCTAGCAATTTCGAACTTCGATATTTTTCTTTGCCCTAGGTTTTTTGTTACTAATTTCACTCAAATATGAGCATGTAATTTTCCCCTTTTGTTAAAATATTGTTTATCTGTTAAAATATCTGTTTTCCTAAACTCGCTAAGACAAAAGATTAAACCATTCCAGGAATCTTTTTTATCAATGATTATTTATGGAATGGATATCTTTGTGCTGGGTTGAAAGTCCCCTCATAGGGTTGAATTACCAAGTTTTACTATGTTACCTTCTATTATTTATTGTATTCTGATTGTCTTTTTATATATCATCAGCATTATATGTACAATGTTAAGTTCAGCTTTGCCAAGCAATAAAATTTGTTGAAGTGTCTACTAGGTGGTAACATTTCTGGAACCTCGTTCAGTTTAGCTTGGGATTCTTGATGTCACGGCAGTTGACGAAATTGCCGTGGAAGGGCTTTTAAGTTCGGATCTATTCGCAGTAAGGTTGTTCACGTTGACGCTAGTCGTTCGTTGCTCTCTCCGATCGCGCAAGTCCATGCATCTGGAACGTACATTTGTTTCATTCTCCCATATCGTACGTGGACTGGTGAAGCCGTGGTTCGCCGTATGATTTAGCCGCCTTTATCAGGTTCCTTGTCCCCACCTCTGATTACCCTTCATGGGTTCGAATCCCATGTGGAGATAATTGTGTGCAGGATGATTGCTGAACTCTTCCGCCAACGTAGGGTGGTTCACGTAACCGCCGGTCGGTTACGGCTTCCTCCACCATCAAGTTCATGCTTCGAAAACAAATACCTGCCTAACTAATCCCATACTCGACTTGAACTGGTAACCGGACGAGAGGCGTGGTTCGCCACATGATTAAGCCGACTTTCGGCTATGTAAATCCTATCCTATCTAGATTTGACGAGGATCCGACCCTGTAAATCACGCAATCAGACCCAGTGACACCTACGGGCTACGGTATAAGGACATGTCTTGCATAAAGCACAATTTTTTATTACTGAGATTCTTTATTTGACTTTGTGAACAATAACATTACTTGGCGTCATATCTACCACGTCATCAATGGGGCATTTATTCGACAATGCAATATCTCGAATCTCTTCGATTGATAGTAGTCGTGCCCAAATACTAAAGTTCCGAATTCTTCCATTGAATGCTTTGTTTTTGTCGAAGCATCCACCAACACATCCTTGTCTTTGCCCGATGATTATTTTCCCCCCACCCGGTATTTCCCCAAGTCCTTCAAATTGAATCTCCGCAACATAGTCTCCGTTAAGATAGGCGTAAACTTTCTTTGAAAACATGTTGTCGTATGCGAGGCAGAAACTGTATTCAGTATTCCCTTCCAATGCTAGTTTTATACGATCATATATCCCCTTTACACCAACTTGCAGATAAGGGACGCCGTCTATAATTTCACCAATTGATGATATGAGGTCGATTTCATCTCCAGCAGCGTAAGTCCCAACAGTTCCTGGAACTGAACCATCATTTGCTGTTGTCACCCATGCACATATAGTCGCACTTCTCAAAGACGGTGCCGCGCCAGTGTATTCAACATAATGCACTGTTTTATCTGAATTTGCCAAAGTGAAGTCTGAACTTTTGCATTCTAAAATAAATAGAATAACTTAGTACAATGCTAAATTTATTTTTTGTTGGATGTTGCTATTTTTTGGGGCATGAGGTGGCCATATGAATCGTTTTTTTCTCTCCATTTTTGGGGACCAAGAAATCCGATATATAACTCAAATTTAGGCTGTTTTATTTCCATTCATGGAAACAATATTATTATTCTGTCAAGTGGGTCCGACTACGCCACAGCTGTTTGTGTTCTGATTTGGTAGTCAGACACATTGCTGTATGGTCTAACGGTACTACGATTATTTATTGGACTTTCACGTCCATATATTTGAGCATTATTCGCTTATTGAAAAACACTCTACTTGGTTTGACTGTCGCTAAGATTAGTTAATGTTTTTTTACTCTGTATATTTTCATCTGTTCACCCGTGGTTTTTGATACATGGTAAATGATTTTGCATGAGTCATCAAACTATCAAACCCATTGCTTCACTTATAGCACACAGAATATTTTGAGAGTAATTCTAACTTCAAACTCTTACCTTCTTGCTGAATAAACCTTCCATACGGCTGAACGCTATCAAGCTGGATATCCACGATAGTGTCATCGGGACAAACATTGTTATTCATTATTGCCACAATTTCTTCATCGCTGAGTTTTCTTTCCCAGATCATAATACCACTGACTTTGCCTTTGTAGCCATCCATTGAATCGTTAAGAGACTTCCCGATTAATAATTCGCCTCCACCTGGCAACGCCTTCATGTTATTCATTATTAGTGGAGGGCCAGAATTTCCATTCAAGTTTCTGTAAATTTTTCCTTCTACGGTATCAAATATTTGGCAAGTCAGCAATCCAGAATTTGCAGGAAATTTCATATTCCGTATAACGTTTCTTTGATCGCCGATATTCAAATGAATGTCGAATCCATTCTTTGATTTTACACCATAGTTGAGAAATGCATTTAACTGTTTGTCAGTGGAATAACTTTGCATGACACCAAGAACCAAACCATCGGCGTCAGCTTCAAAATATCTACATAAGGTGAAGACTGGCAGTTCAGGTAGAGTTCCAAGGTATCTGAGATAGCCTCCATTCAAATTGAATGAACTAGCGTTGCATTCTGAATTAAAACAAGATTCATAATCCTTGTAAAATTAAAAACCCAGAAGCTACAGGTTGTTAATAATGATAAACACACAATGCGTCTAACGTTACTCGTCTGTTTTTATTCAAATTTTGGGCCTCCTGAAGTATGCGCACCAAGATGGCGCACAACCTGAACTCAGGTTGTGTACCCGATTAGGGTTCAGGTTATGCGACATCTTGGTGCGCATACTTCAGGAGCACCTAAATTTTTTTCTAGGGTCGAACTTACTGAATAGGTAATATCCGAGTAAAGTCAAGAGGAACCAACCAACGAAAGCCTGCAATCGGTGCAAAATTGAGGGAATTTTGTAACACTGTTAGCGTCATATAATACCGACTGCATAATTTCTTTTTCTCAAGTTTTTTTTTAATGTTTTGGCTATACCACAGTCCACAGCAAGATATTTTTAAATAGTATAGTTTGTTATGACATTAAATAGCTAGATGCGATTTAGTGGTAAGCATTAAATTACATGAATTGACATTATTAATACGTTTCCTCTCAAGAAAATGGTATACATCGCTGCCACGTGTCTCTTTCATATATATGAGAACTAGTACATTGATGTGTAGGGAGTTACTTGATATATATATATTTACTTACTTATTATGAATCTATGCCAATCAAACAAATTTTTACCAAAAAAATAAATCTACAGCTTACTTACCTTTAGTAAATGAAGAGTCCACGTAAAAACTTAGCACAAACGCCACCAAAAACAGCGCTTCACAAGTTTTGGCACCCATCATCTTGAATATTGCTAGTTCGACTACTTTTCAGTCACGTTTTATTACTATATTTATCTTTTAGATTGCTTGCTTTTGCTGCGATATATTCTCATGTTTTATATGAAAATGTATTTCCTGGGGCTATTATAACTAATATGAGCAAAACATCGAATAAAAGCAGTGAGGTATTTTCATGTGAGAACGTTGTAATTTCAAACATCTTATTAAAGTAATATAATTGAAAAGGCTTCAGAATGGAGTCAATTATTGTATTTGGAGATGAAAATATACCAAATCCTTTTCTTTACAATACTAGTGTCCGGTGTGAACATTTGATATTACTCGAGCCTCAGAAAAGGCATTATAATAATAAGAACTGATTTAACTCGTAATTGTCAAATAGAAATGAAATAGTAAGTTACTAAATTTAGTGCGGGATTACATAAAATGGACTGGATAAAATGAGATAAGATATAGAAGTTCAATCCTTTTTTGGTGTTGTATTGCCGACTAGTATTATTTTATAATATACTATAAATTTGGTGTGGCAGCTGTGTTACAATTTCTTTTTTAAGTCGTCGAAAGATTGCATTACCCTTTCTCAAATCTACAACATGGTCTGAAGGGCACTGGTTTGAATCAACCACATTTCGAATTTCTTCTTCTGATAGCATTCTTGTCCAGATATTGAAATTTCGAATCCTGCCTTTATATGCCTTTGCTGCATCAAAGCATCCCCCTAAACATCCTTGTCTTTGTCCAATGATGATTTTTCCGCCTCCGGGCATCTTGCCGATTTTGTCAAACTGGATTTTTGTCACAAAAACACCATTGACATAGGATTTTACGGTGTTTGAAAACACGAAATCACCAACAAGACAAATTTGATATTCCTCATTTTTACGCAATGACACTGGTATTGTTCGAAATTGGCCTTTTGCTCCAAGCGCGAAAGAAGTAATCCCATTGATAATTTTTCCTTCAGCTATGTTAACATCAACGTTATCTCCGACTGTGTATGACCCTATAGCGCCACGGATCGCACCTTCAGAGTCAGTTGTCAGCCACATGCAAAAAGTTGCCGTTTCAAGTGCCGGTGCCGTCTTGATGTATTCGACATATTCAACTCTTCCGTCAGAATTGCTGAAAACGTAGTCTGATCCAATACATGCTGAAGTAGTTAACAAAACAAGAGGAAAATTTTAATTTAAAAATCCCTGGCAACTATAAAATTTTATAAATATTACTATTTATAAACAGATCATAGTATGTTTTGATGTGAAAATTATCCATGATACAATAATGATTCTAATTAGGTTTACCATATCTCTGAAGCAAAAACCGGGACGGCGCGGATCGGACAAGCCAACTTTGGTTCGATTCCAGGGGCATAGTAGTAGTTTAAACGTTTTCCATATCATTGTGGGTAGATTACGGGCATAAAAATTAGCTGTAATTCCTATTAAAATATACTCTATACTCTAATAATGGAAATCGTTCAACAAAAACTTGCACTTTGTTTCCGGCATTTTGATGATTCAACGACAGTACAGTTGGATGTTAAATTAACGCATGGTTCGTTCATACTTCATATCATAACTTTGACATAAATTTTTTTTTTTATTATATTTGAATTTGTGAAATGAGACGCAAATCAGTGATAAATCGCTGCCTCCGTTAGAAAAACAATTTTGTAATAGTATCAAATAGAAAAATTATTCATGACTGTCATACTGCAAAACCGGGACATTTAAGTCTAACGCCGGGACGGCGGAAAAACTTGGTAAAACCGGGACGTATGCTGGTAAGTCTAATTCTAATTGAAAAATTTGACTTTAATCGAAGAGTGAAAGGCCATAAATACGTCGCTTGTAAGTATTTTGCATTTGTAATTTTGGTAAATTTACCATTTAAGATGTACAATTTAATTGAACATTATATATAAATGTATATATCAATTAAATATACTTCTCGTCGGCATAATGATTCCGTGCGGTTGAACATTGCTAAGTTTGATATCAACAATGGCGTCATCGGGATACAGATTCGATTCGTGCATGTCCATGATTTCGTCGTCTCTTAAAATCCTTCCCCAAATCATCATATTTCTCATTCTACCTCTGTAATTGGGGAGAGATTCATCCGAAATTGCACCATATTGAAGTTTTCCTCCTGCTGGAAATTTCTTCAAACTATCAAATGTTTTTGTTTGTGTTCTGGTCCCATTAAAGTAAAGTTGTACTGTTTTCGATTCAGAATCAAATGCAATGCAAATGAATATCTCTGTACGACTTGGGAACTTAATCGGTGTTGTCCAGTGTTGCCCCCCTATATGTATATGGAGATCTGCACCAGTATACGTTCGTTGACCATAGGTTAAGAAAGTCTTTGAATCATCCTCTGTAGAGTAACTTTGAGTGACACCAAGAAAATATTCTTTATAATTCATTTCGACATACTGACATGTAGTAAGTTGTGAAAGCTCGGGAAATGTTTCCAAATAACTAATATAACTTTTTATTCCGTCGAAGTAAAAGGTATTTGCTGTTCGCTCTGAAAAAATAAAATAGTTCTACTCAAAAGTAAACAATTGATATGTATCTCTGGCCAAAAACTATTACGTATTAATCAACTACATATGTTTGTTTTTCCAAGGAGGTAAAATTCACTTATGAGTGAATATTTTAATTTGATTTGTGAGCACCACTGAAATGCTAATAAAGGAGCCGAAAATCAAAGTCGTAACTCTATTGAACCCTTTTACAATCATTCCGAGCCGTTGAACAAATAATATTATAATTATATAAATATAAACAATGAACTGATAGCTAATATGCTAAATTTTAGGCGCAATAATATGACTTCATATCAAGTAATAACACTGTGTTTAACCAGGTTAACTGCGTTTTATTGAAGCAAGTCCAATATTTTATTTTAACATACCTTAACATCAAAAACGTCAAATCGAATATCACAATAAGCTAATTTCGTGCGTACGATGCGTATTTTGTGCTGCTTTATCAAAGATTCGCCAAATGGTTTATATTATGATAGGATCATGTTCATACTAGAAATACATTCATAATATTGAAAAAGAAATTTTAGTTTTCATTCTTACTTCCATACTGGATCACATCTCCGTGTTTTTCAACGCTTCCAGGGTGGATAGTAACAATAGCGTCTCCGGGACAAAGATTTGACTTGAACATGTCTGCTATTTCGCTGTCTTCTAGTCTTCTTTTCCATATCATGAAATTTTTCACTTTGCCTCGGCACCCAGGTAGATTGGTATCAGGCGAGTTGCCTATAAATAATATCCCTCCGCCAGGAACTGGTGGCTGAATGTCGAACTTTTTTGTAAATATTGCCATTCCACTCATGTATAACCGGGCTTTTTTTGATACCATATCGAAATTTTGACAGGCAAATATCTCTTTGTTGCGTGGCAATGACAACGGGATTAGGAAACTTTGAATTTTTCCTCCCATATGTACATCTATGATGTTTCTGTTTGAGGTTTTTTTGCCATAAAAAAGCATTGCATTTTTGTTTGATGTGGTAGAGTAACCTCGCAACACACCATTGGTATGACCGTCTGAATTCGTTCCCATATATTGACACATGGTGAAATTCGTTAAGTCTGGCAATGTACCCTTATATTGAAGATACCCGCCTGTTCCGGGGAAATAATGAGAAGAGGGTGTACATTCTGAAATGAAGACTATATTTTAGCTTTCGAAAATCTCAGTCAATTTAAACAAAAAATATATGATAATTAGAGATTTCAGATTCTCTTCAAAGTACTCATTAAGGTATTTACTGGTAGTTTGCTTAATAAGTCCTAATTCTTGCTGTAAAACACTGGAATTACAAATATTAGAGTAACTTTTCGTAAGACAGAAAGGTACGTAATTCCACCTTGTTTTTCTGCACCGAAAGAGCCATGAAGTTGAACATTTCCGCGATGCATCTTAATAATAGCATCATCAGGACAGAAACCTGATTTGTAAATAATACGAATTTCATTTGACGTGAGTTTTCTCGCCCACATCATGATATTTCTCATAGAACCCTGATATCCTGGGAGAGTTTTGTCTCTGGATTTTCCGAGCAATAGTTCACCACCACCTGAAATTGTCATGGAAAAATGTGTTTAGGAAATATACCAAATACGGAAAAATGTGAATATACATAGCAATATGTTGTAATAAATATATTCAGTAAATAATAAAGAAATTTCGGTGTTACTTTGGTATGCGATATCACTAGTTCAAGTGTTATCAGTCGTATACCAAATTGACACGAATTGTGGTGCCAGGTAGAGCTAAGATCTGAAGTCCGAGCCCGACCCGCCCAGCAATTTGAGCCGGGTCGGGCCTGAAATGTCAATCATTACGTTCGGGTCGGGCTTCTCTATCGCTGACTATTTTTTAAATGAAGTTTTTTGGCCACGAGAGACCGTGGTCTGCAAAAAAACAGAAGTTGCCTCATAAACACAACACATACTGTACTAAACTCTTGCAATGACAATTCAAAGAACTACTAAATAAAATATGAAATTTCTAGTTTGCTTCGGGCTTGGTACTGCAAATTCAGTTAATTAATCGGGTTTGGGTCGGGTTCAATACCCACAGGCCTGAATCTGGTCGGGCTGGAATTTTTAGGCCCGATCTTATCTCTAGGGCCAGGCACTTCTTATAGCGTTTAATCTCATAACAGCAATCTCATATAATTCAGATCGTAATTCTATGAAAAAAAATCACTGAGATCGCATACCAAAGTAGCACCGAATTCCTTCTCGAAAAAGTTACCACACTTGTCAGTTAAAGCAACCAATAGCAACATCCCATATCAATAAATACATTTACGAAAAGAAGATGCCACTTTTCAAGATATTTGAGTTTGCTTGAACTAACAGCTGTGATCTACACTCAAATCTGTTTGCAATAATGAGTAGTGTCATCATTCAAATTAGATTTCTAATGTAGATTTCTAAGGTTAGTTATGTTCCCCAGATTTTTTATTTTAGGGAGGGGTGAGGGGTGTTTCAAATTTAGGGGGTGGTAAATATTTTGCTATTAGTTATAAAACTATTTGTAATTTATAGAAATGTGTTATGTATTTGACTGATCATCTTCATCGGCATACGGGCCACTTTCTGATATAAAAATACAATTTTATTTACGTTATTAAGTATGGTGTCATACCTGAAATTTTTTTTTTTTTTTTTGGGGTGTTGGAAACTTTTAGGGGATGCGTAGGGAAATCACTCTTAGGTATAAAATAAAATTTCAGTTGTTTTCAAATAACTTTCAAACCTGGTATCGGATCCAATTTTTTGAAGTGAATTACGCTTATTTGTCTTCCATCCAAAAATACCGTTTGAGTTTTTTCTCTTGTGTCTATTACAACGCACCAAAGCATTTCTGAATAAGGCTTTCCACGTCTAGCTTCTTTGATTATTTTCTCGTTTCCAAGGAGATGGATATGCATTTCTGCACCGGTTTCGGTCATTTTCCCAAACTGTAACATCGCCTTTGGATTCTTTTCTGTTGAATAACTTCGTAATACTCCAATTACGTGACCGATGGAATTTCTTTGCACATATTGACAAGAAGAAAATTCCACGAGTCTTGGCAAGGTACCAAGATAATTTATGTAGGAGTCAGGTCCAAGGAAATTGAATGAACTTGTCACACATTCTGTTGATAGAAGACGATTATGTGTTATACGTTAAACTTTTTGGGTAAATATGCCATTACATGAGCTTTTATATAAAACCGCAAAACAATACATGGTGAATTATGTATTTCAAAAACATATTTCGCATGCTTATCATTTTGCTTTTGAATGCTTAAAATCAGGGCTGGATTGGCCATTAAGCAATATATAGGGTGTCCATGAAGTCTTAAAAGTATTTAAAAATGGAATTGATCGATACCATTTATTATTTTGGCCCTCAAAGATGTATTAAATGAAGTAAAAATACTTAAACAATTACTGATTAAGGTATAAAATCACTAAGACATAAAGCTATAAAATAAATATATATATATATATGATTTAAATATTGCGGTTACTGTATCGTTTTCAAAACAACATATTTAGATTCAGCACCATTAAAATAGGCTGTTTGAGCTATAATAAAGTTTGTTCATTATTGTGTTGTAGACACAAATATTTAAAAACATTTCACAAAAAATCTTACTTTCTGACATAGAAAGTCTGGTCCAGCATAATATACAGAAAAGTATTGCAAATTTCTTCATTTTCATTTCTCATTGCAGATATTGCTTCATTAATCGATATCTTAGCAAAGTCACCTACAAAACACAATTTTTCTAAATTTTATAAAACCAGTCACGGGCCATTTTCTGTCACACCGGAGGCTGTTATGAGTACCTTGGATAACTTAACTGTCTAAATTAAAAGTGCAGATAACAAACCGAGATTAAATTGTTTACTAAAAACAGATTATAGATAACAGTTACTTCAAACTACTTGTAATTGTTTGGTAGATACCTGTTTGTACGAAAATCAAGCAATTATTTTTTTAAGTTAATATTCAATCCAAACTGCAAACAAAAATAAATACATACCAAAGGCCAACTGTCTGCAAGTTATGAATTCAAAATAACACAGTATATATAGAGTGTCCATAAAGTCTTAAAAATTGCAAAAGGCATTTATCGATACTATATATTGTTTTTGCCTTCACAGATGTATTAAATGAAGTAAAAATACTTGAACAATTACTGATTGAAAACCAACAAACCTGGTTTGAGATTTATGGACACCCTGTATTTATAATATATATATACATATGAAAGGATGAGGTTGAAATTTTAGAATGGAAATATCATGTACAATTTACCTTGGTCAATTTATTTTTAAAATTAGCTTATGATTTAAATTGGTTATCTTGTCACGTAGGTTGGTAGCTAAAGACAGTTGAAAACTTTTTCATGGCTATTAAGTTTTCTTTCTCACCTATTTTATCTTGTAAATGCCCCTAATTTGTCAAAGATTTGGGTGCAACTTCTCAAATAAGCCTCTTGAGATTGGGCAAGTCCAGACTGGATCGGAATGGTGCAGGATTGCGCCACGAAAATGGGGTCGATGCTTGATTATACATACACAAACAAACAATTTGACTAACGGAAGCATTGCGTACAAATAATCATGGTTCATTCTTGATTCAGTCGAATTTTGCATCAGTATTGTAATATATCTAGCTGCAGTACAGCTCAGTATCTTAGTCAACTCGTGTTTGCTTATTCTTTACCCCCGAAAGTGGCTTGACCATGCAACATAGTTGCGAAAGCGTTTAAAATTTGATTTACACTTTTTTCATATAATTTCTCAAAACTAAAAGAATTTTTGTGGAAAGTTTTGCGCCATTTTGAGAAAAAATAAAATGACTAGAAATATAGTTTCTTCCAAGCTTTTACTCTCATTTTAGCGCGATGGTTGAAAGAACAGGTCGCACTCGTTACATTCTAGTTAAAAAGCCATGCTGCGATAAACTTTTCAGCACTCGTTAGATGTCGGTACTGTGCCAGGGTAAAATGAAGTATTTCGTTTAATGCGCGCGAAATCGTGAACTTGAATTTCGTTGACACAAAATGTTCAATTGTACACGTAGTGAACCGTAAGTAAGGTAACTTTTATCAAACAAAATAACTATTAATACTGTTACCCCCATTTCTGGTCCACTCTGTATATTTTACGTCAAATTCGTTGATGATGAAATGGAAGATTTCATTTCTACGTTTTTTCTGTCTTAGTTCGGAAGAATGTATTTTTATAGGGAGGATATCGTTCCATATCTTATGAAGACAATGTGTTTTGCGTGATCAAATTTATCTTTGGAAAGGGAGCTGATTTTACGAAAAGGGCCTCATTCCAGGGGCCCTGGTCAAGTTACTTTACAGTTTACTCGGACAGACTAATAATAGTTGGACATGCATAGACATGACAGTTTGGAATTTACATTCGTCCTGGTTTGTTTTATAGTGAGCATTGCAATTATATTTCAAAATTATTTTTGGTATTAGCCTATCTATGTCCGTTCTCAAATTCGCATGGCCAGTGACATTCGCCAAATCACGACTTGAACATATCTTTAAACAGTTAAGCTCTTGATCCTCTACCAGCGCAGTTTCAAAGTACTTTTATATGTATGTGCCCATAATCTTAAATGATGAATTTGTTTCTTTTGGCTTGCACGTCTAGGCTTTATTCTCGAGTCAGAAACAGTTTCCCGTTGATGGATCGATGTTCGAGCGTCGCCGGCACTCTTTAATCTTTTATTATGTCTTCCAAAACCCTTCAACCTGAGTCGCCCCTACAGTTTTCGTTGTTCGGCGTACCGTATGTCGTCGGACGATAATTAGGTTATGATGCTAAGTCAGACAATACACGAGACAAAGGTGATATTGTAAATGAATGGAACATTTTTTATAGAAGAAGTTTCCAAGTACGATGAATGCCGATACTTTATTGTTGTTGCGGAGCATAATAGCACAACTGCGAACGGGGTAACAGTTAGCAGCCATTTGTAATACAATTCGAAAACATAAGTACCGGACAAAGCGTGAGAGAAAACGAACTAGACGATTTATTCATAATCAAAATTTGAGCCTTGTACGTTTATAGTACTTAGCGAAAGCTGAGCTAGCAAGGTACCGGTAGTCAATTTTGACTGATTTTCTATCATAACATTAGGTTTCACAAATATCGCTACATTGAAGATATTGGTTGCAGAGTAAACAGGACTTCATAAATTGTGTTGTGCAGAATTAACCAGCAAGCTTACGTATGCAAGCATATTCGTTTAGTGATGCTAATCAAGGCTTATACGAAGTCAAGGGCATACTTCAGAATACTCAGAATGGTCGTCGGAAAAATCTCGAGCGAAGTTCACACAAGGGTTTATGGAGTAGTAGTACAACCGGTTTAAATAATCTGACCTCCACCTTAATATGCTGTGATAAGTTTAAATAATCACTAACTCTCCATCCAAAATATATTTTTTATCAAATAAAAGAATTAGCCTGGCGTATTGATTCATTTATTTTTCGTTTAACTGAGTAATTTAGAAATTGTAGAATATCGGAAATAAAGTAAGCTAGGGGTCCACCTTTGATATCGACATTCCAACTGAGGTAGGAACTTCGTGATTTCGTTACGTTTTCGACTGGCTTAGGTTTTATTTGGCAATGGCGCTATCCACGAAAAGATAATTTTTCCAGACATGAAAACATTTTGTATATATTTAGTCGCGCAGAGAAGACCTCAGTATCATATTTCTTTATTTCGATAGCGCGTAAGAAGGGTGAAATCGAGCCAGACGGCAATCCTTCCGTTTGGTATCTGTATTCGAATTAAAGTTATCGTCAATTTTTCTAACATCCTATTGTAATTATACATACTTACTTTCGTGGATATGGTATCTGCTATAAGCTTGTCACTTGATCGGCCGTACTAGGATATCCTTCCCATCAGTATCCCACGTTTGGCCAAGACTTCCGTAATTCAGCATATCTTGTTTCAGTGTTGGTTCAACCGCAACAAATCGGCGTTTCTCTTATCTAGTAAAATCCATATGGGTGCTATAATACCTTGAAAGGAAATATCAGAGAAACTTGAGACGTCGTTCATCTGTAATTAATTACCGTGGTTGATGACGTAATTATTTGTCTACCTGGTTGTTATTTTTGGAGAGATAATTTAGGGATCAGAATAATTTTTGTGATGCTATGATTATTTGTCCAAAATATATTGAAAAATTCATAGTTTATTTAAACTGATTTTATAATTTTCTAACGGGTTTTGTTTTATGGCGGTACTCCCGTAGTATGTCTACCAGGTTAGGGTTAGGCCATAATTTTATTCCGATTTTCCTCATTTTAGTTCCATTACGAGTTCGGGGACTGTCTGTGTTAGCAAAGTTAATATACCCCCTTCCCATAGGTTTCAGTCCCTTTACACAACTTGATATAAAGTAGGCGAACAAAATTAGTTACCTCCGGAACATACTTCTGGAGCGCTTTTTTGTGCATAATTATACCATCCTCAGTCTAATTTTTTAATCGACCTATATGATAAAATACCCGTGTTTATTTAGTTAGAGTACAATAACTACTATTTGCTGTAAAATTGTTACAGGTCCGCTTCATTTGCAGTTGCCTTAGCGTCAACGGAAAGAACCCATTTTATATATAATTTGTAAGAGGTATCATATTCGCTTAGTTGTACAGCAGAATACCGCAAATTATAATGAATGAGCGGTAAAAGTTTATTTTGCCTCCTTGACAATAAAAAGCCGACGCCAGGTGACGGTGCGTCTTAGAAAATTGGTTTTGAATAAAAATAAATTATTGATAATGGTAAAACAACACTTTTATACAATTTTATGACGTAATTGTCATTTGAGTAAGTAACTTCGTGAAGAAATTAACCGTACAAAGTGCCTTGTCTGATTTCATGAGTTGAAGTTGCGCAAACCAGACTGCTTTGAATAAATAGTACACTTTGCATAAACAAACAGTGATTTATTACGTTGTCAAAAAAGTATGATGTTGAGCTTAACGATTTGTTCTGGAGCAATTAATTCGTCTCCGCGTGCCTGCAGCACTAAAGCGACACTTATCGATTTATCCATTTTAATTTTACAGTTCAAGCCCGTAGGTACGTCTCTTAAACCTTACGACTTTGTACAAAGCTCTCTCGCTGAGGTAAACAATGCGCCAACCTGATTTCTACGCGTTTTGCGCACTCGCATCTATACAACTTTATACTTGATAGTATCTTCAGTGACGTAATAGATGGATCTATTAGGCGGGTGCTATCATTCGAATTACAGATGGAAGGAAAATTTCAGTAGAAAACAGAAAGTTAAGCCACCATCTCGAGCTCGACGATATTGCCGAAACACTTGGTTCTATTTTGGCACGAAGCTGAATTTGATATATTTTCCTATGTTTAAAGTAAAATACCATTTTATCATGGAAGAGATGTACTTGACCCTTCAAAACATTATATATAATACCAGTAATAATACGATGCGTTTTTTTCGATGATAGCCATGTATAATTAGGCTTGAACTGCAAATAATAGCGGATATGTGAATTATAAATACAAATAGAGAAATTTGGATGCATATGATTCGACCCCCTGTTGAGCAGTTGAAGCTTGCGTAAAACTTCTGTATTGTTTTGCCAAGTGTTTTAATTTGACCAAAGGTTATGTGATACATAACGCGTTAAAGTGTAAGTAAAAAGCGCAAGCATTCAGGATTTCAATTGTTCATTAAAATCGGAAGGCAACATCTGACTTAAAATAAGTTTGTTCGCACCTCGTCGTAGACTGCGTGCGGAGCAATTTAATTACCATTGTTTGGTGCGGGCGCCAGTTACTTTCAGCAATTACATTCGCTAACAGCGCGAAAACCGCCACTTCCCGGATATTCATTGAACTTGTTGCGGCGGAGTGAGAAGTAAAGTTGCTGAAGGAAAGTACAGTTTGTTTGTGCTATTGATCATGCGGAAAAGATGAAAAGTCATCCGGATCGAAATTGCCAAACTTCACTCTCGTAGAAAGTAGAGATTGACAAATGTTTTCGGTTCGATACATTCATGCTTTTTTGTTATTATTTGTACCACATTACTCAAGATAATCAACTTCAGCGAAACTAAGTAGTAACTGCTTGATTTCAGCATTAGTATGAAATTGTTATCCTTATTATACTCTAACTTTCTGCTTAAGCCAGAATATAAAAATTAGAATATTGTTGCGTTTGCTAGTAAGGACAGCCCGACTTTGTACAATTAGTCTTTAGTTCGGAGGCTTGAACTTGGAGAACCCACTGAGTCGGTATCTCAAACTCGTCTATGAGCTAATAAAGCATTCTGATTAGTGGTGATGTTATATTATCTCAGCGCAAATATGCTTTATAAAGACATCCTGGAATGATTAAGATAGCGCACGGGGTTAGGACACGATTTACGAACTCTGTTGAAATACAGGAGTGTTTGTTTACCGTGGATAGTCGATGAGATATGTCTTTGGGATCAGACACCTGTTACAAATAACGAATAGTCTAGAAAATTTGCTTGCTACCGGTATCCAAAATTCCATTTGCAGCAATTGGTAGTTAGTCTTATTAAATACTTAAATAGTATATTCTATCATTAGACAATTTGTAGCTTTTAATGCGATTAGTTTATTTTGTTGGGTATATCCGTCAAATCGAACGAAATGCAAAAGTAACAACAGTACTGAAGCCCCTATCGCAAATGTTTTTCTGTGAGGCGCCCTTATTTCCGTTTCGTTTAACATTACAGAGCGATAGTTGGGGAATTAAAATGAAACATATCTTTGGGTTCAGTGTGAAAAATATTATTTTCTTAGAAACTTCTATCTCGGGAAGCCCGTTTCCGTTCCTGCACTCGAGCGTGGCCAAACAACTTGGTACATGACGTCACCCGTGAAACAAACGATTCACGCTGGCGAAGCGAGAGTCACAATTTCCAAAAGGAGACTTGTCATCAGTTGGCATTTGCCTACCTATGGTGGTCGGTCGACGGAAGGTCGTCAGATCTATTTTCTCGTTAGATTGATAAATTATGCAAAGGTGGTCTTGTAAGTTGACTGAATTAGAATTTATCCATCGACCATTTTCAAAGTAGATTAGGGATAAGAAAAATTGAAAAGGTGTGTTTTCTAAACAAAGTCTTAAGTTCGAAATTTGCTTCTGATGTAATTTCAAATTTTTGTTCTGGATTCGACGTTTTTTTGGCTCTGGTGTTTTTGGGGTTATAAAGAAAATTGTCATCGAGAAAGGAAATATACGGTAATATGAATTTAGTATATTCTTTAGGAGTGGAAAATACAGACTACGACCTACACCAGGGCTTGCTTTGACAGGCAGAATTGATATTTCGAAAAACGATGGTTTGAATGCTTGGTTATTTACGTTATCTTGTGAGATCTTGGCGCTTCTTTTTATTGTCCACTCAGCAGTGTGTCCGTCCATCGATTAACCTTTCTTTCGAGGGTACGATTCCGCAGGTGCAACGCGTATTTTAAGGGTCGCCTTTCATAATCGTTTTCTTATTGTATAGCCTACTTTTTTACTGTGTAAACCAACTGATCAATTTGTTGTTAAATTGTACAGGATCAACAATGAAATTATCGTAGGTTGAAAGATTAATCATAAAGCTTTTAGTTTATTGACCAACCATACCTGAGGTTCACTGGAAGAGGAGACTTAACGGAGCTTACGTTTGCCGCATCGATTTTTATATCAGAAATGCAATCGAGTGTAGATTTTCGCTTAGCTTTGTGAGAATTAAAAGTGGATTTATATCAACGACAAACTTTGGAAACTATAACCATTGTGGTATTCAAAGTGATATTGTAAGCTGATAAGTTTCAATATGACTACAAAGAGAAACCAGTATATTTGTCGTAATCGGCCACAAAGAAAATGGAAATTCGTACTTTTGAACTTATTTATCGTTGCCGTTTTTGTCGCAAAAAATGGTAAGTTCATATTATTTTATATTCATCATTTTTGATATTTAATCATTTCTATCAGGCCGTGATAATTAATATTATTATTATTGCTTGTCCTAGTTTTCATAAAATACCCGTTAAAGAGAAGCAATGTCTTCTTTGATATAAATTTGTTTTGTAAGGCTTAGAATTTATTATACACGGGTAACTGATATATTTTGTACGGAAGAAGTTTCACAATGGATAATCAAGAACAGCATGTCCTAATTTTATTAGCTGTCGTGGCCCGCTATGAAATGCTAAAGTAGGACAACGCAAAACAAGTGTCATTTACCCATAATTTTACAACCCGAATTTATGAACATCGACCGACAGACTTGATAGATATCGACCTGATATTGACTTTTATTATTTACAAGCCTAATTTCTGTAATATTTTGCTTCGGGTGTTACTCATTTAATTAACGCGAACGGCACCTATGGGCACCATGGCCGGTGTTATTCCACTATATCAAATTGATGTCCGTGCGTGCGTCGCGTGTCGTAAAAATTGAACCAATCCCGGCAACAAAGAATGGTCGATGACAAATAATGTAATGTACCTGTCTCTGGGATATACGTAATATTGGGGTTGTCAAATTAATGTTCAACCAAAGCTGTACATTGGCGGGAAATGGGAATGCTGGAAAGACGCATGTTAATGCATTTACTCTGAGAATGGCTTGTCCCAGCAACTATTTTTCCAATGTGTAGGGACACTGACTTATTTTGTGCAAACTATATATACACAGAAAGACATACTTAAAGTCACACTATGTTGCAACGAGAACTATACTAAATAAATTGCTTTTAGATAGGCTTCTGTATACCAATTCAATTCGCACTTGAGCGGGGCAAACATTCCCACTAAATCAGTACTGTTGAGTAAACAAAACAGCCTTGCAAATGTACTACTTTCTGAGTGGTGTATTTAAGCTTCGACAGAGGAATTTGATTCACGTCGCTACTGCTGGAACTATTTCCGGCGTCCCTATCGTCCATCAAAACTTTGCATAAACACAGATAATAATCATATCACAAGCATCCCTTAGGTTTCCTTTCCCTTTACGTTTAGGCGCTTATTGAAGTTATTCACTTTTTTGGTTAGATTTTTAGGGCTTCCAGCTAAGCATAATTTTCAGCGGAAACCTAATAGAGTGCGGTGTATAATCCATCAAGAAAATTGATACATTTGATTGTATGGAATCTATAATGTAGGTCATTAAGCCCGTAATTCGATTTGAAAATGCTTTGTTATGAATTGGCAGTAATGGTTCGAAATTAAAGAAACATTAAGCCAATCTAACATAGCTATATAAACCAGGCTTAAAAAGGCTAAAACCAAGTCTTTGTCTGTATCGACAACAAGCCGAGCGCCGACGACGAACAAAGCCGTCCGCGTAGCGATAATTGCTTTAATTTGTGTGATTTGTTTTGACTTCATTTCGCTGTAACGAGATTGCTCACGCTTGATTTAGATTGCCGATTCAGGTTTTGTTTTAAATGTGTTATGCTATTCGTCCATGGTAAATAACGTTTCCCGTATACAAGTACAATTCTCAGGACCCTTGTGGTCTGTCGATGAAGCATGCGACCTCGGAAGTGTTCAAATTTTGTTAATATCGACGTTAGAACTTGTAAAATTGGTATCCGTTGGCATTCGTGTCTGGTATGACATTTAGGTGCGTACAAAAATCATGTTTAACATCTTCGCAGACCAAAGCGGATTCTTACAGACCGATTGAGCTACCTTTACAGACCATGACTTGAACGTTTTGACTTTTGACTGATAAACAAAATTTTGTTGTAAAAATCTCTGCTTTAAATTTTTCCTTTTATTGTAAATTTGACTGATTTTATGGTTATTTCATTCAGTGAATACACGTCGTTTAATGACGGGAAAGAAAACATACTGAATTCTATGCTTGGATATATCCTAATAATGAGAACATAACAATTGCTTGATACTTTGTAACATAAAAAACATTCGCCTGTTGAATGTTTACCAATCGGCGCCCACGAGGAGCGAACGTGAATCAATTTATACGTAAATCTGAATATAAGTTGTTTCCGTGGGCGGCGTCAATGTATGAAAAAATCCTATACTGTACATAAAGCCTTCATGAAATGCATTTGCGTTGAAAAATATATTTGCGCCGGTCATTGTTACAATGCCATAATTGTGGGCTTATTCGGATTTTTTTGGATTTTCAGATTTAATGTATTAATCTTTTTTAAACTTTTGTTTGAGCGCTTGGTATAATTTTGAAACTTGAAATTAATTTTATTCGTATGCAATCATGTATGAAAGATCATAATTTTTTTCATTGTCGCGCGGTGTATCCATAGAAAATAGATGATCGAACATAATATAATATACGTTAAAGGAAAGTTTACAGCCCACAATTACTGTTATTATCTCTGCTTTGGCGGACAAAGGCGACGCCACTGACTCTGAATTGTAATTAGTAAAATAACGTCGGTCGCTAATGGGATTATCAGTCACAAATGTCCCGACATTACGGTCAATAACTTACTTGAAAAACAAAATTTCATTAGGACAAGTCGTAATTGTGTATCGGCGACCAAACCACAAGTACAATATTGTTCAATCAAAGAAAATATTCCACAGTCTATACATAATCGGCCATGTATGATTCATGTTAGACGAAGAGACTGAGCTTGTAATAACCGCGCTGAAGGAAATGAATCTCCTAACATAGACTCAATTTCAAGTCTTCGAGTTTCTACACAACCATATGGCTGAAATAATGAAGTACAAATATTTTCCCTATTTTCTTAGAATTAGTTAAAAGCTTGTTTAATCGCGTTTACTAAGTATTGCCCATTATAAGAATCGTGATGAGAATTCAGGGGAAATATTTTCCATTACCTATGAACCAATAGCGATTTCCAGGCGCGATGAGTTTTGGTCTACATGGCTCATTTTCATCTTGGGGGTTGATGACGAATTTACTACATATCTGAAATTGTTTAACAGTACTGTATACTTTTGTTAAGAATTCCCTGTATTTTATTGTTTTTCATAATTGTACCACTAACTACACGTTAGTTTGAAAAGCTAGATTTCTTGTTGCCTTGACCAAATTACCACCGTGACGCGATGCACGATAATTGTCATCAATATACTTGATTGTTCATTTTGCGACATTAAAAGCGACACCGTGTTTCTCGTTCCGAATGATTAAATTTCAGATTCTTCTCACTTTCCGTACATAGAGCTCTTGTACATAACAGGAGTCTTCGCATCTTCAAACATACAACAAAGCTGTGTCGTTGTTTTCCGAACCTTGTCATTGACAGAGTATGGGTCATGGTTACAAGGGAACAGCTCTGAATGTAAATTTCCTTGTCCCATATACGGCTGTGATAAAATAGGCAAATGCTACATGATGTTTTAAGGTGAAACCTAGCGTGAACGTAAATGTTACTGTCACAACACCAACCAAATGGCGTGATGATTTGGATCGACATATCTAGCTCGCGTGCTCCACATTTCCTGACTATCGGTCGAATATTTTTTACGTCGATTGTGGTCTATTTTTACACAGGGTTGTCATTCACAATCGCTTCGCCCCTACATTTGAAAAGATGAAATTGGACTCTATCGGGGGCCACGGTTCGCCTGTTTAACCCACAACTTTAATTCATGTTTTTGGTTCGGTTTGGAAAAGCGAGATGATTTGTTGTTATGATGACGTAAGGTAAAATGATTCAAAATGAAAAAGAATTTCCGTAGAGTTTGGACCAATGCACTGCGGTTTCAGAAACAAAACGTCATTTTAGGCCCATCACAATTGTGCCCCGTTTTTTGGTGTTTTCATCAACCACGCTGGAAGTAAAATCGAGAGTGTGTATTGAATTGCAAAAAATAACCTTCAAAATCAGTTGGTTGAAAAAATGGGAAACTACTAGAAGTAATCTCATTACGAAAATTTTTGTTGAAACCGTACCACCTGTACCTTTTAAAGATAGTGTGTTTGCAAAAAACTGTTAACACGGGTTGAACTAAAAGTAATATCATTATGAAAACATTTCTACGAAATCGTACCATCTATCAAAGATATAGTACCAGTCGACCGAACCGCTAAAATTTGTCTTTCTCATGTTAAACATTCGTCGTTGCAAGCTTCCGTCTCTGATGAAGCACAAAACAGTCGATCGACCGTATTTTCACGTTTGCATAACAAGAAAATATATAAAATTTTGGTGTCAATGCGTTGAAATCGCGATATTTTTATTTCTATACGCGAACGAATATCGATGGCGCTGATGACAAAAACTCGTTACATTTGAATAAAATTTTCCACCAATTAGGTGGGAATAACACATGCAAATATATTCGAGATATTAATGTTCCTAAAGCACATTCTTGTGCGATGAATGGCTAATGTGCCTAAAAAAATGTGCCTCAATGGGTACATGACTCTACTAAAATGTTTGTGGTAAAAGATGACTGTCTTCATCACGCGATTCTGGCTTTCTATAAAAAGTGAAGTGCTATTATTACCCCACCACCAATTTATGATCAGTTTTCTTTGATTCTTCCATGGCAAGGCTATTGCAGTATCGTCCATTTTTTTGTCGTAACCTGACATGGGATAAACAGAATCGAAGAAAATGATCTGAAAATTTATGGTGGTACAAAAACTGAATAAGACGTTTCGATAATTGAAACTTTGGAAAATGTGATGTACAATTGTTTACTTAAATGGAATATGAAATTAATTGATGACAAAATATCCCATCAGTTGTAGTTTGTTTGTTTGTCCTGTCTGTTATTTTCTGTTTCGCCAAACATATTATTGACATTGGGTGTATAATTATAGCATCGAACGAGATCATTCTTATTGTTGCTGAACTTCAATTAGACATTTTACAAGTGCGGTCATTGCAATTATAGGATTTGTGATGAGCCAGGGTTCACACTCCCTAAAATTATCTTCTTCTCCCACAATGCTTTTTGG